AATCAAACAGACTTATAGTGTAGCCACAGTAAAACATTTTTCACTATTTGGTAGCGTTATTCACACGCGAAGAGGAAAAATTTGATCATAAGACACTCAAAAAGTAAAGAAATTTGGCCCTCAAAATTAGGCTGGCCTTCTATCTGAAGCCCACTAGGTTGATATACAGGATAAAATATCGAATTCTACGATTAATAAAGCTCCCTAAAATCTTTCGGAAAATAACTGGATATTCACACTAAAGATACACTAAATTTAAGCCAACTTTGACGCGCTACAGTTTTTAAACTAGGCTAGATATCAACAAACGGTTTTTTGCCCCTGAAAATATGGTCAAATATCTTAAAGATTTTCTATCTCTCCCAAACCACCTCCAAACTTTATTATTTTGTTACTGGTTACCGTTATCGTGGAATTGTCCTTATATGAAATGCTAAAATTTCGAACTGTTAAAAGACAGCAAGAATGAAGAATGTTGAATAACTTTTAAAAATCTATATGGAAATATTATTGCCAACCTAAGTAACAAACTTAAGTAATGTAAGAAACTTAAGTAAGAAACCTAAGTAAGAAACAAGCAATCGCCAGTTAAAACGAAGCAAAGTATTAACCCAGAACCCTCTCAGTAAAAAAATTATGAAACATCACCAGCGATGATTAGGGAACTACAGTCCAACTAAATTAAAAATTAAGTAGCAAGGTAGTAAGGTTTTAGGCGGGACTAATTTTACTACATATACAGGTTGAGCAGAGAGGGAGGGAGGGAGGGAGGGAGGGAGGGAGGGAGGGAGGGAGGGAGGGAGGGAGAGGTGCTGTGTTGTGCTCAAGGAGATGAGGAGATATCAGAACATGCGCGGTAAGTGAGGGAGGGAGGGAGGGAGGGAGGGAGGGAGGGAGGGAGGGAGGGAGGGAGGGAGGGGTGGAGGGAGGGAGAGGTGCTGTGTTGTGCTCAAGGAGATGAGGAGATATCAGAACATATGCGGTAAGTGAGGGAGGGAGGGAGAGAGGGAGGGAGGGAGGGAGGGAGGGAGGGAGGGAGGGAGGGAGGGAGGGAGGGAGGGAGAGGTGCTGTGTTGTGCTCAAGGAGATGAGGAGATATCAGAACATGCGCGGTAAGTGAGGGAGGGAGGGAGGGAGGGAGGGAGGGAGGGAGGGAGGGAGGGAGGGAGGGAGGGAGGGAGGGAGGGAGGGAGGGGTGGAGGGAGGGAGGGAGAGGTGATGTGTTGTGCTCAAGGAGATGAGGAGATATCAGAACATATGCGGTAAGTGAGGGAGGGAGGGAGAGAGGGAGGGAGGGAGGGAGGGAGGGAGGGAGGGAGGGAGGGAGGGAGGGAGGGAGGGAGGGAGGGAGGGAGGGAGGGAGATAGGGAGAGGTGCTGTGTTGTACTCAAGGAGATGAGGAGATATCAGGGGGAGGGAGGGAGGGAGGGAGGGAGGGAGGGAGGGAGGGAGGGAGGGAGGGAGGGAGGGGTATAGGACACAAGGGCGGAAGACGCGTGGGCGGAGGTCGCGTAGGCGGAAGACTTGAGGGCGGAGGACGCAAGGGCGGAAGTTTCCTAAAAGGTTGGACACGAGGGCGGAGGTCGCGAGGGCGGAGGTCGATCCCATGATTTGGGCGGAAGACTCGTAAAACGATCACATGTCCTAAATGCTCGACTGGTAATACTACAAAACCGGAAACATCACACAACGTACTTCAAATTGTATAAATTATATAAGTTATATTCAATCGAAGCAATTTTCAAACGATCAAGACGCATCTATAAAAAATTATGAAACATCACCAGCGATGATTAGGGAACTACAGTCCAACTAAATTAAAAATTAAGTAGCAAGGTAGTAAGGTTTTAGGCTGGACTAATTTTACTACATATACAGGTTGAGCAGAGAGGGAGGGAGGGAGGGAGGGAGGGAGGGAGGGAGGGAGGGAGGGAGGGAGGGAGGGAGGGAGGGAGGGAGGGAGGGAGGGAGGGAGGGAGGGAGGGAGGGAGGGAGGGAGGGAGAGGTGCTGTGTTGTGCTCAAGGAGATGAGGAGATATCAGAACATGCGCGGTAAGTGAGGGAGGGAGGGAGGGATAGAGGGAGGGAGGGAGGGAGGGAGGGAGGGAGGGAGGGAGAGGTGCTGTGTTGTGCTCAAGGAGATGAGGAGATATCAGAACATGCGCGGTAAGTGAGGGAGGGAGGGAGAGAGGGAGGGAGGGAGGGAGGGAGGGAGGGACGGACGGAGGGACGGAGGGGTATAGGACACAAGGGCGGAAGACGCGTGGGCGGAGGTCGCGTAGGCGGAAGACTTGAGGGCGGAGGACGCAAGGGCGGAAGTTTCCTCAAAGGTTGGACACGAGGGCGGAGGTCGCGAGGGCGGAGGTCGATCCCATGATTTGGGCGGAAGACTCGTAAAACGATCACATGTCCTAAATGCTCGACTGGTAATACTACAAAACCGGAAACATCACACAACGTACTTCAAATTGTATAAATTATATAAGTTATATTCAATCAAAGTTATATTCAATCATTTTAGTGGTACTGATTTCGAATTCTTTGTAACTTTACAAACAAAATACACAGGGTTATACTTATAGAGAACGCTTAACGGTAATATAAATCACAATGTAATCAATCAATTTTGTCAAACCCGAATAGAATAATATCACAATAACATAAACATTTCACATAGCACAACATCATCCTCGTACGAATGGTAGTTCTGAACTATGCTGAAGATTCTTCTATCCTTGTCGCTATTGGCCTTCCTCCTCTTAGGCTGCTGCTCTCCAAGCGAATTCGCTAAGGTCTTCTTGTCTGTCGAGGACTGTTCCATCTGGACTAGGAGATTCTGACGTTGTGACTCAAATTGTTCGTTTCACTGTGCAATCTTTTCGTGTGAAAACTGTTGATCATATCCCAGAAGCCCTTGTGTCATGTGAGTCAAACTATCGAATCGAGTCACGTGATACATAACTTCGACTCACGTCATGAATCACCATGGTCATGATCTCATATAACACAACGGTATTTAGGACATGTGATCGTTTTACGAGTCTTCCGCCCAAATCATGGGATCGACCTCCGCCCTCGCGACCTCCGCCCTCGTGTCCAACCTTTTAGGAAACTCCCGCCCTTGCGTCCTCCGCCCTCAAGTCTTCCGCCTACGCGACCTCCGCCCACGCGTTTTCCGCCCTCCTGACCGGTTCCCGGGAGGGAGGGAGGGAGGGAGGGAGGGAGGGAGGGAGGGAGGGAGAGGTGCTGTGTTGTGCTCAAGGAGATGAGGAGATATCAGAACATGCGCGGTGAGGGAGGGAGGGAGAGAGGGAGGGAGGGAGGGAGGGAGGGAGGGAGAGAGGGAGGGAGGGAGGGAGGGAGGGAGGGAGGGAGGGAGGGGAGAGGGGGAGGGAGGAGGAGAGGGTGGAGAGGTGATTCCTCTCGATCTCGGCAGCTAATAAAAGTTTTGTACCGGAGAAGGCACCGTGTGTGTGTGCACTAGCTTGGTACCGGAGAAGGTACCGTGTGTGTGTGTGTGTGTGTGCACTAGCTTGGTACCGATATTTAATGCACTATTTTAAATGCGGTGCTGCATATCAAATTCTACTAAATATTTTAAAACATGCGTTAATCTCGCCGATCTGATGAATTACATTGACAACGGTATCTAAGATGCTTCACAGCCCTTCACAGACAGGTTTTCTATATGATCTTTTACATTATAAGCGTTCTGTAATCTGTAATCTGTACCACAATCGTTACTTAACCTGACGTAAGATATGGAGCACGCGGAATGTCAATATACGGAAAGATTGCACACTTCTTGCACACAATTGTTCTCCTGATCAAAAATCAATAATTCCCACAGTCAGACAACGAATGAGTTAAAAAGTTCCAACAAAATCTTTATAACATCATTGGTAAAACATTTTCGGACATCTTCAGTACCTAATAAAGATAAGGGTTAATACTCCAATTAAATCAGAAAATGATAATAAAAACTAAAGGATGTTAGGTAAAAAGAAATCAAACTCTTAAAATTGTTCTCCTCATCGAGAAATGCACCAACTACCAAGCATACTAATGAGCTACACTGACTTAACTTGGTTTAAACACATTCTCAGTACACACGCTCACTGAAATGTAACAGTTTTACATGTGCCATTAAATTGTGCCCCAATTCCATGTGCGTCTTCGAAACAAACACAATAAACAAAACTGAAATTTACATCATTAGAACCCTGCATTGTACACTGTTAATTTAGCCTGTTACACTTCCAGCTCTAGTGGACCTGTATATTACTTGAGCTATGTGACAAGTTTGCTTCCTAAACAACAACAAATAACAGCTAACAGTCCTTTTATTACCGGAGCTTCTTGGGGGGGGGGGGGGGCAATCCCTTAATAAATCAAGTTATGAGTACCAAACATACTCAAATTTGGGTATGGACCATTAAAATGTCTACTCCGGAAGATGTTTGACTGGATTTAGAATAACACATTAGCTGTGCATCGTGCACTAGCTGTGCATCGTGCACTTGCTGTGCATCGTGCACTAGCTAGTAGCTGTGCATCGTGCACTAGCTGTGCATCGTGCACTATGTATAAGTTGAACAAAGAAGTGGTTTCTCAATTGGCTTACTTTATCTATTGTATGTTATAATAATTGAAAGAAATTTGTAATTGTGTAAGATATGTCATGTTTATTGGTAAGTTGGTAAGTTTGTATCGTCGTTTATCAGTACGTCAGTTCGTTTATTTAAACGAAATCGTTCGAAAAACCAAGCATTAAACTGCAAGATATTTAATTACGCAAGTTTTAAAAATCAAAGTAAAATTTTACTGCTTCTCATATAATATAAGTCTATATAGTAGCAAATAAATATGTACAGTACTTAATTACTCTATATAATAATACAGTTGATCTCACTTTTAACTAAAACAGTTTTAACTACAACACTTTTAACTAAAACATTTTTAACTAAAACACTTTTAACTAAAACATTCGGCGGTATCCTAGCAGGGCCATGTCGTGGTTTGGGAAAAAGAAGGAGGCCACTCCCACCACCGCTGATGCAATCCAGAAACTTCAAGACACTGAGATGATGTTGCAGAAGAAGTCAGACTTTTTAGAAGCAAAAATAACGCAAGAGATGAAAACTGCAAAAACAGCTGGAATGAAGAATAAGAGGGTCGCACTTAATGCTTTAAAAAGGAAAAAGAGGTTTGTTTGACTTGCTATCAAGTTAAAAGATCATTCTAGCTGTTTTTATCAAATTTTGATGGTTCCAGCTTACGCTATGACAAACTGTTAAAACCTGCATAATTTAATAATATGCAGATAATATACAGAATGCAGATTTACAAAACTTCTGTGCACACAGCATGCTAGGCTGCATTATAATTTACCTTCTACATAGTTTAAATTTAAATAAAATAGTTAAAATTTAAATAAAAACTCTGTATAACCAGGTACGAAGAACAACTAAATAAAATAGATGGAACGTTATGTACAATAGAGTTCCAGCGTGAAGCTTTAGAAAACGCTAACACCAACACTGAAGTACTTAAAAACATGGGCTTCGCTGCCAAGGCATTGGAAGGTGCCCACAAGCAGATTGGAGATATTGACAAGGTTTGTTTTGTGATATTTCTTACTTTGTAGCCACGTTTCCTTCAAATATAGTTTTAAATCATATTATCTCAGCCTGAAATCATTTCTCTTATTTCGCTTCTTAAATTTTATTAAAAAACATTTAATTAATAACAAATAACATTCCTCCAAAACTTCAGGTACACGATTTGATGGACGATATAGCAGAGCAACAAGAGCTAGCTAACGAGATTTCCAGTGCAATCAGCTCTCCCATGGGCTTCGGTATGGAAATGGACGAGGACGAGTTGATGGCAGAGTTGGAGGGAATGGAACAGGAGGATATGGACAGACAGGTTAGGGTTTTTTCCCTTTCTTTAGAGCTCATTTTTCTCTTTAGATGACATCAATTTACAATTTTTCTTAACTGGATTTGACTAAATTACTATAAAAACACTTTTGGGACCGATTGATCCAAGACAGCCTCCCTTACTTCCCTTCTAACCCCCTACCCTCCAGTTACTGGATATTCCAGACAGCGCCGTACCAGACCTGCCCTCAGTACCCAACGCAGTACCCACATCAGCTGCCCAGGAAGAAGAGGACGAGGACATGGCAGCCTTGGCAGCCTGGGCTACTTAACCTGCACGTGCAGAGTACTTCATGTCACGTGCCGCGCAACTTTACAGCACGTGCAACCACTGATCTGCTTTGATGAATGTTTGTAGAATCGTAGGGACAAAGAAACTATTATGGGTTGACAAATGCAGTGTCCAAATTGTCAGATTACCCCACTTGTAGTATTTTTCTTGGCCTTCTCTTCCTCATGACTGCTTCGTGAAGTTGATTGCTATTTGGTGCTCTTCAGTATTGAATAAAATAATGGGAATTATTGATACGTGTTATTGTTTAACTCCTATATATGTTGGGAGAGATTTAGCTTGATTTTCAAATCGTAGATTTCTTTGCTCAGTTTTATGAATGAAATCACGGATGAGAGTTCATATTACATGGTGAGTATGCCTCTTAAATAGTGGGTACTGTCAGCTAGTTCGCAGTGCTAACCCCATATTTACACTGCACGTTTTTGCTGGTAAGATTGACCATTAGTTCTTTAGAGTCCCCTAGAGGCTTCTAGAGTGCATGTTCACCAAAACGAGCCAAGCTATAACCTAATAGTCAAAATATATTCTTTGATTTGATAGTATATATTTTTGATTAACCGTTTAGCATTTATTTTCTTGGTACTTTTTAGAGCAATGTTTCTTATTCAAAATTCACAGCACTAATGCAGCATTTTTTCGCTGAAAATCTTGCCAAGTTTAAAAACTTGATCCAGATTCCAGAATTGCTGGTTTTTTAACCATAAAAACTGGCTACGTGTCTGCGTTTTTAGTTTTTATTTTGGGTGTTTTGGTACATTTGTGAGCGTACTTAACAATCTGAGAAAGTATGTAAGTCTAGTAATGGATGTAAGTGTATATAATTAATATTAAAATTGATAAAGTGTTATTGATGGATCCTCGTATTCACGTAGTTTTGTTTTTATACCCAACTTTGTCTACATTAATGCTTTCTTTCGAGGAAAAAATCCAAAACAGATAGTTATACTTAGTTAGTTATACTTATTACTCATTCTTAAAAGTGGTTACCCAAAAAAAGGAGATGAGTTATACTTAGTTAGTTATACTTATTACTCATTCTTAAAAGTGGTGACCAAAAAAAGATATGAGCGATTGATTAGTACCCCGACGACCACTTAAATACTGATAGAATTAGATATTATTTTTAGAATTTCATAAAAAATCAATTTAATCAATCGATATCATCGAGCTTGAGGAATACAAATCTCTTTTAACTTACACTTAAATAACACATCTAATTTTATCATAGTTAAAACAACAAGTTGGTTTCATAGAAATGTTTGGAAAGAAAAAACACCTTGTAGTTGCCTGGTACAAACTAACCAATCAGAGAGCTGTATTCTAGTCACGTGACACAAACTAACCAATAGAAATGTTCGGGAAGAAGAAACCAGCTCAAGCGACCACGGGAGATGCCATCCAGAGGCTGCGAGCTACAGAGGACATGCTACAGAAGAAATCAGACTTTTTAGAGGCTAAGATAGTTCAAGAGATGAAGACAGCTAAGCAAGCGGGCATGAAGAATAAAAGAGCGGCTCTTAATGCGTTAAAAAGAAAGAAGAGGTTTGTAATTTGTTACACCTACTTTATATTATACTTTTTTATCAAATAGTGTTCGATTTTTCCAACATGAATACAAGCTAAGTTGATCTGAAAGGCCTCTAATTTCTGCTTTTATTTCAATCCACTAAAATTAAAATTAAATCTTGGACATCTAGCTCATAACAACTTGTTATTTCCTATTCGTGCAATATTCCTCATCTTCGGCCCTACTTTTGCCACCCATTTCCTAATGTCACCGGTATTAAACATTCTGTTGCCATGGTTCTGACAGTACTTATAGTTTGTCATTACCATTATCGAATTATTATGGCCTTTACGCTCTCCTGTGTGCACAAAGCCGCGTTGCTTTACCTGTACAAGTTTAAGAAGTCTACTAGTTAGTGTCTGTCTCTGGACCCACAGTGCCTTAACCGTGCCTTAACCGTGCCTTAACCGTACCTAAAGTAACCTTAAAATGTGCCCCAAACGTGCGTTTTGAAAGTGTCCATCGACTGATTACCAACTTGGCCCTTGTGTTTGTCTGACGTTGCTTGCTCAGGTATGAGGAACAGCTGAATAAGATAGACGGTACTCTAGCTACAATAGAGTTCAGAGGGAGGCTCTAGAGAACGCCAGTACTAACACGGAGGTTCTCAAGAACATGGGATTCGCTGCTAAGGCTCTGGAGGGAGCTCACAAACAAGTTGGGGACGTTGATAAGGTAGGCGCCACCTACATCCCCCATTCTCTACATCCCCCTCTCTCTCCTCCCCCCCTTCTCTCTTCCACCCCCCCCCCCCCCCCCCCCCCCCCGCCTTCTCTCCACCACCACCCCCCCCCCCCCCCTTCTCTCCTCCACGCCCCTTCTCTCCCCCTCCACCCCCAATTACTTCTGGAGGAGCGTAACCCTTCAAGGTTCATTTAAGTACCGTATATTTTGATTGTATTTAGAATGAACCGTTTAAACACTAGGTACACGATCTGATGGACGATATAGCAGAGCAACAAGACCTAGCTAACGAGATATCAGGTGCTATCAGCTCTCCCATGGGATTCGGTAACGATGTGGATGAAGACGACTTGTTAGCTGAACTAGAGGGGATGGAGCAGGAAGATATGGATAGACAGGTAAGAGGAGATAATATTAGGGGACAATTTAACAGAATATACAGATTAAAGGACAGGTTAAAGGACAGGTTAGATAACATTAACAGGTTAAAGGACAGGTCAGAGAGAATTTTAGACGACAAGTTAATGGACAGTTAAGTAGACATGTAAGTTTTGAGGACAGGGTAGTAAAAACTGACCAAGTAAGTTTACAAGTTAGAGGACAGATTAGTGTTCAAGTTTAAGAGGACAGGTCAAAGGGTGGGTTAGAAGATACTGCTAGTAAACTTATCATCCTTGCTTTGTTCCGCTTTTATGTCCTTTTTGTTGTTCTTTCAGATCTATTTTTACAATTTGTAACTGACTTGCTTGTTATTAAATAAGATTTATTAAAAACAACTCCGTAATTTTTGTTGCCGTCCTGTTTGAGAGTCCTGTTTTCTTACGTCCCACGCTCTAGAGTCCCACACTCTAGAGTCCCACGCTCTAGAGTCCCGGACCCCACATGCCTTTCTCCCCCAACCTCACATGAGTTATGACGTCACAAAGCCTCATAAACCATAAAATCATAATTGTAATTATATTTTACTTTGAAGAAACGTCAGGGAGATCATCCTAATATGCATATTATATTCTACTATAATCGAGAAACATGACGTTTTCACTCTCCAGCCTTGTGACGCACTCACCCTCCATAATTACACAACACCTTATGCTGAACACATGAGATTATTAACTGTATTATAACCATAACGACCACAACAAATGTACATGTACCTGATTTTAGCTACATCACCTGTTGTAACATGGCCATGGCAGTAGTATCAGGTTGTCGCTCTAGACGTCACAGCTTGCTAACCGTCTGGCGTCTGTAACACAGTACGTGTTTTTGCCGCTTTGTAGTTTCTACGTGTTAATGTGTGATACTTGACTGCTGTATTATTATAATACGGGGCTTGGTCACCACAATAAAAGCGTTATTATACTAATTGCACTTTTGTTAAGCAAGTATTATAGGCCCTATGACAAATCATGTCTGATAGTCGCGTTTTGCAACATTGTAAAGAATCTAGCCCTATATACGTAGTCTGTGCCCTGTTTCCTTAGCATACTGCACGCGTGTCCCGTACATTCCCCGCACGTGTAACATTCCCAACACGTGTAACATTCCCCACACGTGTAACATTTCCCACACGTGTAACATTCCCAACACGTGTAACATATCCAACACGTGTATCATTCCCCACATGCGTGACATTCCCCGCATGTATCCAGTGCCACCACCACTACATACTACTGAAATTCCCCACATGCCGCACATTCCCCACATGCCGCACATTGGGGGGGTCCAACTAAAAAAAAATATGAACGCACCCCTAAAATTTGAAATTCGTATTCGTATTTTTTTGAGTTGGACCCCCCCCCCCCACATTCTCCACATGCCGCACATTCCCCACATGCCGCACATTCCCCACATGCCGCACATTCCCCACATGCCGCACATTCCCCCCATGCCGCACATTCTCCACATGTCACACATTCCACACATGCCGCACATTCTCCACATGCCGCACATTCCCCATGTATGCCGCGCATTCTCCACATGCCGCACATTCCCCACATGCCGCACATTCCCCACATGCCGCACATTCCCCACATGCCGCACATTCTCCACATGCCGCACATTCCCCACATGCCGCACATTCCCCACATGCCGCACATTCTCCACATGCCGCACATTCTCCACATGCCGCACATGTCGCATGTGACATGCGTGATTTTCCCCGCATGTATCCATAGGAAACCAGCAGAAACACATCTCACACAAGCTGCTGCAACGTTGCTTCTTAAAAACGCTTGCTGTGTTGGCTTGTGCTCCTATGTGAACTGTTTTTAAATTGTTCGGCCGCTTTTAAAGTGTTTTTGTAGTTTAGTATAGATTTTATTAACTGTTATATTTGTTGGGGCCACGTTTTGCTGATGCAGACTGGCTGTCTGGCTGGAAATTTTGTTTTTGTCACCCAGATGTCCAGATGAGTAGTTTTCCGGCTCTTAAGTTGTTTTGTAATTTTTTCAGTGACAGTTAGTGTGTTAGATATTCCAAGAAATGTTATTTTTCCCTATTTTTCAGTTGCTGGACATCCTGATTGTCTCATTTCTCCTTTATTTTCAGTTGCTGGACATCCTGATTGTTTAAATTTCCCCTATTCTTCAGTTGTTGGACATCCTGATTGTTTACATTTCTCCTTTATTTTCAGTTGTTGGACATCCCAAATGCGGATGTCATGAACCTGCCCTCAGCCCCTACTGGAGCCCCAACCAGATCAACTGTGGTGGAGGAAGACGACGAGGATATGGCTGCTCTCGCTGCCTGGGCCACCTAGTGTCGTCACGTGTCAGATTGTGACGTCACGTGTCAGAGTGTGACGTCACGTGTCAGAGTGTGACGTCACGTGTCAGATTGTGACGTCACGTGTCAGATTGTGACGTCACGTAGGTAGTGTGACGTCACGTAATAAATGGGTTATTTGGGTGTAGATAATTTCTACAGCGACTTATGTCATTTTGTTATCATATTTGTACTGTTATAAAATGATATTATATAACAGCCTGTCCTTGCTAAGAAAAGCTGATAAATCTTATTTGCTTAAACATGACAAACGTAATTCAAGCGACATTTTAATGATTTTCCTGTAAAATTTTGATACGACTGACTCTGTCAATGATTTTCATGCTTTTCTGGAATATTTTTAAAATGCTAGATATGGAACAATAAAATCAAAATGATTATAATATATAAATTATATTCAACATTCTTATAAATTTATTACTAAATAAGTTTTGTAAATACTCTTATATGATATTTACTATTATATTATATTGGTATATACGGTCAATATACCGGGTACCTCGAATCTCGATATACCGGGTACCTCGATATACCGGGTACCTCGATATACCGGGTACCTCGATATACCGGGTACCTCGATATACCGGGTACCTCGATATACCGGGTACCTCGATATACCGGGTACCTCGATATACCGGGTACCTCGATATACCGGGTACCTCGATATACCGGGTACCTCGATATACCGGGTACCTCGATATACCGGGTACCTCGATATACCGGGTACCTCGATATACCGGGTACCTCGATATACCGAGCCACTTCTTCAGTATAGAGAGGTTTGACTGTATATCTATTATCTAAATTATACAAATTCTGGTATAAGTATATATTCTTTGATACAATGTCTTAAATAAGATTTGATAAAAATGCAGAGAAGTTACGAAATTGGGCACCAATTTCATTTTTTGGCAAACTTTTTCAATGGAATGTTTTATCTCTTAAAAAAAAACATTTGGAATTTTTCGACTTTTGAAGTGCTTATTTTCTCAGCTATAAGCTTGCTTTTGTCACATTCTTGCTTTTGTCACATTCTTAAATTTATTCCTTGAATTTGCAACATTATTTGTTCTATCTTTCTTAACATAGAAATGATTTTTAGTACTAGGAATAATTTAGATGTAATCTTCATATTGTGTAGTGACATATTACATTATAATTAATGTGTATAGACGCTTAAATAATACATTATTCTCGTATTATGATGAAAATTAATGATAAGCATGATTATTTGTCACTAAGTAAGTGTCCTAATGAAAATTAGAGCCAATTACTGACGCATTATTAGTTAACTTATTCCCATGTGAGTATTAATTTTTCCCGAGAGCAACAATTCAATTGTTGAACAAAATAATGTTCAATCCCTTTTTTACCGTGTGTTTTTTCAGAATTCCAGATTTAAAGTTTTGGTTCAATATACAAGATATATACCTCCCTTCCAATTTTAGCTTTGTACTAAAATTTGGTTGAATTAATTTTGATTTGATATTTTAGACACGAACTTTTCAGTGTAATTTCAATTTGTATTTTCTATCGTTACCATGGTTATGTCACTTATTGTTAATTGTAATAGTAACAGTATAACTAAAAGTTTGTGGACGCGTTTTAAACTCAATTGTTGTGGGAACTACTACTGGTTATAGTAGTAGTAGTAGTAATAGTAGTAGTAGTAGTAGTGGAACAGCGCCCTTTTCTTGAGAAATATCCAAAAAGTGGTTGTTAATAATGGCCCTCATCTTCTTCCGTCCCTGTCTCAGCTATTGTGTGGACTATGTAAATCATCTAAAGATCTAATTAGGCGCTAATAAGGCTGTAACTAATTGAATCTAATGATCTAATTAGGCGCTAATAAGGCTGTAACTAATTGAATCTAAAGATCTAATTAGGCGCTAATTAGGCTGTAACTAATTGAATCTAATGATCTAATTAGGCGCTAATAAGGCTGTAACTAATTGAATCTAATGCTCCCTTGAAACTTCACCACTAGGTACTCTGAACTTTATATCGTGGGCTCGGATTTTTAACAATTTTATTATTGTCTTACTTACAGAACTGAAGCTTGGCCAATCTATTTGAGCATCCGCTATTTGCATAGATCCGAGTGTATAAGGGTTTACAACAAGTTTCTGATATTCTTGATTTGTAACAAATACCTCTAAATTAACTCTAAATTAACTCCAATTTAGGGCTCGCTATGGCTTGATGGGTGGGAGCAGCTCGAAGAAGCGCCCTCTGAAAGTTGAACAAAAAGAAGATGTAATTGTACAGGAAAGGATACCTGCTGGTACACGCGAGGCAAGTGATCTTGTCCAGGATGTCCAGGACTTTGTTGAAACCGTCCATATCGATCATAATAAAGCCGAAACTCCTAAGATGATTGAAAATGACCTGGAAAATTCCAACAAGACCCTCTCCTTTGACAAAGAAGATATGATCGACTCAAACAAAATAGTCTCTTCTGAAAACTCCTTCCCAACTCCAGGCTCCTCTCCTGTGAACTTCTCCAAAGAACCCTTCCCCTCCAACAACCTCCCCACGAGGTCCCCCCTCCAGTTTGATCAGAATAACACGGTCTCCTCTCGGAAACCTCCCCACCCTGTTGTGTCAGACGGCTTAATGACCACGTCAAACAGGAACCAGACTAATTTAGGTCAGAGTACACGACACTTTAGTTCAATATATCGTCTGTTGGTAACCTTGGTAACGGGCAGGTCCTTGTTGGTAACCCTGGTAACGGTCAGGTCTCTCAGAAGCAGTTTAGTAAGAGTCAGAACTTCTACAAAAGCCGGGATCAAACCGGTAAGTACTTGAAGTTGAAGTTGACGATGATTTTTGTAGGGCCTAAAAACTGCTGGAAAAAACTGCTGATATTTTTATCATGGTCATCAATCATTATACCATTCGTGGAGTCATACTAATTATTATGATTTAAATAAAGTCAAAACCGCTCGCGCTTTTAGCTTCAAAAATAGCTTCAAAAATATTTCCCTACCATTAAATAAAACCCCTGACTTATCTCGTCTCAGGTTCAGGTCGCTTCAACTCCTACAGTGGTCCGGTAGAGGACCACACCCCTTCACACTTCTCCGGGGTATACAATAGACATGCTAGTGATCCTAACACTAACAAGTCGGGAGGGGATAGAGACGTCGCTTCTCTTCTCCGTCAGTCTCATTTCTTATATTACTTATTTACATACTGCTACTTTCAAAATATTACTTGTGAATTCTCTGCTGAAATCAATTTCCGCCATTTGCAAAAACTTTATTAGCGGTTGAGAGAGGCTTTGTAGCATCTTCTAACTTTCCCGTAGACATAGTCACACTATAACACTCTTCCACTCCTTTTTACAACCAAATCTTTCCAGGCAAGGACAAATTCTCTCTCCTCGGTTCCCAACTCCAACAACAGGAATCCCAAATCTTCTCCCGCTCCCAACAAACAAACGGACAAACAAACGGACTGTCCCGGTCCTCAGCTCCATTTCCTGCTCCTTCATCAACTACATACAAGTTCGACCCCGGCAAGTTCCGGCAAGTTAACGAGAGCACGCCTGTGATCAGCACGGGACGAAATGGTAGTATCAAGAAGACTGGGCTAGCGTCCGGACCGCTTGATGATAGGGATGAGGAACTAATTGCGAGTATTGAGCGGGAATTTGACTTCAGTTATTGAGCATTCGTCAGAAAGTGTTAGCTAATTAGTGACATCAACATTCTGCCCTCAGTATTGTATATATGACAGTAAACAGCAAGTATCATATTATTTCCAGATATTTTAGCATCAGACAGTTTCAGATCATATTCTTGAGAATAGGGTTGTATTGCTAATGAAGAAGGTAATAAACAGTAGAGTAAAGATGGAATTAACCCATCAGGAATTGAAACCGGGAATGTTGTTGTCTTATGCGTGATTTAATTTCACTTTTAATGTCGTCACGTGATAAATCCGATCCCGGACATCCCACAAGATCCCGAACATCCCACAAGATCCCGGACATCCCAAAAGATCCCGGGCATCCCACGAGATTCCGGACATCCCATGAATTCTTGTAGTTGCTCAATTCCTTATTAGCTGATGATCTGTTGATCGCAGAAATATGTATAAATATTAACTAGTTTAGTGCACGAACCTGTAGAATCTATTTATAATTATAATAGGAATTGATTCATATTATTCTAACGTTAAGTGCATAAAATATTATTTGTATACCTGATGTTTTTCATTGACAACATTTGTAAATTGACCCTTAAAGTTTGTATCATTTGTAAATTCACTCATACCATTTGTACAGGGAACGGCAAAGCTTTTTTATTTTGAATTAACAATCATTCATAATATCATAATTCTGTAAATAATAATTATTTAATCACAATGTTAATTGGGGATCGTTTGCATATTCAGGAGCAGCTTAAGGAGAAGGTGGTTTGGAAATGTTTACGTTAGCTACTAGTACTACCAATTTTTTGCAAAAATGATCATTTATTGTTGCCTTTATTGTTGGATAGGAGAAACAAAACACACGATTTAAACTGTTTCCACGTCAGATTCGCTGGTTATATAATTATTTATGCTTATATAGGGGTTTTCTCTCAATACTGATGGTTTCTTAGAAGGGGGTTGTAAAGCCGGGGGTGGGGGTTTCTAAATGGCTAAAATCCTGCTAACGTGATGTGTGAGCGATTCCTAATTATAACTACATCTTTCAAATACCGGATAAACGGGTTATATTCTCACATGACAACATATATAAAATTGTAAGTTCTTTTCGATCAGTGTAAATATATTTATTTGTTGATCTAAAAGTAACTGTAATTATGTAATTATATAATTATGTAATTATGTAACTGATTTACACACTGTTCCGGGTGTTTCACTTGCTGTCTTTAAATGAATCAACTCATCCGTGGCGAATTTTCTGGATATGTAATTATTGATTCTAAAAATAGATTTAATTTTATGTTATTAATAACACGATCTGAGTGAGTGATAAGTTAATTTAATAATGATATATTTATACGAGATAAATATGTTATACATTTAACAAATTTAATAAATATAATAAGTATAAGTGAATAAATTAACATTTCAAATTGTAAATGACGACAAACATCTTTATACTTAACAACGTCATTATCAGGACCTTATTTATGTATCATAATATAGTGATGACGAAAGCATTATATTTAAGAAATTAATTCCAATACGTTCAAAACTACTATATTACAACGCATAAACCAATAATCATCCTCCGACTGCCTTTTCTAGACCCAGAATCGCTATCATAGAAATTCAATAACCGCTTTTATGACTTAGACTGATAAGACCCCCTCAGCTATGTAAATCCCATCTCAACTTCAATGGAGCAGCAACAGCCGGGGCCGTCCGCCGTGCTGGACCCAGATCACGTGACTACTCCAATGAGTCACGTGACAAACGAGAAACAGCTAGCTGCCCACGTGACTGCACAGATTGTGGGGGTGGATTGCCACCCCCACTGCAAGACTGTTTTGGATCTGTACCGGTGTTTGGTTAGTGGGTGTCTGGAACTGCATTTTAGTGTGGTGTATCTCCGTACTGCAGGTTACAGGTTAGTGTCACGTGGTAGTCGTGTCACGTGGTAATGGTAGTCTTATCACGTGGTGGTCGTGTCATCTTGTCACGTGTTATCGAATGGGTTTACAAAAAAGCCAATCAATAATAGCCATTACTAAATTCTCTTCTAGATTAAAAATACATTTTGCCCACTATCTCAGTGATATTTCACCCTGTTTAAAATTAAGTTTGTTTCAGCGACACTGGTGAGAATGTGGTATGTCTAGAAGTTCAAGACAGGCTCACAGCCACCTCCCTCGCATCCCTCAAACTGTTCATCATCGGAGCTAGAATAGTAGGACATCTCAGGATGGGTTAGCTGACATTCATTTTATTTTTAAGTGTAAAATATTTGGTCATATTTCCTTGTTTCACTACATATATATATTATGTGAGCGAAAATTTATTTGCCCCGGTTTACTCATTACATGCCTTTGCTAATAAAATTAAATTAAATTAATTTTCTTAAAATTTAACAAATCTCTCTCCAGATGACGGACTACTGATAACCTGGACACGTGACTTAGCTCAGTCTATTCGGTTTGATGTTCCTATTGGTCCCCGGTCCTTCAGAGATCTGCTATCTGAGATACGTCATGTTCAGGAGGAGGTAATGGCATTTCTAACATTCTTTAGTTGTTAATAACAATTCCCTGTATTTGGTTCCAGTTTGGTTCAATCTAAATCTCATCAGATAATTGGATAATTTCCAAAACGTTGTGTGTGCAAGACTTGTACTTACCTAATGCCAATAAATTATAATACTTATATTGCTGGTATTAATCATTTAAAAAAGTAAAATTCAAGTATTAGCAACGATTGATGATACTTGAATTTACCAACATGTCCCTGAAACCTCCACTTCAGTTGGTATCAAAGACAGTTCTCCACATAAAGTCGCAGGGTGGTATTATAAACCTGCCTATGCTTAGTCGCATGCCGGACAACGTCATCGATAAAATCTTCAGGTTGGTGTACTTACTCCCCATCCCTAGTGAACCATAGAAACCATAGTAACTCCCATTATTAAATTAACAAGATCCCTAGTGACCATAGTTAACTCACTCCCCAACCCTAGTTACCATAGTAATCATAGTAACCATAGTAACCATAGTAACTCTAGTGCACTCACTCCCCAACCCTAGTGAACCCTAGTTAATGCTGATTAAATTATCAAGATCCCATGGTCATTTCCACCAATTTTAACAGATCTGTCCAACGTTAAAAAAGTCGATAATTAAGACGTAGATATTCCCCCTTCTTTCAACTCCAGGCAAATACAGCAGACAGCAATCTAACCATTTCAGTTTCCTGTCTGGTTCAGATCTCCGAGAGATGAGTTTTGTTTGTCGGAGGTTTAAGAATATAGCTTACTCAGATGACTTGTGGAGAAGTGTGTGCAAGAAACACTCCTGGTTCTCTAGACTACAGTAAGGGTAAAGATCACTACTAGTAGTATTAGTAGTAGTATCACTAGTGCAATTTATATCATATCCTTCCTCTTTTTAAATTGTGTTTGTGCGGAGGGGCTCCCAACTTCCTTAACGTTTTAAATTATTCCATTGGCTACTGGGCTACACCCAGCTGATAGCTTTTTACCGTTTGTAAAGTTATTTTACATCTTGAATGATATGTTAATTTTAATAAAGCAAATATCTTAATTTCAGACAGAAAGACCGGTTAAAAGGTGCTTGGCGAGCCTACTATCGACAATACAGAAAGTTCCGGAACAGAAGACACCGGTTGAGAAGGGAGCTGCTTGAAGCTGGAGCCAGAGCACCCACCCAACCTATCATCATGATTAACAGACGGAGAGGGAGGCGGCGAGGTGAGGACCCTCAGCAACCCATCATGGTTATAGATAGGAGGAGACACCGCAGACACGGTGCAGTGGGAGTGGCCCCGAATATTCGTCTAAATAGAGGGCTGAGGAGGGGTGCAGCTATCCCCCCTCCACCTCCTCCTCCTCCTCCTCCTGGTCCTGGTGCTGTAGCTGGTGCTGTAGCTGGTGCTGGAGCTGGAGCTGGAGCTGGAGCTGGAGCTGGAGCTGTAGCTGGAGCTGGAGCTGGAGCTGGAGCTGGAGCTGGAGCTGGAGCTGGAGCTGGTGCTGTAGCTGGAGCTGGAGCTGGAGCTGGAGCTGGAGCTGTAGCTGGAGCTGGAGCTGGAGCTGGAGCTGGAGCTGGAGCTGGAGCTGGAGCTGGTGCTGGAGCTGGAGCTGGAGCTGTAGCTGTAGCTGGAGCTGTAGCTGGAGCTGGAGCTGATCAAGACGGGCAACAGCGTGTTGGCCCTGTTAGGAGGGTATTCGCGAGAATAAATCCCAATCGTCGTCTGCAGATCGCTGTTCGTCGCAGAGCACAACAGCTTGTTCCAAATCCTCAACAACCGGTTCCAAATCCTGAGCAACCTGTTCCAAATCCTCAACAACCGGTTCCAAATCCTGAGCAACCTGTTCCAAATCCTCAACTACCTGCTCTTAACCCAGAACAACCGGCTGTGAACCCTAGAACAGTAGGAACGCCTGCCACTGCTCAAAGACCTGCTGTGGCAATGAACAATATTGGGGCTCCTTCAGCACAGGGTGATGCAGCACCGAGACCTGGCGGAAGAACTGGTCAGCGAAGTTTAGGAGAAGCAATAGGTAGAGGTAGAGCGCTGCTGGAGCAGCAGAGACGTATGATAGCGGAGGACATGGTGAGAAGGCGAGGAACTGGTCGGCAGCAAAACCTTCTTTCTGTGTCCAGGAGATTCGAGCAAACCTTGCAATCGGCTTCAAATCTTTTTGATCTTATCGAATCTGCTCCTGTTGCTGAACCAAATCAGATAGCCAGTGATGAAGGACTAGTTGAACAAAGACTGGTCGAACTGCAGAGACTTTCTCAACAATTTCATCAGCAAGCTCAGAGGCCCCCGGAACCAGCTCTGCCCCAAGTCCCAGCTCCAGTTATCACTCCCCCCGTTCCATTTATCACTCCCCCCGTTCCAGTTACCACTCCCCCCGTTCCAGTTACCACTCCCCCCGCTGATATTCCTGAGCCTGGTCCTGCAGTAAAACCTGTTACTGCACACAACCCGCAACCTCAGAATACGTTACCAGCAGTTGGATACAATCAAGCTGATCCAGTAGTACAACCCAACCCCATGAGAGAGGCTGATTCCCAACCACCAGCTGCTGCACTCCCAGACCAACCCGCCCCTCAAAATAATGCGCCAGCTGAAGATTTACCAGAAGTAGGACCTGGACAGCCCATACCAGTTCTCGCTCCCTTCCCCGACCCACCCAACGAGGAAGATGTTGCTGATGTCGACGATCAGATACAGTTCCAAGTTGATGGACAAAACGTTGTCCCGGGTCAGGATGAGCAACATTTCAGGATCAACCTTAACGCGGAACAAGGGCACCATCTATTTGCGGCCGTTGCTGCAAACCGGGCGGACCCAGCAAACGAGGTGATCCCCGCAATGAGAATGGAAGACGGTAACCTTCACATCAATGCGGGAGGTGTGAACATCGCTATAGAGTTACCGTTCAGGGGGGATAGAGCTGAACCCCCGCCAAGAGTTGGGGCTCAACCCCAACGGGAACGAGTCAGGCTCAGAGGTAGGCTAAGCCACAGAAACGAACAAAGTCCCTTTTTTCAACTCGACCCACGTAATATCCAGATTATGCGCGCTAGGATTGCCATCATAGGCAGCGAATTCGTTAAAAGAATCAAGTGTAATCTTTCCGGGGAGTTCCCCCCGAACCACAACTTCCTGACCCTTGAGTTGGTCTACATCTCGAACATGATCGCTAAGAACATCAGAGAGTCACTGGACATGAGCACTGACGACCCTGTCCCTCCCCCAGCTCCTCCACCCCTCCCTGAGTTTTACCCTTACTTCGACCCGGAGATGCCTGGACAGGAGGTCCTGGAGGGGCGTGTCAACGCAATCGCGGAGATCTTCAACGAAACCCTCCGGAACTCTCTTCGCTCAGATAAAATATTCGTCAACAGGAAAGTGAGAAACTTCCAGCACAACACTCGAGACAACAACGTTCACCCACCCTCTGATAACCTGTCCCTAGCTTCACAATATTTCCACCAGAAAGTTCGAGAACTGGTATCCGGTTCGGCGTTACAACTGGAGAACGTAGTGGTGAGTGGAGGGGAGCAGACTTCAGAGCACCGGTTAACACACCGTGTGCTGTCTGTGGCCCTGGGGAGACCGTATGAGGAAATTAATCGGCGAGTGGTAGGAAACGTTAACACAGAACAGGAACCGAGGAGGACTGCAAGTGTTAATGTTACTTTAAACTCTGCTGAAAATAGTTCAAATATCGACCCCGCTGAAAATAGTTCAAATATTGACCCCGCTGTAAACACCTCAGATATCAACCCGACTGAAAATATATCAGATATGAACCCGACTGAAAATGGATCAGATATGAACCCGACTGAAAACGGATCAGATATTAACCCGACTGAATACATATTAGATGTCGATTGTGTTAAAAACGGATCAGATGTAAAAGTAACCTCTGTTGAAAAGGGGTCAAATACGTTGCCCCACGATGATGGAGAACGGCCTGGGCCTTCACGAGAGTACACAGAGGAGCATGTTACTCCCGGTATCGATGATAATCATGTGATACCAGTTTCATCAGATTCAAAACGGTACCTTTCGTCAGAAACTGACAGCAGAGAATCCAAAGCCGCTAAATTGAGCTAATTTTTTATTTGTTTACAAATTCGTTTCTCAAGACCATTTTATCCAAACGCCACGGATTTTTGCAGTAAGTTTATCCGAACCACTAAATATAGACATTAGGGTATACAACTTCCAAGGGTTAGGGGTAGAGAATTTCTTAAGGGATCCTAACCCTAACCACAAACTAACTAGCCCTAACTTATACTAACCCTAACCCGAACTGAAGCCCTAACCCAAAATTTGTCTACCCTAATGTCTACCATTAATGGTCTAGCTTCTCGGAAACTGCCTAAATATTGTTAATATGCGCCATATTGCATATGCACCAGCGATTTAGTTACATTCATTTATTTACTGATCACTGATAGTGATATAATTTTGTTCAGATCCTTATGACTTACTGTATACTAATAAACACGATGAGATTATCTTAACCACGAATGTACCAACTCTGTCAAATTCTTTTATCTTTATTTAAATTTTTAATCATACAAACCGTTTAAAGTATGCGTTTTAGTGCCTTCAAAATCGTATTTATCAGTTACAACACACGGCAACGTCGCTCCCACTAAATCACACGCCAAGGATTTCAAATTTGTTCACAGATAGGCACTGTAGGAAATTTGTATTACTCAATTTCCGAAACAACCCATATGACATGGCTCTTACTAATTCGCTCGCCCAAAAATTGTCACGAGACTTTGGTTTTTATGGTTTTGCACCCGAACAAAACGGTTTTACATAAATCCTAATCCTGCAACCCTAACTAAAACCCTAACCCGAGCTAGCCCTAAACAATCAAATTCGTGTTTTACTATCCTGTCACGTGACCAAAACAGTTTTTTGCCCATAACTCTCCAAGAAACCATTTTTACCCTACGTCATGGGGGATGATTATATTCGGAATCAGCGTCCAAAAATACATCCAACAGGATTAAAGTCATACTTCCCCGAGGAACAAAGCACAAAGGGCGAAAAAACTGTGTCGGACATCAGTTTCACCTAACCATGTGTAGTGCGGGCGCGCTTGTTTCACGAGCGTACTTAATCACTCTACAGTCGATCTTCGAGAATGTTCTAAAAGGGCACCCGACAGTTGAAAACAACTTCAATCGATGTATTTTCGGACGCTGATTCCGAATCACCCCCCATGACATAGGTTTAAAATGCTCCCCTGACGAGATATAGGCGAAAAACTGTCTCGATCACGTGATATGACCGTATAAGGAAGTTAGTCTAATTTCTCGTTAGGGTTAGGGTTTCAGCATATGCTTTTGTTAAGGATTGGGTTAGGGTTAGGGTTGGGATCAGATAAGAGGGTTAGGGTTTCGAATAGTCGTTTAGGACCAGCTAGAGAACGGCTTGAAAAAGTCACGTGACAGTCGAGTGTAGAGTGATTAATTATCATCCCTTGTTTCACAACTGCAAAAGCTCTGGTATTATATATGAAACATTTGTCATGGAGTTGTAGAGGGAGTTATGTGCCTCGCCGGGCTAAAGTAGTGGATGACCTTGCTGTACGGCAAGTTAAACAAGGATCTGAAACTACTAGGTTCCGTACAGACTCAACTCTGCACCCGTGTCAATATGTTCATTATATGCAAGCCTCTTGATTTATAATCACCGAGTCTAGTAATTGTTTAAGAGAGTTCTCTGGCAGTTACGAAACTCGAGAGACTGTGGGATACTGAAGGGAAAGGAAGCAGTTCTAACGAGCTCTTCTCAAACACAAGGAAATAACTTGTGAACTCGTCTAGTATATATGAAACATTTGTCATGGAGTTGTAGAGGGAGTTATGTGCCTCGCCGGGCTAAAGTAGTGGATGACCTTGCTGTACGGCAAGTTAAACAAGGATCTGAAACTACTAGGTTCCGTACAGACTCAACTCTGCACCCGTGTCAATATGTTCATTATATGCAAGCCTCTTGATTTATTACTATGAGTACAGTCTTTACGGTTATATTAGATCAAGTCATCAGTTGTCCATTGTTAAACTTAATGGACTAGCCCGGCGCGCGCTACTTCGAAGAAATAACACGTGTATCAAATTACTCCATTCGCTATAATATAATAAATATATGTAAAGCTCGAAATTTTTCGTAATAGGTCCCCGAAAAGTGTTAGGGTTTTAGCATATGCTTTTGATTCACGACGTCAATTCTTCCCAGCGAGGCCCAGTGCACAGTAGTGCATTTCGCCGATCTACCGAGGTGGCATGGTGGGAGAAAATTCAAATTAAATAGTGCATCGCACTTTAACGGGTGATACTCGTTAAAGCGGCTCCCCCTGTATTATATCGTAAAAACTCTACAGGGGTTACACTATAGTGAAACTCTACAGGGCCTCGCGCCGAGCTGCGAAAAATTGACATCGTCAATTAGTTTACTGGGCGCCGCTCAGCCTTTCATTTCGCCGAATGTTTATGATTACTTGAAAACTAATTACTTGCAAACCAAAACTAACTCGGATCTTAATCCTTTGACATACGTTATTACGTTGCATGCCGTTTTGCGCGCACGAAGTGCGCGCCGCCGAAGGCGGAAAAAGGGGCATACAATGAAGGAAATCGGACTTTTTGGAGGACGCATATTTTGCGTCCCTATTATCCTATTTGACCAAATATGGGATTACTTGATTGAGATGGCGCGCGCGCGCGCGCGCCACCAAAACAGTTAAATGCACTGTTTGCTGTTTTTAACCAAATCACAAATTTTGTGAATTTACTTGGTATCTTTGTACTTTTTTTATTGTTTAAACGACTTTAGTAAGTTATTGTAACCTTCATTCAAATGAAAATTTATATGTTTTAATATTTTTGTGAACTGAAAATTTTGTTCCAAACTGCTTAATTTTTATAACACGAAGCCGCGCACTTTAGATGTAATCTCTCTGATATTTGTGATACGTAACTGCATGTATCAATTAATTCTTAAAGTATAAACAGCTCAAATATCGTTTTACATTTTACAAGCCTGTCACGTGCGCGCTCCTGACAAAAAATAGTTATTTGCTCATAATTCGTCAGTAAGCGATTTTCATGCTATGTAATAGATCTTATTTGAAATTAGCGTAAAAATATATTGGTTGAGCTTACTTTTACAAACCCACAGCTTACTCATAGAACATGGAAACGTATGAGCGTGTACACAGAACGTTCGAAATATAATCGCGCCTCTAAATTTTAACGGGTGACACTCTTGAAAATTTGTTTAAATTATTAAGACTGTCGACGAGTCCAACTCGGCGTGCGTCTTGCTAGCTAGGTTATAATCCTATAACACTAAATTACATGGGCGACAGCAGCAGTTAGCTGCAGTTTCGTTGCACTTAGGTCCCCCTGTGATCGCGCTATAATTAAAATAATTTAGCATCATCGTGCATCTTACCTGGGGACCCTAGGCTATTATGTTCATAGACATATATTCCGCCGAATAGAGATTCGGTGGAATGACTGGCTGAGCGCCGCCCAGTAACGTGCATCATGTAATGTAACCATGCCATATATAAGAAAATTGGTATAATTTCTCGTTAGGGTTAGTCAGTGGCGTAACGAAAGGCCCTGCTGACCCCGCTGTGCAGGGGGGCGCCGTCTTAGGGGGGCGCCAAATCGTCGTTTGAATGTGGGACAATTTCGAAAACTTAGCTAAAGTACTAGCAAAACTGCGCGTTTTGCTCTAGATACACACTTTTTTAGAGATTTTACCGGCGTATTCTCTAAAATCACCTAATTTGTTCAATTTTAGGGAGGGCACCAAAAGGGGAGGGGGCGCCAACAGGGGGGCGCTTTTTTCGGCAGGGGGGCGCCAACAGGCAACGTTACGCCACTGGGGTTAGTAATTAAGAATAAGCATATGCTTAGGAAGCGCCTTCGGTTTGAAATCTTTAGAACAACGGTGATTTCTCTCCGGGGAGACAGACTACAGAGGGGCAAGAAAGAACTTTGTCAATATAGACAGTTTAGATTTGAACTTGGAGCCGCAAGGCCAAGGGTGATTTTCAAAACTTTGAGTTGTTGAAGGGTTTAGTTTTTCTTTTTATATAGGGTCATTGTGACATTATGTGTATATTGTTTGAATAATTTATTATTTAAGACCACTCTTCTTAAATCATTTTAACCACAAAAAAATAAGCATATGCTCCAGTTATTTTAGGGATTTGGTTAGGGGTCAGTGTAGAGTGTTAGGGGTTCAAATAATCCTTCAGGGCCACCTACAACCTAGAGAACGTGTTCAAAAGTTACGCGACAGTGTAGAGTGATTAATAATTATCCGAACATCACACAGGCCAAAGATATTCAGATGCTGTGGGACCCAATGAGCCCCGAACTATTCAATACTTACATCCATGAACTTTCAGAACGTCTGAACAGTATTCTAGACCTCTCAAGTCCATGGCTGAATAATACTGTCCTGACCCACCTCCTGTGAGCAGATGATCTTGTCCTCCTCGCACTTTCGAAAGGAAGTCTTCAGGTCATGATCGGTGAACGTGAGTCATTCTGCAGAGACTGGGGGCTCTCGGTGAGCACCTAGAAAACCGCTATTATGATCTTCAATAAAAGTGGACGGCAACTCAAAGAGAGTTACAACTTTCAGTACATGGGGGCCACGATCCCATCAGCGAAAACATATTGCTATCTAGGGATCACCTTCTCACTGTCGGGCAGCTTCAAGATATCATTCAATCTTCTGCGACAAAAAGCTCTCCGGGTATACTTTGGACTGAAAAGTGAGGTAGACCTCAACAATATATATCCAAGGTCGCAGTACTCAAACTGCTTGACTCCCTCATCCTGCCAGTTGTGTCTTATGGAATAGAAGTCTGGATCAGTAGTAGCTCAGGAATAAAGGCGTTTTCCAGCACAACTGACAATCCAATGCAATCCCTACTGGCAGGCATTGCAGCTGACCCATTCGAAAGAATGCATCTCACCATACTTAAATGGACCCTTGGAGTTGGCAAAACTACATACAGCCGGGGTGAAGGTGGCCATTCAACTCTCGCCAATATTAGCTACTACCAAGTATATTGAGGTGTAGTAAAGAGATATTGGACTATGTTTATTTGACAACAAACATATTTGATTTTGATATTCTCGTAATATCACGGGAATAGCTTTTCTATAAATTGAGCTGTTTAGTTCACAGAAAAGCAGATATGGGCTGCTTTAAATTGATTTTTTTGGAAAAAGTTTGTTTCAGTTACCATTGAAAACCAGTAGTATTTAGTAACTGCATTGTCAACCTCACAGTCTCATTTTGAAACGTCAACTGGTAAAGTCAAATATGTTGTTGTAATTGTTCAAATCTTTAATTTTACACCAAATTATCGAGGTTTTATAACATTTTAGCAGGGTAAGTTTTTAGGTGGGTATTTAAAATTAGTATGTTGGAATTTAAAGTTTTTGATCTCTACTATTATATTATATTTATTGTTAATAAAATGCTCATTGTAGCCAGTTATTTAAAAATTTTCATCATCATCATCACTCTAAAGTCCAAGTACTCATCCTTCTTCTCTTGTATACTTCTTGAAGAGTTTTTGTCCTCTTTGATAAGCAGGTGGGATGTGAAACCCTCATGTCAAAAAAGGTCAAGTATCAAACCCATTTGATACTTGACCTTTTTTGACATAAGGGTCCAAACTCCTCTAGCAGATACGTCAATCCAAGCTTGGTCACCTTTTATAGTCTTGGGGTTGAGACAGTCACCCTCATTTACCTTCTGTAGCTGGGGTTTAACTTTCACGTCATGCTGATAAGGCCAGGCTAGACATATCAGCAAGGGGAGTTTGGAGAAGACTTTTTTTTGCGTATTTTCAACCCCAAATTGCCTTCATATCAGTCAAAAACAATGTCACAGCTTCACACCATGCACAAGAATGAGAAAAAGAACCAGTACATGAACCAAGTGCTACAATTGGAGAAAGGGTCATTCGTCCGGTGAGCAGTGCAAAGTTCTCTCCGTACAGGTTGAACAGTGTTTTGCTGTTATAAAGAGATGGATTAATGTAGGTTCTTCCTTCAGCTTAATGATAGCAAGACACAGATTATCGTTGTTGGGTCAAGCAAGGTACTGCAGTCAATAGAGCTGCTTGGGACAAATCTTGGGACTGGTACTACCATTCGTTTCATCTCAACGGTGAAAAATCTTGGGATATATATGGACAATCGACTATCCTTTGATAACCATGTAGTTGAGTTAAAAAAGAAATGTTTCAGAACCCTACGGAATATAAGAAAGATACGGTTTCTTCTTACTTTCGATCAAATTAAAACTGTGGTTAATAGTCTGGTGGTTTCCTGCCTTGATTACTGCAATGGCCTCTTCTTCGGTGCAACTGAAAAAGTATGGCACCAGCTACAGTTAATTCAAAACGCTGCAGCCAACGCTGTCACCGGTAAATATAAACATGATCATGGATGATGACCTAAAGAAACTCCATTGGCTGGATGTCCGAAAACGTGTGGTGTTCAAGCTAGCACTGCTTGCTCACAAGGCGATTGTAGGATCTGCCCCAGAATACCTCCAAGAAATGTTTCGGTACTCCCATCATGGTCACTCTCTCAAGTTGATTGTTCCACACGCTTCTTCGTTAGCAGGCCAAAGATCTTTCAGCGTGATAGGTCCCAAAATCTTCAACAACCTTCCTCTGTCTGTTCAAAGCTGTTCTACTAGTAACAGCTTCAAATCGGCCCTCAAGACTTATCTGTTCAGTTTATCAACTCAGGATTTGGAAAAACTTTACTCATGAACTCGAGACTCTAGGTTACTGAGTTATATTATTATATCGTGTATTGCCGGGAAGGCTGTTAATTTAGGATAGAGTTTTTGTGGCACTTATCTTTTTGTTCTTTTGTAGTTTTTCTCACACAGCTGAGTAAAAGTTTTTTAACTTAAAAGCAGTGTTTATAATTCAATTTATTATTATTGTTTTAAACAACCGTTTTAAAATAATCATATGCATCGATATTTGATATTCCAGATAATTTTAATAACAATTAAAAAATAGATGTTACAAAATAACAACTTGGTTTTGCAGGGTAGCATGACAATATGATTGATCTGGTCACCCCAAAGTCTTTGAAGGTAATTCTTGTAAACTTTTATTGTATTTATCTTTATATGGCATCTTAAAAACCTCACAAATTTGAATATTATATCAGTGTTCGAAATGTATCCCATTCATTGAGTGATTGGAAAAGATGAAAATTAATGAGGAATTTTTCCGTTTCTGTTATATCCATCTATATTTATCGGATTAACCAAATAAAATTAATGATTATATCCCTCAGAAGAGTGGCAAAAAGAAAAGTACCTCCATCGAATTCGGTATTTCATCAGAAAACGTCTTAAAACCCGATGTCAAAAGGAAACGACAAAATGAAAGTCTGTCAGAGGATCTGAACGAACCTGAGTATGTAAAGTTAAAAGTGCTAACTGCTAGTCACAATTTAATTTGTTTCGGTTAAATTTTCATTAATATTTGATAGTTGATATTTATTTGTCTTGTACTGACTACTGAATAAGTTGATACCTCAGCAAACATTGTCCCTAGATAGTTTAAACTTGTGCCAAGAAAAGTATTGGCCACCTCATTCTGATTACCAAGCACAAATCATAAGAAAAGCGCCTGTAGACTAAGCTATTATTACTTGGTTATGTTTGCAATCTAATTTTAAGTTATTTAATATTTTAATTTCAGGTCCACCACTCCCGATGAAAACTTCATGTTGCCTGTAAGTAATTTTAATACATCCTCCTAAAACGAAACCTTAGCTAGTAATAATGACGTGACGTTACAATTCATCACGTTACAATTTATCACGGCCTTTTTGTACTCGTTCATCTAGCATAGCCTCCTACCCATAAAATCCGGGCAAGGGACGAAAAGGGGCCAAATTTTTTGGCCTCATTTGGCTTATCCTGTTTAACTGCAGTCTAACTGCACGATAGTCCAAATTTACATTCCTCATTGCTAGAATTCATTCCTTGAAACAAATTTTCCAAAAATTGTCCCAGATCTTGTATCTTTTATATTTCTAAAATTTTGTAGGACTTTATCCTTTGACCCTGAAATTGGCACAACATAATCTTGCTGGATTTATCATTTCACATTGCTAGATTTCAATTCTGGGAGCAAACTTCCTGAATTTTTGTTCGATAGAATACATTATGCATCCCTTTTTTGAACTACACTTATTTCGCAAGAGCTGCTTGTACATTTAAAATCGTATTATTTGAATCGTTCTTGAAACTTTGTTTGAAAGTGATCTCTATTGCAAATTGCTCAGCTAGGCCTTTTGCACGTGCAAAATCATCAACAAATTTCGCCATTAGTATCCATCTGCCAAAATAATTTGGACAATATGCAGCCTTCGCTTAAGCGCCATCCTGTCATAAACTTTTCACAGGCATGGTTGACACTGAACTTTTTGATGTTTTTGAAATTCAGGCTGTGGCCAAAGCGTGTGCTAAATCTTAAAACCTCTAAGATTTTGGCCCCCTCATGAAAATCATTCCTACACCCCAGCACCCCTCCCCCCTCCTTCTCGTTTAGTTTATTTGTCTCTTACTGAACGCTAAGATGGGTTCAAACGTTTTCTCATCAAAATATTGAAATACAGTATTTACTAAATATTGGAGTTTAATCCACTGTAAAACTATGTCTTACTCCGCATAATCTGCGTGTCTGTGTTATTTTACTATCTAACGATATCCATACTGCAATGCACACTTCCAGGGACGAATTTAAACCCTTGATGAATTATAATGGTTCTCAGGCTCAAATGTTGATTACTTACTTTAGGTTACTTTAGGTAGGTTCGGCAGGGATCGCTTCTGGACAACAGTATCAAGTACGTCCTCCAATCACTCCTGGCTTAGATCTTTTTGTAGAGTCCATTCCAGAAGAGAATTATTTGTGATGGCGGTATACCCTTTTGTGGGCGGGGTGTCCGGGAAGCCTTTCAGGAATTTAGCAAGGGAGGATTTGAAAGTTTCCAAGACTTGGATTGTGTTAACTTCCTTGGGGAGCAGGTTCCATAGTTTGGCTGCTTTTACTCCAAAAGAGTTTTCATAATGGGTCGAGATTGAGCATTGTGCCTTTTTGTTAAATGCAGGCACAGTGGCCTTTACACCGTGTCGGGAGCTTTCCTTGAACTGCATGTTGATGTCGTTCGGAGCTAATCCATTCATCATCTTCCATGTATGGATTATGATGTATCGTTCTCTGCGTCTCTGTAATGAGAGAAGATTCAGGTTCTGCAGGCGTTCCCAGTAATCAAGGTTCTGGCAGCCACTGATTCGACGAGTGTAGTGTCGTTGGATGCTTTCAATAGCTTCTATATCGCTGATCTTGTCAGGGTTCCACACCGGGCAGCAGTATTCGAGTTTGCTTCTCACCATGGTTTTGTAGAGTGTGAGCATGAGGAAGCGTGACCTATCTCTGAATACGCTAAGGACCCATGACGTCATCGTCCTTGCTGTTTTAGCCATCTGCTGTATGTGAGAAGACCAGGAGCAGTCATTTGACAGGAGAACCCCTAGGTCCCTCACAGTTTTGGCTGGGTCAATAGTTCTTCCATTTGTTAAATTGTAACAGGAATATTGACTGGTGAAGGGCAATTCTCTTAACAGTAATGAATTGTTCAAGCTGTAATTCAATATTTCGAATTTGGCCTCATTTAGTTGCATGTTGTTCTTCAGGGCCCAAGCGATTACATTTAGGAGGTCGTCTTGAAGTAGGCTTTTGGTAGCTAAGTGATACATTTTAATTTCTTTTCGATGTGGAATTACTCTTTTCTGTAAACTTAAGTGGTCAATCCTTGAACTGTCTCCTAGATATAGGATCAAATATGTCGTTTTTCAACGTGACACAAGCTCGTCGATTCTGTTAAGGCTGAACATGACGACTACGTCACACAAACCTGGCCCCATAATTGATGCATTGTTTGTAACGCGCGGAAGGGTTTGCTTAAACAAAGTTTGTTTTCGCGCGGTCTGCCACTGCATGGTTTTTAATCGCGCGCACGTATCAGATCATGGCTAAGCTATTCGATTCCCTTAAATTCGCAAGATGGCGTCTTATTTCACGCCACGTACAGCCGCTTTACACCGTATTCTTTAATATGTACACTGCACTGAGAAATATAACATTCTTTCACATTTCTAACATTAAAAAGGAAACGTTGCTTTTAGAAATTATAGTTAACACTAAAACTGTTTATTGCAGGGCGACATCAAGTTTATAAAGTCAGATAAGGCACTAGAAGTTGACGAAAGTACGATACCCTCAGATTTAGACGACCCTAACAACAGCCTACCACTTAGTAACCTAATCGCTTGTAGAAGGTATTGAATTTTTGATAAACGCATCTTTGAAACCATATTTGTATTGCATTCAATTTCCTTTCTAATCATTCCCTTTCAAGTTAATAAAGTTGAATTAAGGGGCTAATATTTTGCTGAAGAGATAATTCTCCACAACTCTTCAGTAGTCAGGCAGCTCCAGAAAGTGGTCTAAAATGTGTGTGGTCGCACAAGAGGAAAGTCCTGAAGAAGAACAGTAAAACTTGCAGATGTTATTCAGAGTTGGAGCAGCAGACTTTAGCTCGGTTAAACTCTATTAAAGTTGTGAGTAACAACTGCTGGATCGTCGTATTCATTCGACGCATTTTTGTATTGAATGAAGAAAAGTTTAAATTTATTTAATTATATATGTCAGTAGATAGGCATACTTTTAAAGACCATGGTAAAGTAAAGAACCAAACCAGTCATCAAATCATAAAGCGTTTGAAGCTCTAGCTACTTTGTTATCTTTATCCAGGGATAATAATGGTCTTCTTTCAGTTGAAATCCAAGAAAAGATTTGTGGAACACTTCACTGAATTCGAGAAACAGGCATCGGATGTTCAATGTAAGATTATAAGTAATAGTTTTGTAATTGAGTCTCTTCCCTTAATCTACAATAAATCTGATTTGTCGCATCCTTTATATTTCCGTATATAGCTGACACAAATATTTACCGATAAAGTGCTGTATAAAATGTAACTAAGCTATTTATTTATTATTTATATTTATATTTATTTAATTAATAATTTCACTCCTTTAGGCGAGTATCCGTACTGTAAGCGACTTGATCCAGTTCCTGCGTCGCAACGTACAGTTTCCTGTAAGCTGGTGAAGAAGAGTAAACGACACAAGTTGTGTAAGAAAACACGGACATCTCAGCTGCTTGTTGGGAGTAAGAGGGTCAGGGGTGAGGGGCTGAGAAAAGGTTCGTCACAATTCCAAGTAGTTTACAGGATTAATACGATTAATAAAACTAAAATAGTTTAACCTTAATTAAACTATGCAATTATATGAAAATTTGTGAGAGAGATGTTCTGCGTGATTAGTAAATTAACTAATTATTTCAGTGCGTTTGTCGTCGTACTTTATAAACGAAGTGGTGAGGTTAATGTTGGATAACCCGACCGTTTGGTGCCTGGATACTCTCAACAGACTACTCAAAACTAAACAACTTAATTCTAGGTATTTTATTGATTTATCAAAACTAAACAACTCAACTGTAGGAATTTTTAAATTTATAACTGAAAACCCTTTTTTTTGTGAAACGTTTTTCAAGAAAAGTGAATCACACTGTTAGAGTGCAACACGTCGTTACAAAATTATAACCAATCGAAACTCTCCCAGCACAACACGTGACTATTCTTGCATAACACGTGACTATTTCAGCATAACACGTGACGTGGCTCGTGTGTTTCTGGACAGACAAGATGTGCTCGGTTTACAAAGTTTGGTCAGAAATACCCGAACTTGCAGCGAGAAACATGTGGCGGAGGTCATACATTCTGTACTTATGTGAGTCACGGGTTCTAACCGTTACTTTGGTTACTTAAGTTTATTAAACACTAGACATTCTCTTCTTGTTTGACTATATTAACAACTTACTAACACCAAATTAACAACTTATTAACAACTTACAAACACCATATTAACAACTTACTAACACCAAATTAACAACTTATTAACAACTTACAAACACCATATTAACAACTTACTAACACCAAATTAACAACTTACTAACACCAAATTAACAACTTATTAACAACTTGCCCCTCCAGGAGTCCGGTATTCTCCCCTACTAACAAAGTAGATGGTAAAGATAAGCACACTCTGGACCAAATGTTGGGTGTTTTGCTGTCGCTTCCGTTTGAGAGCTCCGCAATGAAGCGAAATATAAAACTGTTTATTACTCCTCAGCAGGCTAAGGTTTATAATGTTACCAACCTTCAGTAATTAATTGTATTATTTAAGTAGTTTGTACAATTTTATTGATGAATCTGTTCTCATGATACTTTTAATGAGAACAATCGAACTTTCCACGTTGTTTTGTATGTATACTATACTGTGTATATAATGGAATTATAAAAATAATATAAAAAAACTCCTCGTATTTCAGGTACTACTGACCTTTATTTACGAACAACTTCTCAATTCGAGACCTGTTCACTCAGCACGGCCTACATTTGATCAGGTTTGAGAGCAGCTGTTTTTCTTTTTCCAATTAATAATTTCTGTGGTTCGAAATAGTGCTAAGCGCAGTTGTAGTGATTGTAACACACACGTTACACACGGTTTACAGTGTGACGCCTGGATTTCGAATATTAACAATAATTTCTCAAGAAAGTCAAAGGAAGGCTCATCAATTCTGAGCGTATGATTTATCTTAATTGTTAACTTATTGATCATATTATACAAATTCAAACTAAAATGATAACTAATTTCATCATATTAAACTAATCGTTTTACAGGTTGTACATTGGTGCGACTCTATAGTCGAGGTGTACTTTTCAACTCTCGTTACTGAAACGGAGCTCGTCAGAAAAATCAACAACTCCATCAACCAACATGTGAGTGGTTTTTATTGAATTTAATTACTAATTACATTATTATATTAAATTATTTCAAGGGTGAAGCGACTGATTTCGACGTGAATCACCATTTAGTCTCAAATGACCCCAACTTTAATTTAATACACACAATCAGTATTTTGTGCATTGTGTTTCTTATCAGCTGTTATAACAAGTTTCCACTCCATAAATTTCCTTATTCCGACTTTAAAATCGCTAATTTTAATCCTTGAATATTTCAGATACATTCCTGTCGCAGTATGTTTGCTCTGAATGAATTCCTCTTCCGAATAAAGCATTCCAAAAAGTTCAGTCACTGATAAAATATCGCGCAATTAAAAAGATAAAATTTCTGGGTTTTATCTTTAAATTAAAGCGGATTTTCCTAAAACAGACAGTATCCTTTTTTCCAAAATAAGTTGTTTATAAAGTTTAGCGGTCATTATTAATTATTAGATATTAAATGCGAGATCAAAATTGTTACCACAACCGATATATTTACGAGGAGTACAAGTTTATCAAGTCAAAACCTAGATAGTATCTAGATAATACCTAGATACTATCTAGATTTTATATATACATAATAAGGAGCAGGTGGTTTCAAAAGATGTTTGCTCGGACCAACGGTAGAAATTATTTTATTATATTTTACTGTACAGTTCATTGGCACAACTTTTACCACCACTACTAGTTATAGAATTAGAAGGACGGCATTTAATCTAAATTATTTTAGGTGACACTTTAGTTTTTGACGGATTACATTATCCAACGTTTTTTGGAAGAGATCCGCTGTTTTAAATTGGGCTATTTTAATTTTTAGAGACTGTTGAATTGAGCTTATTTTATATAGGGACATCCATTTGTGACTCTTTTTATCATCATAAACGGTAATTTATTCATTTAAACTGAAATTAATTTGCCTCTATTCTAAAAGTGGAAATTATAAGTGACTGTTTAAATATTTAGTATTTGCAGCTCGCTAGTGCAAACCGCGGAGTGAATAATGTGAATTGTGTTGAGCTGTAGAGAGGTCTGTAAAATCAAGGTATGGGGGGAGGGGGGTCTTCTAGTTCTACACTTTTTTACACCATACTTCACCCCGTAAAAAGGTAGAAGTGTAGTGTAAAAAAGTGTAGTGTAAAAAGTGAAATTTGTTTCTCACCAAAATTATGTTTAAAAAGATAGTGTAAAAAGGTGTAAAAAAGGTGTACTCTTTATACTACACCACACACCAAAAAAGGCAAAAGTGTAGTGTAACCCCCCCCCCCCCCCCCCCCCGTATGGGGTTCAAGGTGATTACCGTGGTTTGCGCCAAGGGAAAGAAGTATGAAATGGCTTTAAACGGCTTATTTATATTATAAACTGCATAGAATGTAAAATGAAACACATTCGATAAAGTATAAAATTTTTAATAACATTATATTAGATTTAAAACTGAAAAGTCACTCTGACGAAATCATTGCATCAACTTAACTTGGTAAACTTCTGGCTTGCCAATATGAATAAAACAACTGTCAAGAAAAATGGGCCATTTTATAGAAAATTAGGCTTTTTATTCATTTAATTGTGTTAATGCTAAATTTGGAAACTCAGTTTTGAAATGATCATAAGCCGACCAATAAATAGATTACAAAGTCGAGCTAATTCCCATGGATCACCCTGATAGAGCTAAGTAAGGCTGTGTTACATTGCAAGATTTATTTAATGACAAAAACGTTACATAGATTTCCTAGTACGTAATACTAAGTCCTAACAAAATCTGAAATCACAGATACCCACACTCCTCAGGGCCTTATCAAAAATCACATGATCAAAATAAATTTATGATTCCAGCAATTTGTGGATTATTCGGCAGCTTTCTTTTTCTGAGCAGCTTTCCAAGCTAAATACTCCTTCATATCATCATCACCTCCTCCCTGATCCGAATCTGACCCTGAGTCTATATTGTCTTCTTTTTTAGCGGGTTTGTCTTCGAACAAGTCTGATAAGGAATCTTTTGATTCCTGATCAGTTTCTTTGTCATTGACGTTTTCTTCTACCTTGTCTGACTCGGCCTCAGTTTCTATTTTATCTTCGACTACCACTTCAGCTTCTAACTTATTTTCTTCTTCTAACTTCTTTTTATTTTCTTCTTCTCGCCTCTTTCTCTCCCTTTCTTTCATCTCCTCAGCTAACCTTTTTTCTTCAGCTAACCTTTTTTCTTCGGCTAACGTTTTTTCTTCAGCTAACCTCTTTTCTTCCGCTTCTTTTTCTTCTCTAAGACGTTTCTCTTCCTCGAATTTTTTTCTCTCTTCTGATTCTTCTTCTATTCGCTTACGTTCTTCCTCCGCCTTTCTCTGTTCTTCTTCCTCCCTCTTCCTCCTTAATTCTTCCTCATATTTACTTTTTTCTCCATTAGCTTGTTCCTCTGAACGTTTTTTCTCAGCCCTCCATATTCTGAATTCCTCCTCATCATTCTGTTTCTGAGCTGCCTCTTTATTTGCTTTCTCCTTATTTGCTTTCTCTTCTTCCCTCTTCTCCTCTTTTAATACCTGGGTTAGATTGGAAGGGTTAGATTTGCTTTTTAACGAATAAATACGAAAAAAACATAATTTCAGTTCTTTTGAGAGAAAATACAAATTCATTTTACCTTTCTTGCTTTCTCTTCCTCTGCTTCCTTTTTCTGTTTCTCTTCCTCTAGTCTCAGTCTCTCTGCCTCTTTCTTGGCTTTCTCCTCGGCTCGCTTTCTTTTCTCTTCGTCCTTCTTGGCTTCTGCTTCAGCTTGTTCAGCTTTTGTTTTGTAGCCGAATTGTTTGGAGAACAGGACGTGAAATTTGGTCAAAACACCCGGCGACATTGCTGAAAATGGTACATTAATAATATTAGTAATATTAGTAATATTAGTTAGTCCAGGGCCCTTCAAAAATTAGAAGAAAGGTATGTGCATACTGCATATGGTATATGTATGAATATTAATTATGGTACAGTTATTTTACTTTTTAGTATAACGGGTGAGCAGTGAGGAACCTCCTTTGTAATATAGATAGTATCAATCATGTTGAAGCATTAGTAATCCCTAATACTCCACCTCATAATTCTAAATCCCCACTCTTGTTGAAGCATTAGTAATCCCTAATCCCTAATGCTAATATTCCACCTCGTAACTCTAAACCCCCACTCTTACCAGCAAATTTCCACTTGAACCGATCGTCAGCCATATCGCATGGTAGGAGTTGTAGGAATTTCCCGTCGTGTGTCAGGCATTTCCCACTTCCACCGTGTTTCACTGTGTTATCCTGCAATTTTAGAGCTATAAATCAAGTATTTAAATATATCAATAACTTAACTATACCATTAATATATCAATACCCATACCAAGACTGAGAGATGGATTCAAAGCTCTATACTTGATTACAACAATATAATTAGGCTAAAAGATCGGCATTACCTCTGTAATGAACCACGGCTGTGGCATAGTTGAATATATCAATGCCGATTACAGACACAACTCATTTTAAACATACATAATGAACTGGAGCTACAAATATTACACATTACTCAAGTATTCTAAACTCTCAAAACATACAAAACACATGATAACATTGTCTCACATTACCTCTGTAATAAACCACTGCTGGTTGCCTCTGAGTCCGTGGCACTCGTATAACACTACTTTCCTGGGGTTCCCACCGTCTCCATCAAGACACAGGTTATCATTAACAAACTCTCCGCTCTGTAACAACTTCCAAAACTGGGGAGGGTTTTTTAACTGTGAGTTAGCAAAACAACAACTTTTAGAAATTTCCAAACTTACTGTGGCTCACACCGTGTAGTTTATAATCTCAACATGTTGCAACACACGGCAAGGATAAAACAGAGAAGTAAATAATAATACAAGTTAAAAATAACCTGGTTGGCTCCCTTTCCATGGCAGGAATAAACCCCAACCTGGTGACCAACACCTGGCCCAAGGTTATCAAGACAGACGTCACCGGGCCCTTTCACCTGAGACAATTAAACTGTTACCATTATCCACAATATAGGCAAGTTTAATTGATCATAAGATTTTTAGATGTCTCAAACTTTCCTAATATATAATATAAACGGAACAGTGAAACTTACGCTAGTGATTACGCTAGTGTAATTTTGACACAATAGTAAAAATTGTTCGAAAAGTGATTACGTAATATGTGAACGACCCCTAACGGAACAATGAAACTTACCTCGCCATACCCCACAAAGTCCCTCTCGGGACGAGGTTGAAACTTACCTCACCGTACCCCACAAAGTCCCTCTCAGGACGAGGTTGGTCAGGGAACACCTCTCGGAGGTACCATGAGAAGGACCTGCACTTTAGTCGCTGTCTCAGCAGAACTCTGGAGACAATGTCTCCTCCCTCTACGTTCTTGTTACCCGGCACTGTGAGTTAAAATCAACTTGTATTTTATTTTAATACGTTGAATACTGAATAGGTTGAATTAAAACGTTTCGGTTGGACTTAAAAATATAAAAAATTACATTTTGTATTTAATAATAGAATCTTTTAACAACGGAAAATTATAATTTTTCTCTGAATTGGGACGAATTATTTAAAAAAATTAATCGCTATCGAATGACTCTTTGATACTGATAAGAATGTTATCTACCTGCAGCAAAAACAGCTTCCTTGTACTCATCGAGCCAAACATCCACCATACGTTTAGTATTCTGTTGAAGTGCAGTTTCACCTGTCACAGTCTGAAAACGGAGAGATAAGATTTCCTTGAATAATGAATAAGAAATGATTTGCAGCTTTTAACGGTTCAGTAATATGTAGTAATCTTACAACCATCAAAACTTGACGCAGAAAACTTGGAGAATTCGTCGATAGTATTAACGAGTAATATGATTAATAACGAGTAATACGATTAAGAATGTATCAATTTACCTGTAAGATAAGACTTGTTCTCCTGAAAATGTGCCCCACGTAGCTGCACGTGTTAATTTCAATGGCTCCACCGCACATCCAGACCTGATAATAATATTACTAATATTACTAATATTACTCATATTTCAGCGGTAAAATTATTGTATTGCGTTACACAGGAAACACACTGTTGGAACAATTTTATACGATGGTTTATTCAAATCGATCATTACAAAAAGTAAACCTTCTTTTAAAGATAAAGTAATGGTTCGTTTAAAAGTCCCAAACTTAACGTATTAAAACCCAGAATCTCAGTATTCTCACCCTGAAGGAAAGTTCTAGATTCTCAGCTCCCCAAACCTTCATCCCGGGATCGTACGCTCCGATCTCAAAGAAGTACTCCTTGTCCATCGCAAATATGCCGCCTGACATTGCTGGAGTCCTACAAGAAAAATAATATTATTAATATTATATTAATACTATTAATATAAACAAATATTTAATTTAAGATCTGTTAATCTGCCTAAAGTTTCATTTATAGTTACAAACAACTATAAATCACTATGAACATATTAACATATTAACTAACCTGATAGGGGCACTGTCGTCAAATCCTCGTCTCTGAAGCTCTCTAGCAGGGATTGGTCTCCACCTAAACAAGTAAACAGTATTGATGGTTCAGAGTTTAAATAGACACTTGTTAATCACGTGATGTACGAATAGGGGACGCCACTTTATTTTAGGCAAATAATATCGACGTAATAATAATATAATACAAATAAGAATTAATGCAAAGACCATATTTATATTTTAAAAACTATATAAGTGTGACTTGATGTTGTGCCACAAAACTCCAAGAATAACAGCTAAACAGGTAAATACACAATGTATAGTGTATAATGTATAGTGTACAATGTATAGTGTACCAGTGTATAGTGTACAATGTATAGTGTACAATGTATAGTGTGCAATGTATAGTGTACAATGTATAGTGTATAATGTATAGTGTACAATGTATAGTGTACCAGTGTATAGTGGTATATACTATATATACAATGTACCAGGTACCTGAAGCTCATGTCCCAGTCCCAAGCCCCCCAAATGGCCGTGTATTTATCGGAGACAAGGTTAAGAGTAGTGTGGTCTATTGTTGCTATCACAGGGCAGACTACCTGTAGGAGATGTAAGGGGTCAGGGGTGAGGAAGTGGGGTCAGGGGGTGAGGAAGTGGGGTCAGGGGGTGAGGAAGTGGGGTCGGGGTGAGGAAGTGGGGTCAGGGGGTGAGGATAGTTACACGAATGAGATGTAGTTGTAGAATTAACAATCATGAAAAAAATCGTATTCAAATGGTTAGATAAGGAACTATTTTGTTATCAAACAGTACGATTATAATTAAAAGCACTTAATTATAAACAGTATAATTAAAAGCACTTTATTATACGAAGTATTCAGTGCGACCGCTAGAATTAAGACTCACAGTTTTCCTATCCTCCATGACTCTGGCTACAACAGTAGAGTACCAGCCCTGCAACACCTCCACATGACTGTCCAGGAAAATCAGTACTTTACCTTCTGCTCCTTTAGAACCTATAATCCTACTTCTCATCAACCCTTCCCTGGGGAGGGGGGGGGGTTTAGTTTATCTGCAGTTGTTTGTGGCAGGAATTTGTTATAATTTGTGGAAATCATCAAGTCTCAAATGCGTCCTTTAGAAGTAGGACTACAATTTAAAATGAATAGTTTTTTTTAATACATGATCAGAGGTTTCTTACCTTTTAGAATTCCTGATAATCTTAACAAACGGAAAATTGGCTACTTCTTTATCTAATCGTGATCTCAGTTCATCTGAAGAAAATTGTTATAGGTGGCTCTAAAATACACATAATATGGAAGTTTCAATATGAAAGATTCTAGTGAAATTGGAGGCGCATACCTATCTCTATAGATTATAGTACAGGTTGCAGCACTTGGCGAAAGACAATTTGAATTTCGAGATAAAGAATTTTATAAATACCTCTAGAGGATTTATCATCTACGATAATAATTTCCTTGACACTGTCCATGGGAGTATTGAGAACAATACTAACAAGTGTCCGTAGCAAGGTTGATAGCTCCTCGTTATACATTACAATTATTATAGAGGTTGAGGCTAGTTCAGCGTCCGGTGGGAGCCGTTTTGCTGCTATCCGACAACTGGGGTTATTATTAGTTAGTGGTTATTATTAGTTAGTGGTTATTATTAGTGGTTATTATGTTAACTGTAAACTGGTATTATAGATTATATGATTAAAACTTAACAATTATGATGAATATAAGTCTCCCTAGATGGTGTCCATCAGTGTTCAGTTTACAAGGTTAAGAGAGAATAACCAAGGAATAATTGTTAATTTTCGCTTTTTCAGTCTCAAGACTCTGGGTTGACATAAATTTCATAGCAGATTTCGATGAAAACAAACAAGCTAAAAACTGCCACTTAATTAATTTACTCTTAATTTATAACTCTTACCTCTCTGATCTAGGATCTTTATGCATTCTGTTAACTGGTATTTTGTCGCTTAAATAAGTATTAAATTCGTTTAATTTAAATAACTCCTCTTTGTATCCCTCTAGATCCATTACCTGCCGAGATTTAGTGATCAATTAATTAGTGATCAATTAATTAGTGATCAATGCTCTGAAAATATGCAGTAAAGTATTCACCACTTGATTATGTACGTAGTTAAATGTTTACCACTTACAGTCACCACTCATAAAGTTAAAAAATTGTTCCCTACGAGTCAATCGGAACCATCAAATGCTTAACTTCAACTGTGTCCCTACATGTTGATAAACTCGTCAGGTTGGTGATTGCCAGAGCTGTACACGAGGCTACCGGACAACTGAACCCAATTTAGACAATTTAGACTAACCCTAACTCTAACCCTAACCCTAACCCTAACCCTAACCCTAACCCTAACCCTAACCCTAACCCTAACTGCTAACCCTAACCCTAACCGGCCTAACCCTAACACTAACCAATTAAGCTGATTGGTTAGTGGGAACTAGGTTCAATTGGGTTCAGTTGTCAGTCACCCGTACACGAGGTATGATGTGTACTGCGGAGGAACTAACAGAACCTAACGAGGAATGTGTAGCTGGGTGCCAGTCCGAACCTCATCGTGAGATCTTTAGATAATTTGTTTCTTACTTAAATACTTATTAGCACTTAGAGCGATGGTGCATCTTAAAGTCGTTATATGGAGAGATTCGCGGGTGATGGTAAATTTCCAAAACTTTCTCATTTCCCAGACGATAGATTCCAATTCAGCACCTCTAAATTTCAGTACACAAGTTTCCGAAAGCGTACTACTGTCTGAACGGTACTGCCGGATACAGGCCTGACGATACTAGTGCTGGACTCAGATGCGATCCAGAACTGATTAATTATAATAATTAATATTGGCTGCAATTCTGAATTCTATTGATGTTTCTGATGTGTAACTGCGATGAATATTTAGTTATGTCAGATTTTGGCCTGGCTCAATGTGAATGAGAGCTAATCGTAATTATAATTAATTCCGTAGGCTGTATATTAGGCTTAGAGATTTATAATTGTAAGCAGGTAATACACAAATATTTCGGTCTTGGAAAAGTAAATTTTTAGAAATTTTGTAAGTTAATAATTTGATTGACGTTGCTGATTCCTAAAAAAGGAATAAAGATAAGCAACGTAAACCAAATGAATACATAAATCAATCGCTTGTCTTCATCTGCGTCACAATGACATCTTCTTGCTTCTCTTGGGCGAAATCTCTTTCTTGGCTGAGGTCTAATTGGTATTTCCTTGACAGCTCGACTAGCTGTCATGTAACTCTTGTCACCTGTAATAAGTGGGGTCAGTTGAAAAGAACAAATGTAAATTGTGAATCTATCATCAAACTGAAAAGCCGGCTGAAATCTTATTTACCTGATCTGAGATTACCCGTTAAGTCTTCTTATAACTTTACCATGACGTTCTCTTGAGGTCAAGCTTTGTAACTGTAACCGGCCAGTGTAACTGTAACGTCGTTCTGAAAGAAATAAATTACCCTCCCTCTTACCCAAAAACCATCCCTATTCCCGAAACCTGAAATCGTTAAATTATTGAAAACTAGAAATTGTTTACGGAACATCAAATTGATCAAATTACAAAATCTTTTAATAGTAGCCTAGATAAAAGAACCGTGGCTCAGACTCTTCCCACGCAACAAGCAATGGTAACGGTTCCTCCTGGCTCCCCTCTGACTCCACTGGTGGTAGGTCCTCCCCAAGAATTATAACTTCAAGATCCTCTTCCAGTTCCGCGAAGTCACAATCTTGATCTTCCCAAGTTTCAGATGATGGCGACTGAAGTTTTGATGGGTTAGAAAAATTTTTTTCTTCCTCGTCGACATCAGGCTTAAACAAGTCGAAAATATCTGTAAACTTGTCCGGATTATACTTCTCTGGTTGGGGTATGCTGATGCAGCCCATTGCTTTATAGAACCTGAGGAACCAGGACGGCTGATAGTAGTCTGAGTCGTAAACGTACACTCTGTCTCGATTCTGCTTACTGCGGAAGAAAGACTTAAACTTGGATTTCACAGATTTGAAACTTGGCATATCGTAAACGAATGTATTGAACAGTTCTAACAGATAGCAAGTGAAATTAAAAGGAATGATAAAGCGAACGTGCACCTATAAATATGGTGACTCCTTTATCAAATCCTTCTTTCAAACGGTGAAATAAACATGTGTGGCTGAAATTTAGCAATGCGCGCGGCTCACGCGGCTTACAGTTACACATATCACTATCAGTATATCAGCCAAACATGTTTATTTCACCGTAATTGACACCACTATCAGACTATACAGTGTACTTGGGCACATAATGCTCACAATAAACACATTGTACCGTTTAAGTTTAGCGCATTTGGCATTGTGCATTATTTTCAGAATCTGTAAAAGAATTGTCAATTGACGCCGCGTGAGCCGCGCGCATTGCTAAATTTCAGCCACACATGTTTATTTCACCGTTTGAAAGAATGATTTGATAAAGGAGTCACCATATTTATAGGTGCACGTTCGCTTTATCATTCCTTTTAATTTCACTTGCTATCTGTTAGAACTGTTCAATACATTCGTTTACGATATGCCAAGTTTCAAATCTGTGAAATCCAAGTTTAAGTCTTTCTTCCGCAGTAAGCAGAATCGAGACAGAGTGTACATTTACGACTCAGACTACTATCAGCCGTCCTGGTTCCTCAGGTTCTATCAAGCAATGGGCTGCATCAGCATACCTCAACCAGAGAAGTATAACCCGGACACGTTTACAGATATTTTCGACTTGTTTAAGCCTGATGTCGACGAGGAAGAAAAAAATTTTTCTAACCCATCAAAACTTCAGTCGCCATCATCTGAAACTTGGGAAGATCAAGATTGTGAATTCGCGGAACTGGAAGAGGATCTTGAAGTTATAATTCTTGGGGAGGACCTACCACCAGTGGAGTCAGAGGGGAGCCAGGAGGAACCGTTACCATTGCTTGTTGCGTGGGAAGAGTCTGAGCCACGGTTCTTTTATCTAGGCTACTATTAAAAGATTTTGTAATTTGATCAATTTGATGTTCCGTCAACAATTTCTAGTTTTCAATAATTTAACGATTTCAGTTTTTGGGAATAGGGATGGTTTTTGGGTAAGAGGGAGGGTAATTTATTTCTTTCAGAACGACGTTACACTGGCCGGTTACAGTTACAAAGCTTGACCTCAAGAGAACATAGTCAAGTTATAAGAAGACTTAACGGGTAATCTCAGATCAGGTAATTAAGATTTCAGCCGGCTTTTCAGTTTGATGATAGATTCACAATTTACATTTGTTCTTTTCAACTTACCCCACTTATTACAGGTAAGATCAAGAAGATACCAATTCGACCATCAATATCAGTGAACAGCTGGGAGTGAAGTTCCGAACACAAAGATTTCGCCCAAGAGAATTAAAAAGATTTCAGCCAAGCAAGAGATTTCGCCCAAGAGAAGCAAGAAGATGTCATTGTGACGCAGATGAAGACAAGCGATTGATTTATGTATTCATTTGGTTTATCATGTTGCTTATCTTTATTTCTTTTTTAGGAATCAGCAACGTCAATCAAATTATTAACTTCCAAAATTTCTAAAAATTTACTTTTCCAAGACCGAAATATTTGTGTATTACCTGCTTACAATCTCTAATATATAGTCTACGGAATTAATTATAATTACGATTAGCTCTCGTTGAGGTACACTGGTAGTGGTAAAGTACGCTTCTAATGATGTCAGTTTCAATATCAACTGTGTTAATTGTGGTCGGGGTGGCACACAGGATTGATGCACATGGAATAGAATTGAGAATACTATCAAACTACACATTGTACTTGGGCACAGAATGCTCACAGTGTGCAAACTTTACCGTTTGAGTTTAGTGCGTTTGGCATTGTTTTCAGAATCTGAAAGAGAATTGACCCCCAACATTTCATACCCCATAGCCCCACGTGTGTTTGATAAACCTGTGTTATTACCACTACCAGTAACACTGATCACGTAAAAACACTGATCACATACTCGCCGTTTTATATTACTATTAGGGACAACCTGTATTATAAACGCGAGTAATATTAAGTTTGTAGTAATTGTACAGCAATACTATACTAAGGTAATGGGACTACTAGTACTAATATTAAGTTTAACTGTAAGTATAGTTATACATGCAAGAAAGTTCAAAGTAAATAAAAATAAACTTTTCGCCTAAAATAAAAAATAAAATCTCACATGATCATCGGAGGTTCTAAATTCTGATGTGTCCACGTGTCGCGGTGTGAGAGGGTCGTAATATTCTCTGAGGTACCCTACTGGGTCTCTGTAAGAGTAGGGATTAATAAACTCAAGATGAAATAGCTTTGTAATTGTATGATAATTGATAATGGGAACTTTGGGTTCGGTTTTGTGTTTTTAGACGAGCAGCAACTAGAACTTTAAGATTTCTCTAATAGACCAACTTTGGTGAAGCCGCAGTGTGATACACAATTGACGCGGAGGCTATAATCCCGATCCTTCTAATTAAAACTGTTTAGTTTTACAATTATTGCTCAGGAAGAAAATATCAACACACAGTTTCAACATCACAGCGTTCCACTTTTCTGAAGAATTGCACATTCGGCGTACTACTAGTACTACTAGTACTACTAGTACTACTACTAGTACTACTAGTACTACTACTAGTACTACTACTAGTACTACTACTAGTACTACTAGTACTACTACTAGTACTACTAATAGTACTACTAGTACTACTACTAGTACTACTACTAGTACTACTACTAGTACTACAAGTACTACTACTAGTACTACTACTAGTACTACTACTAGTACTACAAGTACTACTACTAGTACTACTACTAGTACTACTACTAGTACTACTACTAGTACTACTACTAGTACTACAAGTACTACTACTAGTACTACTACTAGTACTACTACTAGTACTACTACTAGTACTACTACTAGTACTACTACTAGTACTACAAGTACTACTACTAGTACTACTACTAGTACTACTACTAGTACTACTACTAGTACTAGTAAAAAAGTTTGCCGTGATTTAATTTTAGGAGCCTGCTCCCGCACTCAAACTGAACTTCAACCAGCGAGAAAGAATAATAAACAGTGTTTATTATTCTTTCACCGCCTACCTGTGGTAAGAAAGAAGCGTCCACACAAATGAACCAATCTGCAAGAGTAACATGAACAGAAGGAAAGCAGCAGCCAGTCCTAAGATTTTAAGGTATACAGGAGCATGAGGGTTGGCTAAGAACTCGAGTAGTAGCTGGTGAGCTTTGTGTTTCAGGGTCAACAGCTTTATTCTTATGTCTGATCCTTTCATTTTTGTTGGGGTCTCTCTTCAATTTGCTATAGAGGGTATTGTTACTATGTGTAATGATTCTCCAGTCACTTAACACAATTATGTCTCTCGGCTCTCCTAGTGCCGATTCTTCTTGAAATTAAATAACTCGATGCTGTCTACAACCGCTGTTATCAGACACCCAGGATAGATCTTCAAATTTTGGAAGCTCAATCGGCACGATCAGTTCATCCCAACATTCCACAAAAAATAATACGGAGCAAGGAACTAAGAAACAAATATACACAAGGTACCAGGTAGAAATTACCATGTTAAACACGGAGTATAGCTATAACAGCCACATCTCCCACATGAAGCGATGGCAACAGAGCATCATCATGTCCTTATATGGGCAATAATGACATCTAATTAGCGCCTTATATGGGGGTAAACGGAACATCATCTAGTCACTACGATGGGATTAAGTTAATTGGCTGAAAATATGGTAGGCCGGGTATACATTGACGTTTCTAGGTTCATGGTGCACACAAACAGTAAACACGCCGATTATTGTGATATCATTTAAAATTGTGCATTTCTAGGCTCTGCAGTAAGTTTTGAAAATTCCTCACCTGCCGACTTTGAGATAAGTCAGTGGGTGCGATCATCAGATATTAGCTGACTAGAAAGAAAAATCAACAATAAACTATTACAGGTTAGATGTTTACCTGAGTTCTATATCTTTCGATAGCAACTCCATCTATAAATCTGATTAGCAAGTCATTCTGTATTCCACCAGTACTTGTAATCCTGGTTGCAGCTTTCAACATGTTTTATGGGCCCAACACTCAGCTTTCACAGTTTATGACTTCTGGCCTCCTTCAGTGGCGTAACGAAAGGCCCTGCTGACCCCGCTGTGCAGGGGGGCGCCGTCTTAGGGGGGCGCCAAATCGTCGTTTGAATGTGGGACAATTTCGAAAACTTAACTAAAGTACTAGCAAAACTGCGCGTTTTGCTCTAGATACACACTTTTTTTAGAGATTTTACCGGCGTATTCTTTAAAATCACCTAATTTGTTCAATTTTAGGGAGGGGCACCAAAAGGGGAGGGGGCGCCAACAGGGGGGCGCCTTTTTCAGCAGGGGGGCGCCAACAGGCAACGTTACGCCACTGGCCTCCTTGCGATGTCGTAGCAGGTAGACCATTTCTTGTTGTCGCGGGCTAACCAGATTGTATAGGAACATCGAAGAGCGACCACAGCAGCCTCATTCAGGGCTTTATTCTTCGTTCTCTTCGCCAATCCAAAGTAGTTGAATAGAGCTGGTACAGTATGGTGCCAGAAGCCCCTACACCCAATCTCTACCGTAAAGAGCAGAGCTTTCCAACCGCACCCGTCGATGCCAGGAATCAGCTCTCTGTTGTAGCGTGCTTCTTTACGTGCTACTTGGTCACTGAAGTTACTCTCGTCACCACAAGTCAGTTCAATCAGAACTACTTCTCTCAAACTATCCGACCATACTACAATGTCGGGTCTCTCCGCTGTGTTGTAGATGTGCTGTGGGAACTGGGCAGGTAGTGTATCCTCGTCCCATATCAGCTTCCAGTCTTTCGCTCTCTCAAAGGGCCTCTCCTTCCTCAACTTTGGCTTTGGGTGTTCATACTTCCCATCCTTCGACTTGAACCGTATCCATTCTTTGTCAGAGGTCGTGGAACCTGAGGAATTGTACATCTTGAGTTGGTCAAGCAAGGCTCCGGCTATAACACGTAGGACGTTGTCATGTCTCCAGTTGTACCTTTTGGAGTTTCTTGCTACACTGCAGACGGCTAGGATGTGCTTGATGTTGCACGTCTTCCAACCACAAAGTGTACAATTTCCTGTACTCGAGTAGTTCCACAATTTCATGTTTGCAGGGGTATTAGCCACGTCGTGTGTCGAGTTTAGGTGGAATTTAAGGAGAGCCGGGCTCATCTTGTAGTTGTAGATAAGGCTGTTCCATCCTAAGTCTAACTGCATCGTGTTCTCCTATGTCAAGAACTTGCCCTGTACTCCCTTGTTTACCAGGGTGACTAGCATGTCGTTCTCTGACACCGATTCTACCAGTTGACTTAGGTGATTAACATTTTACAATTAGTGCAGATTACTCAGCCTGTGCTCAGCCTGTCATTCCGCCTAATCTCTATGTTTATGAACATGATAGCCTGAGGTCCCCAGGTAAAGTGCAGAGGGATAAGAACAAATAAACCAGGTTTCAGCACCATCAACGGTTTACGGTTGAATCTTCCTTCTTGACTTAACAGAGTCAACTTAATTCTCAAATTTAAAGTTACCTCCGATGTCTGAAGACCTCACCCACAACCAATTAGGCAATCAACTTTAGACCCAATATGACACGATTGAGGTGCTGGAAGTTTTATTTCGGTCGGAGGAAGCTTACAGCAGAAAGCTCAACAAAACAAAAATTCATATTTTCCAAATTCTGTCCCATTTTCAAATCTGAACATTTCTGAACACAAATTTGACAGATTGGATGACATTTTTTGCCCAGTAACCAATTAGTCAGTTAATTGATTATGGTACAAATCCAAATTGAGGTACTGGAAGTAAAAATCCGGAAGAAAATTTAAAAATCATATTGCCCCATTCTCTGTCCCATTTTCAGTTTTTGAAGATGAAATTTCCAGGATCGAAATTTTACATTTTTACTGCATTTCTCACCTGCAACCAATATGTTAGCCTAATCATTTAGAAACCACCTCCCTCCCCACTTATTAGTGATTACGTATTATGTGAATGACCCCCTACCGCGAGATCGCGAAGTTCGAAACAAAGCTGTGAAGGTAATTATAGTTTACATGAGTGTTGTGGCTTGGAACAAATAAAAGTTGTGATTTTTTTAGTTCAATAAATGATAAAATATTGAATAAATTCAAATACAATGTATTATAAATATTTTGAAACTGAAATTCACAACTGTTGACTAGCAGCCATAGTAAAAATCGTTAAAAAGAAATTACATTAAAAAGAGTGCAATGAAAACTAGCAATCTAGTCGTAAGTCAAGGAAATTAGTTCGATTGTCTGACTCATGCTTGCAAGGTTAAAAATTGTTCATTCAATCTCATAACTTCAGTATTACTATAAGAACCAGTCCATTTCACCCTGAAATCACTGTTTCACTTTCACCCAGATTTCACTTTCACTCTACTTCACCCTGAGCACGACTTTCCTCTGCATCCTGTGCTGCAACTCCCCTCTCCTGATCATTATGTTAAGAACGTTTCTTACTGATCGCTCACTGTAACGCTGCTTCGTGAAATCTTGAATAATCCTAGCCTCTGATACCTGAGGAAAGTTAATATTTGTTATATAGTTTGATAAACAAGAATATTGTAGTCTACTGTCGAGAGAACACAATTTTATGTCGCGATGCGATGTTTAGATGACACAAATTGAAACACAGATGACATAGTCAGATGAAGGAGTATCCATCATTTTATCTACACAATCAACACTGCCAGTAACTGAGCCAGTAACTGAGCCAGTAACTGAGCCGGTAACTGAGCCAGTAACTGAGTCGGTAACTGAGCCGGTAACTGAACCCGGTTCAGTTACCGGCTCAGTTACCGGCTCAGTTACCGGTTCAGTGAACCGGTAACTGAGCCGGTAACTGAGTTGGTAACTGAGTCGGTAACTGAGTCGGTAACAGAGCTGGTAACTGAGTCGGTAACTGAGCCAGTAACTGAGCCGGTAACTGAGCCAGTAACTGAGTCGGTAACTGAGCCGGTAACTGAACCCGGTTCAGTTACCGGCTCAGTTACCGGTTCAGTGAACCGGTAACTGAGCCGGTAACTGAGTTGGTAACTGAGTCGGTAACAGAGCTGGTAACTGAGTCGGTAACAGAGTCGGTAACTGAGCCGGTAACTGAGCCGGTAACTGAGCCGGTAACTGAGCCAGTAATTGAGCTGGTAGTACTAGTAGCTGGTAGTAGCTGCTGACCTGAGAGCCGATAGGGAACCTCTGTTTGAGTTGTCTCTCCACTTTCCTCACCTCCTCCTGATCCTCCAGAGCAGTGAGACCCTCAACACCGGACAGGGAACCTGACATGGCTGACTCCATCGTCGATACCTGAGAGACAAGAGACATAATATCATTTAGGGGGAGGGGGTTGTTCATTATCGAGGGGGGAGGGGTTGTTTATTATCGAGGGGGGGGGGGTGTTTATTATCGAGGGGGGGAGGGGGTTGTTTATTATCGAGGGGGGAGGGGGAGCGGGAGTATTTACCTGGAAAAGTCTCAAGCTCTCTTCAACGTCACTGTCAGTGGTGAATGCTTCAAGTCGCATCTTGGCCAGAGCCTCAGAAATCCGCACTATCGACTCCAACTAAAATTTAATTGTTAATCAATATTTTGAGATCAGAGAGGTTTTCAAAGCTATGAGCTATAATACACATGCTAGAGAGAGAAATCATCACACCACATGACGTCATACCACGTGACGTGACGTCATACCACGTGAGAACTCTAACCTGTCTGACAGTGATGGGAATGCTCAGTCTCTTGTTGCTCTCATGCTCGTGCTCCCGAGCAGAAGTTCTCATCATCACGTACTTGTGTCCTAACTTTGCTGCTGTCTTGTCTGACAACCTGGGGAGTCACGAGTGTCACCGGTCACGTGGGAGATAATACTGATTGTAGGTGAATTGAATCATCTGTATCGGCGTATCGCTAAGATATTACATAATTGCTTAAAGTCGTGAAATCACTTATGATCATACGATACAACTTGAAAACTTGAAAACGTTAATTTTCTTGACAAGTTCTACGATATTTTTGTTCAATTCTAAACCCACTCACCTCGGGCCGCACTTGGCGCGCGTGTACGCGATGTACTTTTTCAGCATTTCAATGCTCATCTCTCCCTCCACAGCGGCCTGCTCCCGGTTCAGATGGATCTTCATCACGTGACGAGCTATTGTCGTGTCACGTGACTCGTTGTGCTCGTCCTTCACTATGTACTGAAACAAGGACATTTTCATAATTTTGTTCATTAAAAAACGTTGATATTTTTGATTAAATGTGATTTGATGAAACTCAAAGTTAAACATAATAGATGTTCTTTCTCAGATTAGTAAATAGTACTAGGTATATAAAATGTCTAAACTATTAAACCAGGTCATAGCTACTATAAAAGGTTAATCAACATAATAAACGAAGAACTTACGATCATGTCGAATCTGCTGAGGATGGTCGGCATAAAGTCAATATTCTCCTCGCCTTTTGTATCGTCCCATCTAAACAGAGAGCATATTTGTTAACATATTTAACATTTTTTAACATATTTTGTTAACATTGTTAAGAAATAATTATACATTTTCTGTTCTTGAGCTCCTTCCTTAAAACTTAAGATTCAATATTAAACTTCGATATCGTTGAAGGGCCACATTTTTTCGGACACGCGAAAGTTACATATTATCTGAACAGCTTTCAGCAGCAACCAATCAAATCCAAGAAAATCAGTTACTCCAGTAGCAGGGAATGGTTGAGTGTGCACTTCGATGTATACGATTTCTGACAACACAGGGTTGTTTGTTAGATCATTCTTAACCAAAATCGTTTAGGTACGCAATTTGTGTCGCTAGACATAACCCTACAGGGCAAATTTTCTAAATTACCCTCAGTCGCGTATACGGGATTTTTGTATTTCAGCTCCTGAAGGTCATAGAGACTTCAATTTTAGCTTAAAATTACCGCAATGGCCATATTTATATACAAGTTATGAAGCAACATAAGGTCTCTAGTGCTTTGTTGTATAGATATTGACAAAAAACTGTTTTTTGGCTCAGCGAACCAAAAATGGGACTGAATTTTGGTAACTTGAACTAGGAAGATCGTAGAGACTTAAATTTTAGCTTAAAATGAGCGCAAACATCACATTTATATACAACTTATAAAGCAATATAAGCCCTTTAATGCTTATTTGTTAAGATATTGACAAAAATCGGTCATTTTGGCTACATATACACGAATGAGGAAAAATACCAAATTGGGCAACAACTTTGGTCTTTTTTTGACCATTTTTGTGCTCAAGTTATTAAAATGTGCTTTGATGTTGTAGATCGGGTGTTTTCTTCCAATATGGGTTTCGGTATAAATCCGGAAGCACCCGGTTCATGGGTGATTGGGGTTAAAAACCCTAAAATGTCAGGTGATGGGCGAGACAATTGTCTGAATTTGGTTATAAAAACACTTGCACTCTTTGCTTTTTTCTGCTACATCGATCCGATTTCTAACTACTGTCTACTAATCATCCCCCTCTACATCATTCTCTTTTAGATACATGATTTCTATAAGTTCTTGAAGGTACATCCGGCATGATGTAAAGTCTATATCAAAGCATTTTAATGTGGTCTTAACAAGTTGCAAGATATTCAAGTTCACTAATAAAACAGAGATTGTAGGATATTCTTCTTTTACATATTGAGTAATTTTGGCTACACATGTGAGGAAAGATACCAAATTGGTTTACCAAACGAAGATTGTAGGTTATCTATTATTCTTTACATGATTATTGACGCAACTTCATAGTCAAACCTGTATTATTTTAAATATTTAATATTTATCCACACTCTCCATAATATAAGAATATTATTGGGAGTCATTTTGTGGTTAAAATTCGATTAAATCAGTATTTCCAAGCAAAAAACTGCCCCAAATTTCTCCTCCGAATATGGTCCGCTAGTTCGAAATTTTAGCACTTATAAACGTTATTGTTAGACATTACATTAATGTAATACCACTGAGACCAGATGTATAGTAATCTATTCAGATAAAGCGAAGAATGTGCATCTGAATGAAGAGAACTTTGCTGATCAAGAGAAAAGAATATGAAGAGATATCAGCAGCTGACAGAAGAGATTGCAAGCTCCAGACAGTAGCAGTTCGAGTTCGAGTTCGAGGCATTTACAACTGCAGCCTCCAAACCTTTATGAACCACCTGAACGTAAACACTAAAGAGAAAAAGGCCTGCATGAAGATCGCTGAAATTAGCATGAGGGCATCATACACCATCTATCTGTCCAGAAACACCATTATATGGACAGATGATTGGGAGTTAGTCAAAGGCTAGTAATTGCATAGTAGGAGCGTATAGTGTTTGTAGAATGTAATTATTTTTACAAACTACCGCTCAAAACTTATAGATCAAGTGATTGCCTACCCACAATTATATTACAACGTCAGTCGATATTGTTGCTAAAAATCAGGAGCAAGCGTCTTGAAACAGGATACCATGAATCTGTATAAGTTTGAAGTAGTTTCATTCTACGTTTAATATTATTATTGGGTCGTTTACGTTAAAGTTATATTTGGCCATTTTATAGCCTCCCCTCAAAAAGCCCACAATTACTCAATATGTAAAAGAATAATATCCTACAATCTCTGTTTTATTAGTGAACTTGAATATCTTGCAACTTGTTAAGACCACATTAAAATGCTTTGATATAGACTATATACATCATGCCGGATGTACCTTCAAGAACTTATAGAAATCATGTATCTAAAAGAGAATGATGTAGAGGGGGATGATTAGTAGTTAGAAATCGGATCGATGTAGCAGAAAAAAGCAAACCCTAGCAAAGAGTGCAAGTGTTTTTATAACCAAATTCAGACAATTGTCTCGCCCATCGCCTGACATTTTAGGGTTTTTAACCCCTATCACCCATGAACCGGGTGCTTCCGGATTTATACCGAAACCCATATTGGAAGAAAACACCCGATCTACAACATCAAAGCACATTTTAATAACTTGAGCACAAAAATGGTCAAAAAAAGACCAAAGTTGTTGCCCAATTTGGTATTTTTCCTCATTCGTGTATATGTAGCCAAAATGACCGATTTTTGTCAATATCTTAACAAATAAGCATTAAAGGGCTTATATTGCTTTATAAGTTGTATATAAATGTGATGTTTGCACTCATTTTAAGCTAAAATTCAAGTCTCTACGATCTTCCTAGTTCAAGTTACCAAAATTCAGTCCCATTTTTGGTTCGCTGAGCCAAAAAACAGTTTTTTGTCAATATCTATAAAACAAAGCACTGGAGACCTTATGTTGCTTCATAACTTGTATATAAATATGTCCATTGCGGTAATTTTAAGCTAAAATTGAAGTCTCTATGACCTTCAGGAGCTGAAATACAAAAATCCCGTATACGCGACTGAGGGTAATTTAGAAAATTTGCCCTGTAGGGTTATGTCTAGCGACACAAATTGCGTACCTAAACGATTTTGGTTAAGAATGATCTAACAAACAACCCTGTGTTGTCAGAAATCGTATACATCGAAGTGCACACTCAACTATTCCCTGCTACTAGAGTAAGTCAACAAACCTGCAAAACATTCCCAAGTTAAGCTTAATTTCAATTATTATCTATAATTACATAATGAACAATCACATAATTACCTTCCGAAGACGCTGTTAGCAGCAGCGAAGACACTGCACCGGGTGTTGAGAGTTGTGGTGATGCCCGCTTTAGCTATGGAGATAGTCTGTTGTTCCATTGCCTCGTGTATAGCAACCTGACCAGCAAGAGTAACGTTAGAACCGGTTAGAAATGGTTTAAAGGTAAGATGATACAAACCATACAGACATGGATTAGAGTCGCTTGGCAATGCAGTGAAAGCAGTATTAATGACATTCTCACTTTTCAGAACTAAGTGCCTAATATAATTAAGATAGAACATCTAAACAGTTTTATTCCTGTTCCATATGATCGAGGATAGTCAGGGCTACAGATCCTGACCAAGTTTAGCTCAATCCAGTACTGCGCGTTCAAGATATGAGGTTAAATATACCAAAAATAGAGGTTTTCTGGTGTGACATCATTGTAAATTATTTGGAGTATAACCTCAATATCTCACAAACTATACATTTGTGGTCTTTCTGAGTTACACTAACTGTTTCCTTTGGCAATTTCGGTTCAGAGTCAATTAAGTTTGAAACAAAATCTCAGTATATGTGAAAGGACTGAGGATATCAAGTTTGTAAAAGCGCGCGCGCGCACACACATATAATGACCTCATATCTTCCACATTTAACGATTTTTTATAGAAATTCTTTCACCATCCTGTAGCACTCATGTGCTGAGTAGGATAGCATTCAAATCATGTCTTTAAAAGATTTAGATAGATACTGAGGGAGAAAATTCATGTTTGTAAAAGCGCGCGCGCGCATGGCCCAGACTATATCAATGGACGGCCACGGGAGGATAAAAGTACTTTCATACACACCAGCATGCTCATTGATGGCTTAAAATGAAGCTAAGACATACTCCTATCAGATCCACCATAAGTTAGATACCATAATAATCATTAAATGTGTCTAAAATGAGGAAGCTTTGACAAGTGCGAGTGGTTTTGGCAAATTTTGGTATAAAATGGGCCCTGAGATCATATTTTTCTCATTAAAATCACATATATCACGAATATTTATGTGTGTTGGGTGTATCCTCATTGGTATCAACCATTTCAATCATCTAGAGCAGCTTTCCTGATTCTTTATCTCATGAAAATGGGCAAAAAAGCTCATAAATAGTCCAAAATCGGTCATTTTCGCCGCTTTAATAACCTCATTCCTGGCACCCAGAACACTTTGGGTACTCAAAACATGATTTTTCGGATACCTCAGACCCCTAACTAGCACATGGAGCCAGAAAGAACAGCATGTAGGGACTTCTAAATTTCCATGGTTGAGAACCCAATGTCACACTATTCGTTCATTAATCCTGCTTTCACTGAATGAAGATTCAGAATCTTAGATTCTGGACCTTAAATTTGTCAACAAATCTCGCAGTCTTTAATTTTTAAGTTAAAAGATATCTGGGACATCAGAAGGGAATTCGAAGTTCCTAGAGAACAAGAATTGAATGGAATGTTGGGGTTTCAAAGGAATCCAATTAACAAAATTTACATATTCATGTAAATGTTTGTTAATCGAATAACTCATAAATAATGACCAAAAGTAAGATACAAAACATACCCGATCATCTTCTCTCATTTTATCGAACTCATCAATACAGACCACACCTCCATCAGCCAGCACCATAGCTCCTCCCTCCATCACGAAACAGCGGGTGGTCGGGTCTTTTATTACACTTGCAGTCAGACCTGGGGGTTAATTAGGTTAATTAGCTAGTTATTAAGTAATTAATCAAGGTATCAATTAGCAGATGAAGTGGTCATTAGCCAGGGTCATACAATTTTGGTTTTAATTTGTATTGGGCGTATTTCTAATTTGTGTGTTGTACGATGTCTTCACAGTCATATAAAAGTAATAAAAATGTAAAGAATCCTGAATTAATTAAAAGCTTAAGTTAAGGGCCAAGTAAAAGATCCTCTTATCGGAACTAACCTGCAGCACTGGACCCCTTGCCGGAGGTGTACACCCCAATAGGAGAACACTTCTCTACGAACTTGAGGAGTTGGGATTTAGCAGTTCCTGGATCTCCCAACAGCAGCAGGTTTATATCACCTGGAGATGATGAGTAATGTAACAGTGATTAATCAATTAATTAATTGGTGATTTGAATACAATATGTGCAGATTAAGGCAATTATTTTAAACGAAATTGCTTTAATATGTGTGTTGATAAGATCAGGACTGTCTGACTGGAAGAATGTTGTATGCTTAGACCAAGCCCAGACAGTCCAGACAGCCCAAACAGTCCAGACAGTCCAGACTGTCCAGACAGTCCAGACAGTTTATAACGTTACCACCCAACCTGGACTAGGTGCTAGCAGGGCATATTCCTCAACTAATGAATTAGAAGATCAAGCCGAGCCCTGCTAAAGCCCTGCTAAATGTGGGGCTGCTAAAGCCATGCTAAATGTGGGGCTGCTTAATGTGGGGCTGCTAAACGTGGGGCTGGTAAAGCTTTAAACACGTTCCCCACCTCGTCTAGTAAGACCATCAGGCAGTCTCTTCCGACTCCCCCCGAATAGCAGACAAGCGATGCTCTTCTTGATATCCTCGCTACCAAATATAGAGGGAGCTATGTTACGGGCTATCAGCTCGTACACATCCTCTCTTTCAGCTAACCTGAAGTTAATTAGTTCATTAGTTAGTTTACTAATTAGTTATTAATTAGTTATAATTAGTTAGTTTACTAATTAGTTACAATTAATGACCTCAAGAGGGCAAACCTTCTACCTAAAAACGGAGGTGCTAAAAAGGTGATAACAAAATATAAAGCGGATAGTGAAGCTATACCACGAAGTACGGTATAAGACTCCTCTAGCTGTGACGTCATCTTCTAAACATGCTTAATGACGTCACAGCTCACATGATGACGTCACTAAAACCCACTTACTTCTTGAAGTGGTCCTCCTCCTCGGGAGTGAACTTGTTGAGAGATCTGCCTGGTCCTGATGTATCTACCTCTAACCCAACCACCCTGATATACGGCCTCCTGATTCCTGGGGTATTTACAATTTACATGTAACAGTTATTAGATTAGATATTCGCATTTATCCACACTATTTACATTACACGTACAACGTGATATTATTATTATCAGTGCAGTGTGTTCAACACCAACGACACCGATCAATTGCCAATCTGCGAAACATTATTTATTATTATCACTTCGAGATGGCACATATAGACAGCATGAGAGTAGGCCCTGCCATCTCGAAGTGATAATTTACATGTAGTTTAATACAAGTAGCTACTTGCTACGTAAACATTCACTTATTGATGTGGTTTCATCTTTGTTTTCTAGAACATACAAATAAAATAAACCCGTAAATTTTAATAATTTCCACTGTAAGGTAATAATCTTTAGGACGGTACAGAAAGAATTGCTGTAGTCCGAGGAGCCCTAATCCTCCCCGAGGAGCCCTAATTACATGAGCCCTATATATACTATACTAATCCTCCTCGCATTTCTCATGTCTCACATACAAAATTCGTAGAATGACTGAGCATTTCCAGAAACGCGAGATTGTACCCATATCTCCCATAATCTATACTAATAACGATCGGCTTTCAGGATTTATCCGAATCTGGCGCGAAGTGCTGTACCAGACTCTTAACAATTATCATTAGCATGCACTTGGGGTCCGGACCCCTGCGCTCCTGCACTTGCTAAACCTCTCATTCTAACCCAGCTCAATAATCCTTGTCTAAGACACAGAGCCCAGTACGTGTTTATCGGGAATCCCAGACTTCAGTCAATAATCCTGGTAAACTATAGGTACTCTGTGGTGTGACTCTGAGAATTTCCCCCGCTGTATCCTATATTATAGTCACGGCAATGTGGGATTCTAATATAATCTTAAGCTTATTAGGGCCTTAAAATAGTATCCTGTCCTCCTGTACGTGTGTATCAGGTCTAGATTAACGTACATTTCATAAAAGGTGCGACTGAAACGCTGCGAGCGGGAATTCTTTTCTATAATATAAATTTGCACCAAGGATCTTAATCTCATTCCAGCGCATATATTTACACCATTGCAGGACTAATAATCAAATCTTGTATATCTGATTTTAGGTTCAATTGCAAAATGTCACGTATTGTTTTGTTGTTATTGTGTTTGGCTGCCCTCAGTCTGATCTGTTCTGCGAGGAAAAACAAGAGAAGAGGTAAAAGTGGTTCCAAAAAGGGAAACAAGAAGAACAAGGCATCTTATCGAGATGAGGGAAACGATTATAGGTCCGGCGGAGGAGTAACCAAGAGTAATGGCGACGATGGCACAATGCATAAGAAAAGCCCCTTTTTAGATGGAACCAATCTCCCACCAGATGATTCCCAGTCTGGCAGACTCAATGACTTCATCACCACAAAGGACCCGTTTTCCTCAGACTTCATGAAGAAACGACTAGACGGTTCAGGAGCACGAGGTTTAGTTAGCGCAGCTAATACGCATGTTTACAAGACTACCCGACTGTCACTGAACTTAGGGGTAGACGTGAAGGAGGTGGAGGGAGCGATGAGGAGTTTTAGGGTGAGGGGTGTAGTTGATATTCATTATGTTAAAGTGGAGAAGGAGGCGGCGGAGAGTTTTATTCTAGACTCCTGGGGTTTGTTTCTTATCCAGTTCATTGTAATGATAATTTGTTTGTTATTAAGCTCATTATAGTAATAATTATAGTTAAATTTCGTTATGTGTCGGAGAAATGAGCCGATTCCATAAATAACTGAAATCTTGTGGTTTCCTTAATGTTTCTATAATTTAAATCAATGAAGCGTAAATTTGTAAGCTCTCTTCAATTCACTTCCGTTTTGCTAAGAAACTCCCCATTAATCCCAGGTTTGGAAATAAAGCACGCTAAAGTTTCATACGACGGAGGAGCAACATTCTCAAAAGTCGACTTCTTGGATGGCAACAAAGTGGAGGGATCAGCTAGACTAGATGTCCTGGTAGACTCCACCCAAGGAGAGGGTATCCTTACTATCGAGTACACTACCCCTAACACTGACTCTCTCAAATACTCTAACCTCCAGTTCACTGCCCGTTCTGACCTACAGAATTACCCTATTCTGGCGATATTCAACCAGCCAAACATGGCCAGAACATGGGTTCCCTGCCAGGATACACTTCTTGTCAAGACCCCAGTCGAGATGAGGATTAATGTTCCTGCACCCTTCACTGCACTCACCACGGGAATCTTTATATCCGAGATTTATCACGAAAACAAGAACAGAACCGTGTTTAAATACTATCAACCGACTCCAGTAGCAGCTCAACAGTTAACACTGACTATGGGCTACTTTGAGAAGTGGAAGATAAGCGAGAGGATCAGTGTATGGATGGAGATGGGGAGAGGGATACGAGATGGGTTACTCATGGAGACAGACGCAATATTGAATATCTGTGAAGGTATGGTGGGACCGTATGTTTGGGAAACCCTGAATATAGTGATAATCCCAGATAAAATGGGGTATAAGGGAGAAATGATAGGTCCTAACACAATCTACCTGCCCGTCTCCATGTTCCAAACCTCTTCCTCCCCCATCCAGGATGACTCCCTCAGAGTCCAGGAGATCACAAGGCAGATGTTCAACAGCTGGTTTGGTAACCTAGTCACTGCTCCCGTTCTCAGAACCTCCTGGAACGAGGAGGGCACACTTGCAAGTGTGGAGGTGGGAGAGCAGTTCATGCTAGCTGGAATAGCAGAGTATCTATCTTACCACGCTACTGCTCATTTCCTTAATCACGATAAGAACTTAGCAGACTTCTTCTTCTACCGCGCCCAGGAATACACTGAAGACCTCCAGAATCCAGACCGTTACCCTGTGTTCTCGGAGTTGGTCCCAGGAGCAGCTAGGTTCAGTGTGCTGATGAGACACCACGAGGACGCTATGGGAGGTAAGGGTCTGATGAACAAGTTCCTGAGAATGGTAGTGTTGACTAGTGTAGTGGAGGAGTCAAGTAAGGAGTTCTGGGAGGTACTCCGCACCATGTTACCAGAATTAGAGGAGGAGGGGGACAACAAGTGGAACGGTGGGTATTGGAGGGAGTGCCAGGTGGTAATAAAGGCTTGGAATCCGAAGAAGGGTGAACCTAAAGTGAAGTCTGCTCAGCTGACTGGTCTGAATGATGCACAGGTAGCTTACATTCTGGAGAACATGTGGCGTGAGTGGTTACCTAAATCAGCAGTAAAGAAGATCACGGCTGTTTTAGAGGAGATGGAAATCTACAAGGACAATAACATGTTTTACAGATGGGCGCTCTCCGCTATAGCGATGGGGGATTCTAAAATCAAGGAGGACGCTTTTGAGTATATCCGGAATAACGGACAGAGTCCAGGGTCTACAGCTCTGATTAAACTGCTGAGTAAGACAGCGTCGGAGGGGGAGAAGAAGGAGCTGAAGAATGTGAAGAGGAATGCAAAGGAGTCGAGTTATGTACCCTGGGATTAGAGATATGAAGTGACCATGATTGATCAGAGTATATTTCGTATAACGTGCGGTTTATAACTTTATTGAGCATCAAAGCTGGTGACTTTGTAGAATGGTTATAATATAATAATGCCTTCGGCTCTTCGGGCTCCGCTTGATAATTCCCGACAGCTTGCTGGAGGGAATTTGCGGCCCGAAGAACCGGAGGTATTATGTATTATAATATTTTCCGGTTCCGAATTGGAAGGGGTGTAATCCGATACGTGCGCATCATACAATATAGTGTCTAATATATAGAACGCCAGTGTTATTTGTTTTACAACTTGCCGCCAGCCAGTCTGAGGTCTATGCTGATAATACCTTGGCTTCCCTTGCGTGATATATCGGCAAATTATCAGCTCTCGGTGTCCGAGACTTTTAGTGGATATAATTCCCGGAAGGTATTATAAGCTGTAGTACGTGAGTTTCAACAAAAGGTTTTATTCATTTTATTGGGAGGAAGAGAGTTGTTGTTTTGTTGTTATAAGAAGGAATTATTTTCAGAATTATGGTGATCATAGAAAGTTAAGCAATCTAAAGAATGTTTCCTGTATAATATACATATGCCTATGTCTGAAGAATATTTTTACCTATGGGACGAGGAATTGCCACAAGAATAGATTTGAGTCTACTTCTATTAACCAATTCTGGAGTGATTGGCCAAGAATGTTCTTTCAATTGCCGGCCTTTACCAAAAATCGTGGTTTTTCTGTATCACGATAATTTACAGATGGTTTTATGAGAAAAGCTAATATATGTATCACGTGACACGTACCGGCAGTTATTTTGTCTTTCTTGGACCCCTTGTCTGACATCTTCTTGATAGAGTAGATTCCTACCACCTATTCAGAAAAGTTCTGTTAGTCCGAGAAATACCGGCAAAGAATTTGCTAAAAGAAACACATAATTTAAAGCAGATAAAAAACATTTCCTTGTGTTTTTAAAGCGTGTTACCTGAACTCGGTTACCGGGAACCATCTTGTCCACTAGAGCTCTGTCTACGTATAGTTGGATGTGACGGGGCATGTCACCTGTTGGAATGCTGTCTGGCGCTTCTTGTAGTTTCAACGTCTGAGATAATAGATGTGGATACTGGTGGGGAGGTGAAACACATTTGTTTACTTTAATAGTGAGCACATGTTCGGCGGGTTGAGGAGGTGAAACACATTTGTTTACATTTTTAGGGTAAGCACATGTTCGGCGGGTTAAAGAGGTGATACACATTTTGTATTATAGAAGGCATGTAACACTTGTAACGCTTTCTTGTTACCCCCCTTTGAAGGCCCCGAATTATTTTCTGAACGAAAGCTCAAAAATAACCGAGAAATCGACCTTCTTATTAACTCATTTTGATGACTATTTCTGACCTAAAATTGCACGAAAAATCGATTTAGCTAGGTTTCAGAACCTATAAACACTTCCTTATCCCTAAAAATTGATGTTTTATAGCTAATACGAGCAACAAGCAACATATGTTTTGATCCTTCGGTTCTACTCATGACCTAGGCAGTTAAGCTGAAACCGACAGATCGAGGCAATCCTCACCTTAACTGATAAAACTGGTAATAACACACTTTTCAGATATAAATGTTCTTTGCGATATACGTTTATTGCAGCTTTGCAACTTGAGTGAACACCAGAGTACGAAAACACACAGCAGGTAAGCAACTCACTTTTTGTGACTGTTCATCACGAACATTCTGATCCTGCAACATATGAACAAGGATATCGTCTCCTTAACAAATCGAACAGGTACTATCACAATTTCCAGAGCACAGCATGATAACAAATTCAAAAGAAACACAATGAAGGTAGGTTACCAACACAACAATATAACAATCATACTAACAACTGAATTAAGTTTATTCTGACGACGGGCAGCCCTGATGTGCTCCGTGATCCTCAACGAGCGACCACTTGTAATAGAGGTGGTATGTCACGTGACACCGATCCGTCCAATCACAAACAGGAAGAGTGAGCAGATCGATATCGTGTGTTTACTTTCCTTATCTTTATTTGACCCTCTGTTCAAATTGTTATCTCTATCACATCTCGGCTCGGCAAGGTCCGCGTGCAATATCTGCACCGCGGTAAACACGCCATGATTGTTGTACTTATATAACCGTGCCCATTGCTCACCATTGCCCACCTACAATACAAACTGTTGGGGGGGGGGGGGGGGGTTGAAGATAAACAACCGATCTTGATAGTGTGTTGGTCGCTCCTCCAACTGACTGTGATGCTAACTGTTCAATCATGAACGGAACATTAACATATATCCATGAGTGCTCCTTTGCTTAACTTAGACAGTAAGTGTTTGAAAACGGAATATAGGACACGACTTCACTGACAAGAACTGTATGTTCCAGGAGGAGGCACTTGCAGTGTACAGGAGGACAAGCATGGTTATACATGACAGATTTGAAGTACTAGTTCAACATGGTGCAGTTCATTTTTACCAGGTTAGACACTCAAAATTTCAATTTGTGCTGTGTAATCAGTCATTGCCGTTTTAAATATGTAAACTTGGAATCATTCTCACAATTTTAATAAGAGTTTGTGTAACTTTAAATGTTGCACTTGCCCTCAAAGTCAATGGAATTCATTTTGTGTGCGGGGTGTTTATTTTAGATGAGATACGGAAGTATTGATAAAATCGATAACGGGTAATGGGTGCGCTGTTGAAATGGTTCAGTGGACCTGTGGACCCCTCTTTAGTTCGTTTACCAGCTGCATTTTATTTCGGATCATGGGTAAGAGCTTTGCTGTATATACTTGTACTGACAGATATTTTAGCTGGTACCGTACATACATATTCGTATCGTATTTTTGGCCACATTGACGGTCCTTTACATTTAGGCCCGCAAACTGAAAACGTACTCCATCGTTAACTGATGCTACTGCAAATAACACTGTTTGTCTGTTTAAATCCATGCTACCACATGATTACTGTGTTCGTGCTTAAAAATTAACTGTGCATGTAGCGACGTGAATTTAATTTCCTCTTAGTCTTAGAATCTAAATATGCCGTTTTGGTGCACGTAACGTGCGTAATCCGCGTCCGGTTCGTTCAGTGGACCCCTCTTTGGATCGTTTACCAGCTGCATTTTATTTCGGATCATGGGTTAGAGCTTTGCTGTACACTATTCAAATTTCTATTTAAAATCCTGCATGCAGTAAGCAGTTACTCAGAGCCAGCTAGAGAACGTGTTGTAACGTCACGTAATAGTTGAGTGTAGAGTGATTATTCATCGTCCGGTTAGTTAAGAATAAGCGGAATAAAAAGCGAATTAAATTTCAGGAGTTACACTTAACATCCCAGAGGTGATGTGGAGCAAGACTCAGTTCACGCCGGAAGAAGTAGCTGCCAGCAGAAAAGTAAGCATCGCCCGCATTCACGTGGAACGCTCCATTGGCTATCTGAAGCGGTACAAGATTTTGGGAAACAAAGTTGTGGCGAAGATATTGCCTTATCTGAGCGACATCGCATTCGTGTGTGCCCATTCGTGTGTGCCCAACTTGTCAACCCTGTTTTTTTAAGGGAGGTGGACAGTGATTTTTTTAAAATGACCAGGTCTACCTAAACTTGTTGAGCTTGCTGAATAGGAGGAGCGACCGACACACTATCAAGATCGGTTGTTTATCTTCAACCCCCCCCCCCCCAACAGTTTGTATTGTACGTGGGCAATGGGTACGGTTATATAAGTACAACAATCACACTATTTCAAGTTCATGACGTTATCATGGCGTGTTTACCGCAGTGCAGATATTGCACGCGGACCTTACCGAGCCGAGATGTGATAGAGATAACAATTTGAACAGAGGGTCAAATAAAGATAAGGAAAGTAAACACACGATATCGATCTGCTCACTCTTCCTGTTTGTGATTGGACGGATCGGTGTCACGTGACATACCACCTCTATTACAAGTGGTCGCTCGTTGAGGATCACGGAGCACATCAGGGCTGCCCGTCGTCAGAATAAACTTAATTCAGTTGTTAGTATGATTGTTATATTGTGGTGTTGGTAACCTACCTTCATTGTGTTTCTTTTGACTTTGTTATCATGCTGTGCTCTAGAAATTTTGATAGTACCTGTTCGATTTGTTAAGGAGACGATATCCTTGTTCATATATGTTGCAGGATCAGAATGTTCGTGAGGAACAGTCACCAAAAGTGAGTTGCTAACCTGCTGTGTGTTTTCGTACTCTGGTCTTCACTCAAGTTGCAAAGCTGCAATAAACGTATCGCAAAGAACATTTATATCTGAGAAGTGTGTTAGTACTAGTTTGATCAGTTAAGGTGAGGATTGCCTCGATCTGTCGGGTTCAGCTTTACTGCCTAGGTCATGAGTAGAACCGAAGGATCAAAACATATGTTGCTTGTTGCTCGTATTAGCTATAAAACATCCATTTTTAGGGATAAGGAAGTGTTTATAGGTTCTGAAACCTAGCTAAATCGATTTTTCGTGCAATTTTAGGTCAGAAATAGTCATCAAAATGAGTTAATAAGAAGGTCGATTTCTCGGTTATTTTTGAGCTTTCGTTCAGAAAATAATTCGGGGCCTTCAAAGGGGGGTAACAAGAAAGCGTTACAAGTGTTACAAGCCTTCTATAATACAAAATGTGTATCACCTCTTCAACCCGCCGAACATGTGCTTACCCTAAAAATGTAAACAAATGTGTTTCACCTCCTCAACCCGCCGAACATGTGCTCACTATTAAAGTAAACAAATGTGTTTCACCTCCCCACCAGTATCCACATCTATTAATTGATTATTTTTAGCGAATATAATGGGATCATAAGAAAATAGAAAATATCTGGACACTGGAGTGATCGACTATCTAATATTTAGCCAGTTGAATTTTATATTCATCATCTATCCGTGTGCTATGTGAGATTCCACCAAAAATACCTCACATAGATCTCACGATTTATATATGAATGGCTACAACATTTCCTTGTGTTTGACTGAACCATCACCTGGTAGTCGACGCATTTGCACTTGTCAGGTACTATGTAGTAGGGATCTAGAGGACAGGGTTGTTGTCCTGCTGTTGATCTGAAATATAGGGAGATTCAAAACTTAGTTTACTTCAAAGTCAACTTCCAACTAAACATTGGTGTACAATATCTATTTATTTTGTGATTTTGACACCACTTGGGGGTCCAAATTTCGCGATCTAAATCCTCTGGGTCACCTCATAATAGTTTCTGAAGCTGTGACTAACATTTACAATTTACACTCCTACTATCAGAGTGCAGTCTCGTGATTAAAGTTGGCAGAAGGTTATAGGAGTACTGACTATGAATCTCAGTGATTGATTGGGGAGTTGTGGCTAAAATAGAAATTCTCTATCAATCAGTCTGAGCGGATATGATTCATTAGCATCCGGATTCACCGCGGAGTTTCTTATTGTCTGTTTGACCACCCCTGGATTTATGTGACCACCCCTAGTGACCACCCCTAGTGATATGACGTAGACTGTAGACAGATACTGAGTAGATTGGTCACTATTCTCTTCCGTTCGTTTCTTTTTTGCAGGATAGTAGCAAGTATCCGCTTAATGATTATTTACGGTATCTCCCGCACCTTCATTCTTCTTCTGTATTGAAATTTGAATACTGTAACTGGTGTAATTTTCATCTATATAATTCCAACAAAATCAGCTAGTGATATGCTGTTCTACATACAACTTTGATTTCATCAAAATCCTATCCAAATTGACGTATTAGTTTCAGTAACGAATCATTTCAGACAAATTAAATCATCTCAATCAGACTAATTGTGATGTTCATAATTTGTCATATACATAATAATATACACCGCACCCTTTTCTTAAATATAGCATGTTGGGCAGTATCCAAGAAGTCCGACCCAGTACTGCACATTTATGAAAAGAAATATCGACTCTGCAGTAGCTTGGTCTCAGAAAGAGTAAAACTTGGTAAAAGGGACATTTTAAATCTTCTGTCATGTGTTGACTTTTTAAGGATAAAATTGATTATTAATAAAGTTTAAAAATTGACTGACTTTGACAATCTGGTTCAAATGGCCCATAACATAGTAGTATGGGGTAGTATGAATAATGCAGGACTACTCGGCCTATCGACCACTTGATTTATTTCTCGTGTTTGCTGTATTTAGTTTTTTATATATTAGTGCTTTTTATGCAACAAGTAAAACAAATCCTTTATGTCATGTTTCCAGGGTTTGGACTGGAATTGCCCGCTTAAAGAACTTCCATCGCGTTAAATTACATAATTTTCTCAATAAATGTAATAGATTTGTAGTGTTGTAATTAGTTTAAAAATTTTATCAGATTACAAATGTCCTGATATATACGTCTCTTATCTTTAGTTAAAAAGCCGTTGTACTTCAATCTTACAATATATAAAGCGAGACGATATATATCCGTACCATTTTACTGACACCACGGCATCAACTTTAACACGAATTTCCGCAAAAACCGTAAAAGATATAAAACTGAAACTTTTTTACTGGGTCAAATGTCTCAATGGCCTTCAAATCAGCATGAAAAAATAAAAAATTGGCCAAAAAATAAAAATTTCAGTGCTCAAATTTTGGACCCCCAAGTGGTGTCAAAAACGCGAATTAAATAGGTAATAATTTATTTAGTCTCTTGAGTATTGACACCACTCAAGAGTTAGACGGGTTCCTGCTAGTTGAAATAATTGATCACGCCGGAGAAAATCGGTTATTTGTTAAAATATACGCTAATTTAAACGTTACAGTGATACCAAATGATACAATATTTAATGTTACAATACAATGATCAATAAAAATAGAGAATTTGAGTTTCAAAATTAATACTGTCGAGTCCTGTTATGTTTTACTTTATAAAACAAGACTTCTCCCGTTTCTCCTTTCTTCAACGTCTTGTCCAGTGACCGGTATCGGTTTGTTTCTAGTCTCGACCAGTAGAAATGATCCCATCATACAAAAGACCGCTATGAAAGCTAGGCTCCCAAGAACCACCGCTTTTGAAGTGACGAGTGCCAAATTGTTGAATAAGAACGGACCTGTGAAAGAGCCAACTTTAGAAATACCAGAACCAAAGCTGAACACGATACCCCTATGTGATGTTGGTGCTAATTCTCCAGCCCAAAGCAAAATTCCTGAGAAGAGCCCGTTCACAAATATGGATCCGATCAAACAGCTGATACTTTCCAGTGTCCAGCCACTTCCAAATTCCACGTTTGGTATCGCTGTAAGGTAGGTCAGAGCGGCCCCTAGAAACATAAATATCATGGCATGTCTTCTTCCCTGCCAGCCTATTAAAAAGACAGACATAAAATAAGAAATTATCTCTCCCACACCCGCCATAATGTACCCTGAGTACCTATCTGGAAGGATATCTCCCCAACCGAAGCCAAAGCCATAAGAAAACATCGCAATGGACGGCCAAAGGACCATGAGGATTGAAGTTTCAAGCAGAAGACTTGGGTACCGGATAAATTCGCTCAGTTGCTGCCTGACATTATGGTTTCTATCTTTAGCTTTTCCGGCGTCTATTATTTGGATGTTTTCCAGATCCAGGTACATATCGTTAAATTTCGCCAAGGCTTTGAAGGATTTCTTGGCTGCCTCCACATCATTTTTTATCAAATAGTATCTGGGTGATTCTGGACAGATAAAAATTTGTAATGATGTGAGCACCATGACTATGGACGTTGCTAAAAACATGTTGTTCCAGCTTGTTGTGAAGTAGCCAATTCCTACTAAAGGTACGTAACCAAATGATCCCATACACCCTGCCCAACTGTTTATCATGTTTCTGTGTTTTGATGGAACAAGCTCCGCTTGTAGAAGGTACATTCCATCGGACTGTAAGATATTACCAACGCCCATGAAGTACCTAACTGCTAAGAGAGAGGCGTAGTTATGACAAAATGTTCCCATTAAAAGCGAAAAAGTCACGATGAACATACCAATTATTGCTGTATTCTTTCTCCCAATTCTATCAAACAAGTAACCACCTAGAATAAATCCTGACAATCCTCCAGCAAATAAAATTGACGTTAACAAGGTTTTTCGTGCCTTCCGGGATCCGACATCGCAGTATAAATCAAACTCCGCAGAAAATGAGGAATGTTCAAGACTCCATTCTATGTCAGAAGGCCCAAGGATAAGTTCTTTTTTACCATCCACTTCTTTGGTAATTTCGCAAGGAAATTTGTGTAGTAATGATGGATCATCTCTTGTCAAATTAAAGCACTTTATGGATTTGCATTTCCAAGTGTCGTCGGGGGTTGGGTCAATACCTGGAACAAAATTTACAAATTAATAATTTGCTAAAATAAACATAGATCCTCTTCATTGAATGAGTATATCAATAATCAAAAGTGATCCATACATAAATATTGAACACGCTTTTAACTTTTTCCTTCAATCATGTACTTTTCGGCCTATATCATACATAATAATCCGTAATTAGGCTGGTAAGTTATTTAAGCCCCACCAATCACCTGCGAATTCAGTTATAAAAATATTCGTCATCTCTCCCATCCACACCAACATTAGTGACATTATCAGAGCTGTGTACTTCCAACTCCGGTTCCGGGCTAACTCCTCTAGCAGATCATCACAACTAACCAGTTTTCTGTCAGTATCTCCTACCGGTAGGGTGGATCCGTAAGTTGGGTTCAACTTGATCTCGTCTATCATCTTCACAACTACTTCAAACTTTTGGGATATTCTTCGGTTTATAACTTGACTTCAATGGGGCGTGGGGGGTATCCGATGGTGAAAAATGGCGAAAAATTGTGAAATTTTACGATATGGAAACCCGATTCATCATAAAAATCATTCACAATATTTCACCGTTTTACACCATTTTATTTTATTTTTTCAAAATATCAAACTGAAATAGTAAATGTGTTTTCTGGTACTATACGACAATACCAAGAGCTCAGTTTTAATGAACCTTATCCGCCATGTTCACCAAAACTAATCAATTTGGATGTACCTTTCTCATCATGATCACCAAAAGTTACTAGTTGTTACTCGCCACGTTGAACAAAAGTTACCATTTTGATGTACCTTATTCTCAGATTCAAAAATTCTCAAAAATACTCAAAAATACTCAGCTGCATGCTGGTCACAAGACATGGTCACAAGACATGGTCACAAGACATGGTCACAAAACATGGTCACAAGACATGGTCCCAAGGGACTAGTAGTTCAATTTGTGTAAGGGAACTCATGGTCAGTCTATAAAACACATGAAAAGCAGTGTGCTCCAGTGTATATGAGTACAGATACGAAGTGGAACATCGAGTTCCGTTCTGGCGAGGTCTGGCGAGGTCTGGCGAGCTGGAAGGAACTTTCGAGATCGTCTGGAAGGGCTGATCTATAATATAAAACTATGGTATACAGACTACATGACATGTTAACTCTCCCCTGTATCTAGCCCATTTCTAGGTCAGTTAAATTCTACTGATGGACCACATCACTAATTATACGTCACCAATTAGTGACATGATCTGATCTCCGTGGGACCCCTAATAATGAGGGGGCCTGGCCGTCGTGCAGCCGTCCCAAGACATGGTCACAAGGCATGGTCACAAGGCATGGTCACAAGACATGGTCACAAGACATGGTCACAAGACATGGTCATACCACCATCTCTTGACAGAAAGCTCGACCTGGAGGGAGCTGGATAGACATTTAATTACACAAATTTGCGAAACAACGGTTTCAAACAAACGGTTATTTCACTCTGTTTATATGGATATATGATTCGATGAAATATGATACCATACTCAGGTGACAGAGATTCAGAAGCAAAAATTGACAAATTAGTTGACATTGGTCGGAAAATGATCACGTGATCTTTGAAAGCTTTTAAACACAATCCTTATCTTGATGTTGTTAACTAAACCCCCTGCAAAACACTGATTAACCTACACAGGTCACAGGTATGAGTGGCACCACAAAATAATGGGTCGTTCAAATCAGGCTTTATTGATGAAGACCTTTTTACAATCGATTATAATGAGATATGGAAACATAAAACATACCTCATCGTGATTTGATTGGGTAGTATTTCCAAGATACATTCTTTAGGTTCAAACGTGAATACATAGGGTGAAAGCCAAAGCACAATGTACATGATTTCCTTATTAGACTGCAACAACACAAAACCTAAGTTTAGGACCTAATCAAAGAGCTTTACATAAACTGTTCGAGTCTGTTCTTAGGAAGTGAACGGTTGTGAACAATAAATACCCCGTGACGTCATACCCCGTGACGTCATACCCCGTGACGTTGACATCATTTCACTACATGTACATGTCCACTCGCTCTATCTTTACAATGGGGGCCACCAAAATCTTGTGATTTGCTGTCTGATACATATCGCGGGTAATGTCACGTGTTCAGGAGCAGTTATTAGAGAGATTATTTTTGATGTGATGTTTTAGTCAATTTCTTGTTCAAATTTCATATTTTCAACAAATTTGTAGACATTGATTGTCTGTTTATGTGTCAACTGTTACCTTAGTTGGTCAATACGTATTCGCACCCGGTACGGGTACGCGCGTACCGAGTTCTGGCCCCGATAGCGGTACGTGCGTACCCGCACCCGCACCCGAAAACTCAAAAGTGAATTTGAATTTTTCAAATTTAAATTGAAATCTAGAAACTCACAGCCCAATTCTCAAAGTCCAGTCGAGCAATTGTTCTCAACATACGACTACCTAATGGGTCCAAAACGCAATAGGTTAGCCTTCGAGACCCAAGAGAAGCTGTTATTCATCAAAAGTAATTATAAAGTTTGTAACAAACGGGTGTAAGACCTGTGGTTTGTTACAGACTTTATAATTACTTTTGATGACACTGTTTGATGAACTGTGTTATCTTTGCGGATGTGTAATTGTTGAATTCCATTTTTAATATTTACTATTGTCTTTCATTTTGTCTCTGAGATAAGTGAATTCGTTTGCTTTTTAATTTTGGCGTACCCGTATCTGCACTGGGTACGGGTGCGCGTATTTTGCCGTATTTGCGCGTACCGACTGAAATTGTGGTGGTACGCGTACCCAAGTCAGCTTTTATGACGTATTGACCCACTAAGACTGTTACCATCCGATGAATGCACCTCCATTGTTGCACTGTTGCTTTGACTAATTTGACTGTATTATCTTACTATATATAAAGCGAGACGATATTATATGTATATTTCATTGCTGAACTTCTACACAATAAAAAAGAGGTTTTGACTAGATCCTCGTACCCACATCCAGAAACACGCCATCTTGCCAGGCAGCCTGGGAGGAAATTTTTTTTGGGAGGAAAAACGGGAGAAAAAGAGGAAATCTTTGAGAAGTTACTCCTAAATTTCGAAATATTTTTTTGGAATAAAGACAAATTAATTGAGGAAATTTTTGAAGAAAATGTTTCGATTGTATAAAAATCAAAGAGGAACATCCTGTCAGTTTTGGAACACAGTGTTCAATATTCTGATTGGAGAATGCAGATTGCTGTTGTGAAGTTACCAAATTTACGTGAGTACTTGATTCTTTTCAATCCCAGTTTATTGCTGTCCTACAAATTTCTTTAATGCCAAATGCCGTCTAAAACACCCTATTTCGCAAAAAAATTCCGGGGGCTGCGCTCCCTAGCCCCCGCCAAGGGGCTCCGTCCCCAGACCCCTGCCACAGCTTGTTCGCTTCGCAGCTGAATTGGACACGTCGACTCGCTTTGCTCGCCGACAGCCCCCTCCCCAAACTTGCGTGCGAAGCGAGCGGGCCACAGAATTTAGAAAAAACGCATCTGGGAGGAAATATAAAACTTTCTGGATGTGGGTCAGACCTCGTAATTCTTTGCATCATTTATTTACATCAATTCTCAAATTATTTGTTATATAGTAGTGTTGAAAGTATTAAAACCCATATATATATATATATATGGATGGATCCGTGCCATTTTACTGACACCACGGAATCAACCTTAACGCGACTTTCCGCAAACACCGTAAAAGATATACAACTGCAACTTTTTTTGACTGGGTCAAATGCTTTTATGCTTTTCAAATCAGCATAAAAAAATTAGAAATTGGCCAAGGAATAAGAATTTTAGTGCCCAACATTTGGACCCCACGTGGTGTCAAAAACGCGAATTAAATAGGTACTAATTATTTTAGTCTCTTGAGTCTTGACACCACTTTAGAGTTAGACGGGTTACTGCTAGTATACATAAATATTCTGGTTATGGATATTTAAGTCAACAATTAAGTTGTCGGTATTACTTTACTTACGCGGAACATTAAGTTGCTATGATATTTAAGTCAACAATTAAGTTGTCGTTATTACTTTACTTACGCGGAACATTAAGTTGCTATGGATATTTAAGTCAACAATTAAGTTGTTGTTATTACTTTACTTACGCGGAACATTAAGTTGCTATGAATATTTAAGTCAACAATTAAGTTGTCGTTATTACTTTACTTACGCGGAACATTAAGTTGAGCCTATGGATATTTAAGTCAACAATTAAGTTGTCGTTATTACTTTACTTACGCGGAACATTAAGTTGCTATGGATATTTAAGTCAACAATTAAGTTGTCGTTATTACTTTACTTACGCGGAACATTAAGTTGCTATGGATATTTAAGTCAACAATTAAGTTGTCGTTATTACTTTACTTACGCGGAACATTAAGTTGCTATGGATATTTAAGTCAACAATTAAGTTGTTGTTATTACTTTACTTACGCGGAACATTAAGTTGCTATGGATATTTAAGTCAACAATTAAGTTGTCGTTATTACTTTACTTACGCGGAACATTAAGTTGCTATGGATATTTAAGTCAACAATTAAGTTGTCGTTATTACTTTACTTACGCGGAACATTAAGTTGCTATGGATATTTAAGTCAACAATTAAGTTGTCGTTATTACTTTACTTACGCGGAACATTAAGTTGCTATGGATATTTAAGTCAACAATTAAGTTGTCGTTATTACTTTACTTACGCGGAACGTTAAGTTGCTATGGATATTTAAGTCAACAATTAAGTTGTCGTTATTACTTTACTTACGCGGAACACTTCCTAGGCATAGCGAACCCCTCCAACCCTGGCCTGATAGGGATATCACTCTTGTAGTCTCTGCACGAGCGACACTGTAGAGTCAAGCTGAAATAGAATGTGTGAGTAGAGGTTAAACTAGAATAGAATGTGTGAGTAGAGGTTAAACTAGAATATAATGTGTGAGTAGAGGTTAAACTAGAATATAATGTGTGAGTAGAGGTTAAACTAGAATAGAATGTGTGAGTAGAGGTTAAACTAGAATATAATGTGTGAGTAGAGGTTAAACTAGAATATAATGTGTGAGTAGAGGTTAAACTAGAATATAATGTGTGAGTAGAGGTTAATTAAACTAGAATATAATGGGTGAGTGAAGAGGTTAAACTAGAATATAATGGGTGAGTAGAGGTTAAACTAGAATATAATGTGTGAGTGAAGAGGTTAAACTAGAATATAATGTGTGAGTAGAGGTTAAACTAGAATATAATGTGTGAGTAGAGGTTAAACTAGAATAGAATGTGTGAGTAGAGGTTAAACTAGAATAGAATGTGTGAGTAGAGGTTAACCTAGAATATAATGTGTGAGTAGAGGTTAAACTAGAATATAATGTGTGAGTAGAGGTTAAACTAGAATATAATGTGTGGGTAGAGGTTAAACTAGAATATAATGTGTGAGTAAAGGTTAAACTAGAATATAATGTGTGAGTAGAGGTTAAACTAGAATATAATGTGTGAGTAGAGGTTAAACTATAATAGAATGTGTGAGTAGAGGTTAAACTAGAATAGAATGTGTGAGTATAGGTTAAACTAGAATATAATGTGTGAGTAGAGGTTAAACTAGAATAGAATGTGTGAGCGAAGAGGTTAAACTAGAATATAATGTGTGAGTAGAGGTTAAACTAGAATATAATGTGTGAGTAGAGGTTAAACTATAATAGAATGTGTGAGTAGAGGTTAAACTAGAATAGAATGTGTGAGTATAGGTTAAACTAGAATATAATGTGTGAGTAGAGGTTAAACTAGAATAGAATGTGTGAGCGAAGAGGTTAAACTAGAATATAATGTGTGAGTAGAGGTTAAACTAGAATATAATGTGTGAGTAGAGGTTAATTAAACTAGAATAGAATGTGTGAGTAGAGGTTAAACTAGAATAGAATGTGTGAGTGAAGAGGTTAAACTAGAATATAATGTGTGAGTAGAGGTTAAACTAGAATATAATGTGTGAGTAGAGGTTAATTAAACTAGAATATAATGGGTGAGTGAAGAGGTTAAACTAGAATATAATGGGTGAGTAGAGGTTAAACTAGAATATAATGTGTGAGTAGAGGTTAAACTAGAATATAATGTGTGAGTAGAGGTTAAACTAGAATATAATGTGTGAGTAAAGGTTAAACTAGAATATAATGTGTGAGTAGAGGTTAAACTAGAATATAATGTGTGAGTAGAGGTTAAACTAGAATATAATGAGAAATTAAGGAGGTCAATATGAAATGATTGTCAAGGAGGTGAGGAGGACCATATTCCAAAAGTATGTGATTGAAGTTTCGTATAATGACCTCACATTACAGGACCTCGTACAGCGGGACATTTTATTACATTTAAATCTGACATTTTAGCAAAGATATTTGACATTTATTACATTTATTGGACGTTTTATTGCCTTCATTGCGCAGTTTATATAAGTTTTCGAGTTTCTTATCTGCTATCGCGGTTCGTAGTTTTGTTTTTGTTCAGTGTGATTGTTAGTATATTTATAGTAAAGTAATTTATAGTCAGTACTTAGTTTATCACTGTTACATATAACTTGCTGCGCTCGTCTGTGTTTATTCACAAGCAATGTATATTGTATAATGTATAGTGTACATCTATGAACGTATATTGAATTTGAGTAGCCACTTCATCCGGTATGTAATACTTTTTTGTCGATGTTTGCATTAATTTCAACTTTGAGGTTTTGAGTCGGCGAAAACGCCAATATTTCATATTTGTATTGGTATTTGGTCTTATGTGATCAACTATACGACATGACGTAGGTATAACTTATATAATCGATAAGCATTGTAAACTGTTATATAGTCTTAATCCTGGCACATGTCCACGGAGAGGATTCAGCAATCAAATCAACGTCGGTCACGCACAATCCTCAATCTACTCCGCAATCATTTCCTCCGCAATCATCTCATAAACGTGACTGATTGAGTTATCTTTTACCAACCATTACAACTCATATTATATTATATCACGATGTTTACTTTGTGTTAAACGTCACGATTTCTGTACGTGTCACAATAAATGACTCGACTAATTAGTTTAAATTTAGCCGAATTCTCAAGCAGATAAGATATATTTAGTACTTCGTTATCAGTTGATGAGGTTTCACAAGCATAATGGCAGATTACCCTACTGTTTATCTCACGATACATCAATCATCTTGATTAACTTACTGAGTATAAATTCAGTTCATTCGTTGTGTAAAATGCAGAAGTTGTCGGCATGTTGCTAAACTTGCTATATTACTGGTATTTCTAAAGATTGTTGCTGGATCTATACAGTACACTCGCTAGAAATCCTAGAAGCTGTTCACATTTTGCTGGAGGCAATTATTCGTAACTCTAATATTGATGTGCTAGTTGCTGTTATTTTGCACCTATCCAGTAATGTGTCCTATCTTCAAATCAAAAGATTACAATATTGGACAAAAACACCAATAATTTCTAATCTTTCCCAACACGTCACAGTTCGTAATGTGATTTGTTAAAACCAATCAGATAACATATTAGTAGTACGGGGTCAAGGTAAATTGGTAAATTGGATAGGAAACCGTGTTGGATGCCACTGGATATAATCAGTGTTAATGTGGCTGGGGTTCAGACATTTTCATTTTTATTTTACGAGTCGCTTTCAGTTAAACTCTTTCTCGTTTTCTCGTTTTCATCTGCTCACAATCCTGAATAGCATATATGATATTATGTATATATATACAATATACAATATACATGTTATGATATAAAATAGACATAATACGATTTGAAGAGCAAAATTTACTGATGCATTTGTTTTCAACTTTATTCGACAACTTCATCTATGTATAATTTATATTATCTGATACTAAATTACAGCTCAGCTATGTTGAGATTAGTGGCAGTCTGTACACTGCTTACCCTGGTACTCTCCAAGGCGGTGGAGGATGTTGACTCGTTTGCACAGGTAAGATAATTTGTCAACAAGTGGTAAGTACAGTAGTTTACAAACCAGATATTTGATGACACACCAAGCAAGTGCTCTACTGTAAAATATTCAGCTGGAATCCCCTCACTTTCCAATTTCCAGGGTGCAATACTGTAAAATATTCAGCTGGAATTCCCTCACTTTCTAATTTCCAGGGTGCAATACTGTAAAATATTCAGCTGGAATCCCCTCACTTTCCAATTTCCAGGGTGCAATACTGTAAAATATTCAGCTGGAATCCCCTCACTTTCTAATTTCCAGGGTGCAATACTGTAAAATATTCAGCTGGAATCCCCTCACTTTCTAATTTCCAGGGTGCAATATTGTAAAATATTCAGCTGGAATCCCCTCACTTTCCAATTTCCAGGGTGCAATATTGTAAAATATTCAGCTGGAATCCCCTCACTTTCCAATTTCCAGGGTGCAATACTGTAAAATATTCAGCTGGAATTCCCTCACTTTCCAATTTCCAGGGTGCAATACTGTAAAATATTCAGCTGGAATCCCCTCACTTTCTAATTTCCAGGGTGCAATATTGTAAAATATTCAGCTGGAATTCCCTCACTTTCTAATTTCCAGGGTGCAATACTGTAAAATATTCAGCTGGAATCCCCTAACTTTCTAATTTCCAGGGTGCAATACTGTAAAATATTCAGCTGGAATTCCCTTACTTTCCAATTTCCAGGGTGCAATACTGTAAAATATTCAGCTGGAATTCCCTCACTTTCCAATTTCCAGGGTGCAATACTGTAAAATATTCAGCTGGAATCCCCTCACTTTCCAATTTCCAGGGTGCAATACTGTAAAATATTCAGCTGGAATCCCCTCACTTTCCAATTTCCAGGGTGCAATACTGTAAAATATTCAGCTGGAATCCCCTCACTTTCCAATTTCCAGGGTGCAATACTGTAAAATATTCAGCTGGAATCCCCTCACTTTCCAATTTCCAGGGTGCAATACTGTAAAATATTCAGCTGGAATCCCCTCACTTTCCAATTTCCAGGGTGCAATACTGTAAAATATTCAGCTGGAATCCCCTCACTTTCCAATTTCCAGGGTGCAATACTGTAAAATATTCAGCTGGAATCCCCTCACTTTCCAATTTCCAGGGTGCAATACTGTAAAATATTCAGCTGGAATCCCCTCACTTTCCAATTTCCAGGGTGCAATACTGTAAAATATTCAGCTGGAATCCCCTCACTTTCCAATTTCCAGGGTGCAATACTGTAAAATATTCAGCTGGAATTCCCTCACTTTCCAATTTCCAGGGTGCAATACTGTAAAATATTCAGCTGAATTCCCTCACTTTCCAATTTCCAGGGTGCAATACTGTAAAATATTCAGCTGGAATCCCCTCACTTTCCAATTTCCAGGGTGCAATACTGTAAAATATTCAGCTGGAATTCCCTCACTTTCCAATTTCCAGGGTGCAATACTGTAAAATATTCAGCTGAATTCCCTCACTTTCCAATTTCCAGGGTGCAATACTGTAAAATATTCAGCTGGAATCCCCTCACTTTCCAATTTCCAGGGTGCAATACTGTAAAATATTCAGCTGGAATCCCCTCACTTTCCAATTTCCAGGGTGCAATACTGTAAAATATTCAGCTGGAATCCCCTCACTTTCCAATTTCCAGGGTGCAATACTGTAAAATATTCAGCTGGAATCCCCTCACTTTCCAATTTCCAGGGTGCAATACTGTAAAATATTCAGCTGGAATCCCCTCACTTTCCAATTTCCAGGGTGCAATACTGTAAAATATTCAGCTGGAATCCCCTCACTTTCCAATTTCCAGGGTGCAATACTGTAAAATATTCAGCTGGAATCCCCTCACTTTCCAATTTCCAGGGTGCAATATTGTAAAATATTCAGCTGGAATCCCCTCACTTTCCAATTTCCAGGGTGCAATACTGTAAAATATTCAGCTGGAATCCCCTCACTTTCCAATTTCCAGGGTGCAATACTGTAAAATATTCAGCTGGAATCCCCTCACTTTCCAATTTCCAGGGTGCAATACTGTAAAATATTCAGCTGGAATCCCCTCACTTTCTAATTTCCAGGGTGCAATACTGTAAAATATTCAGCTGGAATCCCCTCACTTTCCAATTTCCAGGGTGCAATACTGTAAAATATTCAGCTGGAATCCCCTCACTTTCTAATTTCCAGGGTGCAATACTGTAAAATATTCAGCTGGAATCCCCTCACTTTCCAATTTCCAGGGTGCAATACTGTAAAATATTCAGCTGGAATCCCCTCACTTTCCAATTTCCAGGGTGCAATACTGTAAAATATTCAGCTGGAATCCCCTCACTTTCCAATTTCCAGGGTGCAATACTGTAAAATATTCAGCTGGAATCCCCTCACTTTCTAATTTCCAGGGTGCTGGATACGAGGAATGTGAAGAATGGACGGACTGCAGCAACCAAGTAGACGGAGATGACCTGGACAGCTACCAGGCTGAGCAGTACAGATTTGATCACGGACAAGCCGAACAGAGCGGTCCTGGGTGCCCCAAACCCAAGCCTCTCAAGGAGATATGTGCTAAGTACGAGTGCCCGCCCATCGAGAAGGTGGACGTGTCCGGCTGTGGGTTTGAGGCGCGGAAAGTGCTGAGTGCTAACTGGACCGTTACTTCTCTTGATATCACCTCTGACATGAGAACAGGTCGTAAAGACGCCTTCTGGAGGCTCTTCAAGTACATCAGTGGAGCAAATGACCAGGGGGCTAAGATCGCTATGACAGTGCCGGTCATCACTAAATGGTACATGGATGACGACTATGAAGTTGTGGGTGCAGAGATGGCATTCTACATCCCATCTGCCTTCCAAGCAAACCCACCAGCCCCCACGGATGACCAAGTAAGAGTAGAAAGTTGGGACGATGCCATCACTTACGACCGAGCATACGGAGGCAACAGCAAGAACCCTGAGATCTATAAGAAGGAGTTTAAGAAGCTGTACAAAGCACTAACTAACGAAAACATCACCCCGTACACCAAGATGTCCCTGACAGCCGGATACACCCGACCTGGCTGGGGCAGACAGAGAAGGGAGATGATGCTGGTGGATGCTGGATCCATGTGAGAGCTCTGGAGACAGGATTTGGAAGGGAGGAGTCAGGAGAACAATAGACATTAGAGAAAATACTACGACTAATACAGTGACCAATGTAATTATGTAGTCTTGTTTTATTTTAAAAGGGATCGTTCACATATTACTGAATCAGTAAACGCCAGTAAAAATTGGCACCCTCATCGTCAGAAATGATGAGGGTGCCAACCGTTACTGGAGTAACCGAACCAAAATTATGGCAATATTTGTTCTGATATTTATTGCTTCATAAGTTAGTACAAAAATTGGGGGCGGGAGCCGTCCGATGCTGATTGTTTATAACAAGAAGGGGATGTGGTTTAAAATGGACAGAAAGTTTAAAATGCTGCCATTATGTGATTATGTAATTATGTGATTATGTGATTATGTGATTATGTGATCATGTAATTATGTGAACGGTCCCGTACAGATGTAAAATACAGACATAATATTTAATCTATCATATCAATATAATTGTTATATCCTCAAAGTCAAAAGTTTCGATCTCGAATTTTTCGATACATTAAGAGTTGTTTTATTAAATTGTCATCAAAAAAGCAAACAAAAATTCCCTCCGAAATTCTTGTCGAAGAGAGATAAGTGTGGATGGAAAATGAGGTGGGCCTAGGGTGTAAAATAAGTGAGAATATCAGGAAAATCAGGGAGTCAATAATAATATGTCACATTTATCAGCTCTTGTCACATTCTTCATTCTAGAATAAGGTTAAGAGCTGGTTGGATTTGAAAATGAGGCCAAACATTGACTAAAGATGACAAAACAACATAGGATCACAGAAATTAGAAAAAAAACGTCCTAAGAAAATTGCCAATTATCTTACTATGTATAATAATAAAGCGAGACGACATATATTATATATATAATATATCTGTTACCATTTTACTGACACCACGACTTCAACTTTTTAAAGTGATAGATATACTTTTGAAACTTTATTGGCTGGGTCTAATGCTGTTATGGCCTTTTGGTCAGTATAAAGAAATACAAATTGGGCCAAAGAATATATAATTTAGGTCCCGAAAAATGGACCCCCATGCCAGGTGGTGTCAAAATCAAAAAGGGGGGGGGGGGGGGGGACACTAAGAGTAAGGGTCATAATCTGCAGCACACCATTATCAGAGAGTAAATTGACATCATGTTTAATGACCGTCCACATAACAGCATGATTCTTGAATCTTGAACTAGATGAATAAATGAAGCTCGTAGTTATAGTCGTCTGGAGCTATACTTATTTTATCATATTCTTCCCCTACCGTTGTAAGATGAAACTTTAATATAGACATGGTCTAGACAGCAGACACACAGCCAATAGTATAAGTTTAAAATTGAATTAACAACTTCTCATACAAAACATATGTACATCCTGAACTTGAAAATTCTCGTAAAACCAAGCCACCACATGGTGACTTGCCCACTGCTCAACATATGGCAATATAGAGTGCCACCATAGAACTGATCGTCACTTCTGAACGTGACTAATTAAGTTTCCTTTACCCAGCTGATCAAATTTCACCAACATCTTTCCTCACACGACGTTTGGTTCGCAACATATGTAGGCCACGTGACTGAGGATTTTACACCACAGTTGTTCAGTATTTCTTCATTCTCGGCATTATAATCAGCTGAATGAGTTTCAGTTTGTAGACTCTTGATGCGATCCACCAAATTTTACCAGAAGTGGTTACAGTATTCTGGCATAATGCCACAACATTGCTGCCACAACATGCGCTAAAATTATTCTACCATACAAATCTCTCTTGCCTACAAATTGCTAACCTCTTTGGTTATGTAATTAGATTTGTTAAACGTGACCTCAATTAACTGATAAAATCTACATCCCATCTGCCTTCCAAGCAAACCCACCAGCTCCCACAGATGACCAAGTAAGAGTAGAAAGTTGGGACGATGCCATCACTTACGATCGAGCCTACGGGGGCAACAGCAAGAACCCCGAGATCTATAAGAAGCAGAGTTGAAAAATACGTATTTAACGTATTTTATAAAATATCAAAAAAACGTTAAATACGGCGTATTTTATTTTCGCTGAATAAAATTCGTTAAAATACGTTACAAGTGATTTTGTAGCATTAAGAGCTCCAATGAAATAATAAGTACTATTTCTAATTATACAAGTTAAAAGTTTGATTAAAACTCGCGTAGCTCTGTAGTTTATCACCTCGCGTATGATTTAAGGGAACTGTGCACGTGCTACCCATTTGCTTGATCTTTTCGTCGAAGATTTCGAGAAAATTCCATTCTTCTCTAACTTATTCAAAAAGTGCACGAGTATCGTGCAATTCGTGAATAACCACGATTTTGTCCTGGGCCTCTTTAAGTCCCATTCTGAACTCATGTTGCTAAAGCCCGGTGAAACTCGCTTCGCTACTAACTTTATCATGACTGATAGGGTCGTAGCTGTAAAAGAACCCCTCGAAGACTTACTTGGAAACAGGATACTGAAACAGTGGATAGGAGGAAACGGGAAGAAACACGCATCTACTTATGCAGAGGTTAAAAAGAATATTGACTCTACTAGATTCTGGGACGATTTAGAATAGCTCAATAATATTTTTGAGCCTCTCATCGAGGTGCTGCGTTTAACCGATGGAAAGAGGACCTGCGCCATAATGGGAGAACTGTACTATTTGCTATTTCAGTTGCAAGAGAAGTTTAGTTCAACTCTTAGACCAAGCCACAAACAAGATGTGATGAGCTTCTTCTCGAATGCATGGTCTGAGTTGCACATACCCCTGCACAGTGCGGGGTTCGTTTTGAACCCAAAGTTTCTTTCCAAAACTGTACGAACAGACGTCAAACGAAGATGTCATGGGTGACTTCCTGAACATGTGCACAGTATGGGGTTTTCAGGAAATGGAGATTCTACGGCAGCTAGCACGCTATAGAAGGAGAGACGGTCTTTTTGGCCGGCAATCTGCCATTGACGGAGCTACAAAGCTAGATCCTTGTACGTGGTGGGATTCGTTCGGTGCAGCAACGCCAGAGCTTCAAATAATGGCGAAGAAAATTCTGAGCCTCGTCTGTAGTGCTTCTGCCTGTGAAACTAACTGGTCCTCTTGGGAATATATTGTTGATAAACGCAGAAATAGACTAGCAACGGATAAGGCCATAAAGCTAGTAGGCATTAATGCCAACCTTCGACTTATCCAAAACATGGAGAAATGTGATTTCAATGATGATTACGATTCATCTGAGTAATTGTGTTCTTAATTGTGTATTTATTGAAACTTTTTTACGGACGATATTCTACACAAATATGAATATTTTTCTGCGTTCAATTCCAAAAGTAAATTCCAATCCCGTTCAAGGGAACAAAATAAATGAAATTGAACCGTAATGACGATGTGTCTGAAAAAATTGCGAACGAAAGACATAACTTATTAAGTTTTTGAATGCAATTACGAAAAAAATAGGCAAACGTATTTTAACGTATTTTTGACGTATTTTATTTCTAAGCAAAAAAACGTTAAATACGGCGTATTTTAAAAATTATCTCACGTATTTTTCAACTCTGATAAGAAGGAGTTTAAGAAGCTCTACAAAGCACTAACTAACGAAAACATCACCCCGTACACCAAGATGTCCCTGACAGCCGGATACACCCGACCTGGCTGGGGCAGACAGAGAAGGGAGATGATGCTGGTGGATGCTGGATCCATGTGAGAGCTCTGGAGACAGGATTTGGAAGGGAGGAGTCAGGAGAACAATAGACATTAGAGAAAATACTACGACTAATACAGTGACCAATGTAATTATGTAGTCTTGTTTTATTTTAAAAGGGATCGTTCACATATTACTGAATCAGTAAACGCCAGTAAAAATTGGCACCCTCATCGTCAGAAATGATGAGGGTGCCAACCGTTACTGGAGTAACCGAACCAAAATTATGGCAATATTTGTTCTGATATTTATTGCTTCATAAGTTAGTACAAAAATTGGGGGCGGGAGCCGTCCGATGCTGATTGTTTATAACAAGAAGGGGATGTGGTTTAAAATGGACAGAAAGTTTAAAATGCTGCCATTATGTGATTATGTAATTATGTGATTATGTGATTATGTGATTATGTGATCATGTAATTATGCGAACGGTCATCAATATCAATATAATTGTTATATCCTCAAAGTCAAAAGTTTCGATCTCGAATTTTTCGATACGTACATTAAGAGTTGTTTTATTAAATTGTCATCAAAAAAGCAAACAAAAATTCCCTCCGAAATTCTTGTCGAAGAGAGATAAGTGTGGATGGAAAATGAGGTGGGCCTAGGGTGTAAAATAAGTGAGAATATCAGGAAAATCAGGGAGTCAATAATAATATGTCACATTTATCAGCTCTTGTCACATTCTTCATTCTAGAATAAGGTTAAGAGCTGGTTGGATTTGAAAATGAGGCCAAACATTGACTAAAGATGGCAAAACAACATAGGATCACAGAAATTAGAGAAAACGTCCTAAGAAAATTGCCAATTATCTTACTATGTATAATAATAAAGCGAGACGACATATATTATATATATAATATATCTGTTACCATTTTACTGACACCACGACTTCAACTTTTTAAAGTGATAGATATACTTTTGAAACTTTTGCTGTTTGGTCAATGCTGTTTATGGCCTCTTAGGTCAGTATAAAGAAATGACATTTCACGTGCCAAAGAATATAATTCCTGCGTCGCGCAAACAGGACCCCCAAAGTTATACAAATCAAAAAGGGGGGGGGGGGGTGGGGGGGGCACTAAATAGGGTCAAACTGCACACACCATTATCAGGAGTAAATTGAACTGCTCAATGACCGTCAACAAACAGCCATATTCGTTGTGTATCTTGGGAGACAGATGATAAATCCGAGCAAGGTCAGTAAGTCTCTGGAGCATACATATTTATTTTCCCCTACGTTTAAGATGAAACTTAATATGACATGGCTAGACATGCAGCACCAGCCATAGTAAAGTTTAAAATTGAATAACAACTTCTCATACATAGGCATTTATGTCACTGAACTGAAAATTCTGTAGAAACCAAGCCACAGGCACTGACCTCAACATATGGCATAAGAGTTCCAACCATAGAAACTGATCGTACTTCTCGAAAGATGACAAATTTAAGTTTACCTTTACCAGCTGATCAAGTTTACCAACATCTTTCTCACACGCAGTTTGGATGCACATATGTAGGGCCACGTGCTGAGGATGTTACACTCTCACAGTTGTTAAAGTATTTCTTCATTCTCGCATTAAATCACTGAATGAGTTTGCAGTTTGAGACTCTAGTGACGATCCACCAAATTTTACCAGAAGTGGTTCAGTATTCTGGCTAATTCCAAAACATAGCGTGCCATCAATGGCGCATGAAAATTCTACCATGAAATTTCCTTTGCCTCAGAATGTGCTACCTCTTTGGTTAGAATTAGGTTTGGTCTAAACGGTGACCTCAAGTTACTTGATAAATATCGTCCACTGTTCAATTCTTCCACGCTAGTGCATTTACCGTGGACTCGCTTAATTGTCTGGAACATATCGTCCTTATCTCTATTTGATTACTTATTGTGACGATGAGGGTTTAATGTTCTAAAAACTTTTAAACGTGCTTTTATGCGCTTAAGTCACTTCAGTAAATTAGACAATTTTGAGTTGATGTGAGATTAATTACATAAGTCCTGTATCTTACTGTAAAGAAATATCGCGTAGTTATGATTATCAATAACTATTTTTATAGGAATGTCAAGTCTTGAAAAGCTTTACATCGTAACGTCGAGTACAAAAAAAATCAAAAATTTGCTAATTATTCATTAAATTAAGATGATAGTATCTGCAATCTGAATTCCACTTATTGTAGGTTATAGCGTTATGCCCTTGCTGAGCTCAGTAAAGCGATGGACAAATCTGCTTGCTCAAAACATTATAATGACTTAGGTCCCGAGAATATGAGACCCTCATGCTAGGATTGGTATAAATCCAGATCTCATGGATAGAATGAATGAGGGGTGGATGAGATGGGTGGGAATCACTTATGCTAGTGTAAGGGTTCAAGATACTAAATTGGGAAATCTGAACTATTGATCAGACGCGTGTTAAATGATAAAAATCATTTAATGACGTCTCTAACACGATTTTTCTTTTGCGAGAACAAGTGAATAGAACAATGAAGCCGAAGCGTATAGATGCATACCTGGAGAAGCTAAAGTACTTAGATTTGCAGTATTTTCCCACGTGTGTAAGAGAAAGCTTTAATATAGACATGGGCTAGACACAGACACAAGCCAAGTATGAGTTCTAACAATTGAATGAAACGAAAACAATATGAAAATATGAAGTTGACTTGACAAGTTCTGTGAAAACCAAGAAGCAGACTCAAACAAGTGACTTGCCCTAAACTCAAATCACTATTGGTTTGGAAGATATAGAGTGCCCCTTAGAAGGTGAGTTCTGGATCGTATTTAAGCAGAAACCTGCTGCAACTCCAAAATAGTTATCCTTTACCCAGCTGATCAAATTTCACCAACATCTTTCCTCACACTGCGTTTGGTTCGCAACATATGTAGGCGACGTGACTGAGGATTTTACACCACAGTTGTTCAGTATTTCTTCATTCTCGGCATTATAATCAGCTGAATGAGTTTCAGTTTGTAGACTCTTGATGCGATCCACCAAATTTTACCAGAAGTGGTTACAGTATTCTGGCATAATGCCACAACATTGCTGCCACAACATGCGCTAAAATTATTCTACCATACAAATCTCTCTTGCCTACAAATTGCTAACCTCTTTGGTTATGTAATTAGATTTGTTAAACGTGACCTCAATTAACTGATAAAATATTGTCACGTGATAAGATTCACTGTACGTGGTGGCTTTAACTGATGCAATTATTTCGTCCTTATCTCCTTCTTTTCTTTTATTGTGCACAGGATAGTAGTTTCATTTTCTAAATTTTAAGATCTGTTTTGTGCTAAAGTCCTAGTCCTTTAGTAAATATAACACATTCTTGTTACGTCTTGTAAACAACACATCCTTGTAGTTGTTACTTGTAAATATAACACATCCTTGTAGTTACTTGTAAATATAAAACATATTTGTTACTTATAGTTATTAAGTTTTGAAAAGCTATTTAATCGATACAACCTAATTTGCTAATTTATATCATTATAGTCATTTAAAGATGATATTTGACAATCAATTCCAGCAGTTATGTTAAGGTTATTAGCAGTATGCACACTGCTGACTGTAGCCCTTTCTAAAGCGGTGGACTCAGACTTTGATTGGCAGAACATTCTGAAAGAGCAGGGTTTCTCCGAAGAGGATATCGAGGGATTCGCTCAGGTATGGTGATTGGATTTGCTCAGGGATTAGCTCATGTGATTGGATAAGCAATGAGTGTTTGTCGGATGAGTATTGGGTGGAATTCACAGAGATGCTTATTCACTTATTGTTTAGTGTACTTGCCGTTTTCAAAGCATAGCTATACATTTGGGGTAATTTGTAACGGTTCACTGACATCAGGACGCCTGTGCCTATGACTCTATGATGAACTGCATTAAAAATCAATTTAATGAATTTAACACGATTTTTAAATTTTCAGAACGAGAGAGAAGCAAAAGTGAAATTAGAACAAGAAGAAGCGGAAGACGAAGATGACATAACCTGGGATGAAGCTAAAGGGTACGACGAGTGTGAAGAGTTTATGTGGTGGAAGAAAGCCGGAAAGGAGGACTGGGCGGACAAGAAGAAAGAATGGGCTGCTAACAATGAAATGGAAGACGAAGAAGACAAAGATGATGAATATGAAGTTGACCAGTACAAGTTTGGTGGGAACAAGAAGAAGGGTAAAAGTTGCCCTAAACCTAAATCACTTGCTGAGGTTTGCGAAGACAATGAGTGTCCTCCCTTTGAAGAGGTTGCTGTGTCTGGATGTGGATTTGAAGCAAGGAAAATCCTCGCTGCAAACTGGACCGTTACCAAGCTCGACGTTTCTGACATGAAAAAGGGTGATCAATCAGCATTCTGGAGGCTCTTCAAGTACATCAGTGGAGCTAATGACCAGGGAGCTAAGATCGCTATGACAGTGCCGGTCATCACTAAATGGTACATGGATGAGGAGTATGAACTTGTGGGTGCAGAGATGGCATTCTATATCCCATCTGCCTTCCAAGCAAACCCACCAGCCCCCTCAGATCCACTTGTCAGGGTAGAGAGGTGGGATGATGCTATCACTTACGATAGAGCATTTGGAGGAAACCGTGAAGATGAGGAGTTTTACGTGAAGCAATTCAAGATGCTGTACAAAGCACTAGCGAAGGAGGACATTACACCTTACAGCCAGATGTCGATAACAGCTGGGTTTACCCGACCTGGCTGGGGCAGACAGAGGAAGGAAGTCATGCTGGTGGATGCTGGATCTATGTGAGATCTCTCAATGTGGAGGTGATATACACATTATGAAGGAGTCAGTTCGAGGACAATATTAGTCTGGTAGTGCATGGATAATAAACACTTTATAAAATTATAGATTTTTTCAAAAACAAATTTCTAAATACCTAATTTTTAGAGTTCCAAGTCAAAATTTTAGATTGTCAGATATTTTAACATTTGTAACTAAGATATTAAAATTATGAATATTTAGCTACTTCTCATAAATGGTGTATTTTCTTCTTCGGTACATGAAATTTTCTCCGTCCAACTGCTTGTAAAAAAGGGGCGATGTACAGTGTGATAATATCTTGTAAAGCGGGTGATCATGTGAAGATACACTTACAGAGTAGAAGTAGCAATCCTGCAATCATGTTCAGAGACCATTCCGCAACAATGCTACAGTAATGTATTACAGGGCTAAACCAGTGTTCATGTTATCTTATTTTTGATCAGGGAAATCAATTTAAGCAACTCTAATTCTCCACACATCTGAACTGTTATCAGAGTTTTTACAGGACAAATTAAGGACCTCCAGGTTTTGAGACGTTTTCATCGACTTGGCACTATTACAAACTTGGTGGTCCATGAAATTGAAACCAAACTACTCACCCTCCCTCTTAACTAACACAGTTACACAAAAGAGTAGGTTTTAAATAACAAACTACTCAGTACTCACCCTCCCTCTTAACTAATACAGTTACACTAAAGAGTAGGTTTATAACAAATTACTCAGTACTCACCCTCCCTCTTAACTAATACAGTTACACAAAAGAGTAGGTTTATAACAAACTACACAGTACTCACCCTCCCTCTTAACTAATACAGTTACACAAAAGAGTAGGTTTATAACAAATTACTCAGTACTCACCCTCCCTATTAACTAATACAGTTACACAAAAGAGTAGGTTTATAACAAACTACTCAGTACTCACCCTCCCTCTTAACTAATACAGTTAAACAAAAGAGTAGGTTTATAACAAATTACTCAGTACTCACCCTCCCTCTTAACTAATACAGTTACACTAAAGAGTAGGTTTATAACAAACTACTCAGTACTCACCCTCCCTCTTAACTAATACAGTTAAACAAAAGAGTAGGTTTATAACGAACTACTCAGTACTCACCCTCCCTCTTAACTAATACAGTTAAACAAAAGAGTAGGTTTATAACAAATTACTCAGTACTCACACTCCCTCTTAACTAATACAGTTAAACAAAAGAGTAGGCTTATAACAAACTACTCAGTACTCACCCTCCCTCTTAACTAATACAGCTACACTAAAGAGTAGGTTTATGACAAATTACTCAGTACTCACCCTCCCTCTTAACTAATACAGTTACACAAAAGAGTAGTTTTATAACAAATTACTCAGTACTCACCCTCCCTCTTAACTAATACAGTTACACAAAAGAGTAGGTTTATAACAAACTACTCAGTACTCACCCTCCCTCTTAACTAATACAGTTAAACAAAAGAGTAGGTTTATAACAAACTACTCAGTACTCACCCTCTCTCTTAACTAATACAGTTAAACAAAAGAGTAGGTTTATAACAAACTACTCAGTACTCACCCTCCCTCTTAACTAATACAGTTAAACAAAAGAGTAGGTTTATAACAAACTACTCAGTACTCACCCTCCCTCTTAACTAGTACAGTTAAACAAAAGAGTAGGTTTATAACAAACTACTCAGTACTCACCCTCCCTCTTAACTAATACAGTTAAACAAAAGAGTAGGTTTATAACAAATTACTCATGACGCAGACGCAGTTAGCGAACATGACGTACAAGCACCATTTTCGGCATTTAAAATAAATTACCAAATTTCTGATTTCATCTATTTTCCTTACCAAATGTTATCCATCATCTCAGTAGCAGGTATGTCTGATCTGACTATACAACTGGCTATATCGGCTGCTCTCCTCGTCCTAGGAGCAACACACTCAGTGAGTTGCACAGCTGACACCTGCTATAACGGGGGCGAGCTAGAGGACGTGAGTCTAACACCAGGACAATTAGCCAATTAGAGCACAGTATTCACCGCACGTGACACAAACTAGCCAATCAAAATGAGTCTAACACCAGGACAACTCATCACTTCGAGGAACGGGGAGTAACGCTAGTTCTACAGACTGATGGGAACTTGGTGGTTAAATGCACGGACACTTGTGTGGCAATCGGCTACTCGGAGGAGATATGTAAATCATGTAAACAGAGCGGTGTTGCAAAGAGACGGGAATCTCGCTGTTTTGGACTACAGAGGTGTGGCAATCTATAATTCTAACAGCCAGCATCGGGGAGGAGCTATGTTAGTGGTGCTGGACAACGGTAATCTGGTGATCAACACGAACTATGGGCGCGAACAATGTCCACGTGTCCCGCTCTCCCACACAGCGCGCGGCCCGCGCGCTGTGTGGGAGAGCGGGACACGTGGACATTGTGGTGAGACTGTCTATGATGTGATTGAAGGATAAAACTAAAAATTTATAATTTTCATTATAATTTGAATTTGCAACTTGATTTTTGTTCTTATTAAGATGTAATGAGCGTGGTTTCATTTCGTATATGCAGTGTGACCAACAGGGCGTTTTCCATTTCCAAATAATTACCACACCCACATTCCACAAACTGAATGAAGTGCAGTGTGCACCATCTCCCTCCTAATCACACCGAAAACTCAGTGTCGTCCGGAACGGTCACTTAAGAAAGGAACTTCATGGTTTCAAGTGCACTCGGCACCATTATAATCTAAATTTTATAATAAAGTTAAGACCTCGTTATAATTTCCCACGCTGCACCTCCTAATCTACAAAAACCAGGTAATTAAATCAGATGCTGGCCAGTGTTATCCCGGTATAATTAACACCATATTAGAGGCAAACTAGACTTCAGCACTCAGCTTCTGATTTGAGTTCCTTTGAGATGGTTTGTCTTCCTTTGCACGACCAGTTCTTCATGATTGTGTCACGAAGTGTGAATACTGTGCTCTGATTGGTTAGTTTGTGTCACGTGGTGTGAATACTGTGCTCTGATTGGTTAGTTTGAGCCGGATTGTCTTCCTTTGCACGACCATTTCTTTATGATTCCATGATTTCCACAAATAAGATCTATAAACTATGAAGTCTTTTCATTCGGCTAAAATTCAAGTTCCTATCTAAATTTCTTGGAATATAATAGGAGAATAAGCTGCTGGAGTCTAGCCAGAATTCAAGATTGCAGTATTTGTTATTAGTGTTACAATCTTGTTAACCCTTATTAATATTTGATGGTGAACCGTTAGTCTTCAATAATCTGCGGCACAAATTGACAGCCCCTTCGTCTTAATTAACATGGTTTCCCTCCTGATAATAAACTATAAATAAATTAGATTTGTTGTGCGCGATCAGATAACTGATAACCTTTTTAACAGTACGTCATGAGGCAAATGTAATTGACGTTATATTATGATAAATCTTTGAGAGTTTCTTTGCATCCGGGTATTTTCTGAATCTTACGTTTTTCTTCGCTCATAAACAATGTACGAGTTTTTGTCAGTCATCCATACGAAAATTTCGCTTTGAAATTTAATCTACAGACAATTTCTTTCTGGTAACTAATATAATCACCTTAATAACACCAGAATGTGTGTGTGTGTGTGTGTCTGTCTGTCTGTGTGTAATTTCCGGTCGGTTATACAAAAAAAGCGGTAAGAGTTACGGGACTGGTTTTTTCGGTATAGTGCCGACAAAACTCTGATGAAGCCCATACGAAATTTTTTTTAAAATCGGCCGGGGGTAAGTGGTTTAATTGATGGTTTTGTACCACAAATGTTACATAAAATTGCTTGAGCAGAACAGCTAGAGTTACGGGGCTTGCTCTCTCTCTCTCTCTCATTACTGTATTATATGTGATAGCTGCATTTAAGTAGCGTCATAATTGGATTAGCCCGGAATATTCGCTGTAATGTAATACCATAAGCTTATTAGGGGAGGAGGACTGTTAGTGTTTGGGGTCTGTTTGGACTGCATGAGAGAGAGAGAGTTCATACGACAATGTTATGCGTGTTTTCAAATATAATATGCGGATGTGGTGCGGAGTTAACAAGGGTTAATTTCTATAACGATTTAAATAAAAATAGAAAGCGGTTCAAGACGGGAGTGATAAGGTGTAATACTCGGTCGCGGTGTTCAGACCTTATGATCATGGAGTGTGGTGCCTCATGGCTAATAATGACTTAAATATCCACAAGAAATAACTGATTATGAGATTATTGTTTTAGAAACTATTGGGTCACCTAATGCGGATTTTGACTCAGCGGGTAATTACTCCTACCCTTTTTAACTGCGGCAGTGAAATCCCGGCCGTAGGCCGGGTTACACTAGTATAGTATATACGAGCAAAGCTATGCTATGATCACCCGACTTAAAATCTCTGTATACAAAATTTCTTCAATTACATTCAGTTAAATAATAAAACCCCACCACAGCAAGATGCTACGATTACTAGCAGTCTGCGCGCTGCTGACAATTGCCCTCTCAATGCTTGACCAAGAATTTGATTTTGGAGGCCAGGACGAGTCGGCTCTGGAGATCCTGATGAGGGAACAGGGATTCTCTGATGTGGAGATTGAGGTGTTTTTACAGGTGCGCTCATATGGTTGAGGGGGGGAGGGGTCACTGTTGGGAGGGAAAGGGGTCACTGTTGGGAGGGGGTCACTGTTGGGAGGGGGTCACTGTTGGGAGTGAGGGTCACTGTTGGGATGGGGGTCACTGTTGGGAGGGAAAGGGGTCACTGTTGGGAGGGGGTCACTGTTGGGAGTGAGGGTCACTGTTGGGATGGGGGTCACTGTTGAGAGGGGGGTCACTGTTGAGAGGGGGGGGTCACTGTCGGGAGGGGGTCACTGTTGGGAGGGGGGTCACTGTTGGCCGTTGGGAGGGAGGGTCACTGTTGGGAGGGGGGTCACTGTTGGGAGGGGGGAAGCTAATTTCGCAACCTACTGACAACTAGTGGTATTATTTTAGACGTAAAAAAACTTGAAAATTCGGGGAAAGTGGTTCGTTGTTCATTGGAAGTTGGAACCTGAACCACACTTGAGGATAGAGAATACTAACTACTAACTAATTTAATGATATAAATCCCAATTTTCAGCAAGATAGAAGCGACCGTGAGGAGCTAGAGACCCAAGAAGAGGAGGAGTACTTCTCCTGGGATGAAGCTAAAGGGTACGACGAGTGTGACGAATTCAGGCACTCTTGGAGACGAAAGGACTACGTTTACGGGAAGAAGGAGGACGAGAAGGAGGACGAACTGAAGGAGGACGGGAAGAAATACGAACTGAAGGAGGACGACTGGACAGATATGAAGAAAGCGTGGGCCGGGGATTATACTGTTGTTGTTGAGGAGAAGGAGGAAGAGGATGTAGTCGACCAGCCCAAGGCTGATGGTAGCAGTAGTGGATATCATGGTTCAAGGCATCATGGACGCTCTAGTCACCACGGAAGTTCTAGGCATCATGGAAGCTCTGGACGGTCTAGTCACCACGGAAGTTCTAGGCATCATGGAAGCTCTAGTTCTAAGCATCATGGAAGTTCTAAGTATCATGGTAAATCTGGTCCCCATGGTAAATCTGGATACCATAGTAAATCTGGGTACCATGGAAAATCTGGAAAGAAGAGAGGTAATTGTAAAAGTAAGCCGAAACCACTCGACCAGATCTGTGCAGAGATCGAGTGCCCTGTCATAGAGAAGCTTAACATCTCCGGTTGTGGATTTGAAGCGAGAAAAGTGTTAAGTGCCAACTGGATTGTTACTCCCTTCGATACCTCTGACATGCGCACTGGTTACCAAAATGCTTTCTGGCGGCTCTTCAAATACATTAGTGGAGCTAATGAACAGGGAGCTAAGATCGCCATGACAGCTCCAGTGATAACCCAATGGATCTTAGACGAGGAGTATGAGCTAGAAGGTGCGGTGATGGCATTCTACATTCCTTCTGCCTTCCAAGCAAACCCGCCAGCCCCCACGGATCCACTTGTCCATGTAGCCATGTGGACTGATGCTATCATTTACGATAGAGCGTTTGGCGGAACCCATGATGATCCTGAATATTATAAGAGACAGTTTACTAGTCTGTGGAGGGCACTAGCGAAGGAGAACATCACCCCCTACACCAAGATGTCCGTGACAGCCGGGTATACCCGACCTGGCTGGGGCAGACAGAGGATGGAAGTCATGTTTGTGGATGCTGGATCTATGTGAGATGTCTCAATACTGCTAGATGCTGGATCCAGTTGAGGATAACTGTCCGGAGCAGGGTTAAGGATCGGGGGGAAAGAAGATGATTTCATACAAAAGACAACTTTGTGAATTTGATATTTATAGGTACTAGATATTTTTTCTTTAATTAGTTGAACAATTTACCAGCATGCGTTTTAAGGAAATGTTTTTATATAATTTTTTAAATATTGAAAGAGGTTTAATTGAAATTATTTACTTTTTATATTTTATCATCATCAGTTCATTATTCAAGTTAAACATTAAAAGACGACTTATGGCATTGTTAGTCAGACCAAAATTCTACCGAATGATCGCTTTAATCAAATACCAGACTACTTTTAACCGGAGCCGAAATTTTAAAGATCGATTTTTTTAACATTTTTGGAATGCTGTGTTTTTCGGAATGCTGAGCTAATAACTTAATAAAGGTAACACACAGTACATCTTCTGAGTGCAAGGAAATGGTTGCGCTAAATCAATGTTTACCTGGTCGCCTTGGCTCGCACACCGCTAGCGTTGATAATGATCCCAGGTACTCGGACTAATCTGGACATGTGATCAGACTTCAGATCCCGTATATTGACGGGGGACTGGGGGCTGGTCAGTAACACGTGCATATCTTGTACCTCTTCCTCTTCCTCCGGGCGAGGTCGTGTTAGTTCGTCAGCAACTTCCTTCGCAGCTGTTTCGAACTGAAAGTTATTTAACTTTTATAGAGAGGAAATATTCATTATGTACCCTAAATTTAAAATCAGTAGCATTCCATTGAACGTAAAAATAGATTTTCAAGCTTCCCAATTCCCACCCTTCCTTTTACATAAATCATTTAAATGGGTTAAGACGCAGACTGGTTGTAAAGCAAACCTTCTTAGAAACTTTGTCAACAGATTATTTAAAACTTTTATCGGGAGAAAGTAAATCTAGAGACTTCGTGGCCACGCAATTGTAAAGTGTTAACCCATTAAACATTGTGAACTCTTTCAATAATATCATAAATAATGTTATATTCAAATGTCAATAGAAATATACCGTCAAATGTGTCTCAGAAAGGCAAGCAACAATTCAAAGACTTCGACAACAAAAGACGCGACAATAAGAAGTCTACCATATTAAATAACGATATTAAATAACAGCAGGAACAATGTTTACACATAACAGCTCGGGACCACTATAAACCAAACCTTAATAACAGTAAGAACAAAGTTTAACGTGGCACTATTTCTCTCATTGTTTTTTCCAAACCAGATAGTTCACTCTCAATAGTTTACTGTGTTTAATTAGAATCTTCTCTCGATATGAAGCTCTTACTCGTGCTAAGTGTATTGATAATGATATGCGCATCACTTTCTGTACCATTGGGGGATGGGCTAGAGTACCTAGACGAACGGGAGGACAGCACGGAGGAACAAAGGTATGGAAATGAAGACGCTTCCGAAGAGGTGGATCCGTCCGAGGAGATGGATGATGATGTGGAACCTGCTACTTGTACTACTGACAGGTGTGTTCAGGATACTGGAAGGGCCATGTGGCTGGAAACAGGCCAGACTATCGAGGTAGGTTCATTCTCATGTGCAGTTAGCTAACTGCTTTAAAGATTTGATGTTATAATGGTACATTATTATTATTGGTACATTCTTGTACATGTACATTCTTGTAAATTTTTGTAAATTCTTGTACATTCTTGTACATGCTTGTACATTCTTGTAAATTCTTGTAAATTCTTGTAAATTCTTGTAAATTCTTGTAAATTCTTGTAAATTCTTGTACATTCTTGTAAATTCTTGTACATTCTTGTACATTCTTGTACATTTTTGCAAATTCTTGTCCATTTTTTGCACTTATGTTTGTTAAATTAACTTAACACTCGCCCACACTCCACAGTCGAGCAAGATCCGAGCGTTTATGCAGACTGATGGTAATTTAGTGGTATACTGTAAAAGTTGGTGCCCCTGCGCAAGAAAGCCTGTTTGGGCCTCTAATACTTCCAGTACGGTAAGTCGCGTAGTAGTTATTTCTGGAAAAGTGTCCATTTGAGGACTAGAAAATTAACTATTAGATTAAATACCAGCCCAAGCTGTCTGAAAACGGATAACTTTGCATTATGGGCACATAACTAAAATCCCCTATCAGCTGATAGATACAGGACTGAAGATTGAGAAAGATGGAGACTTGGTGCTCTACGACACAAAAGGTAAGAAACTAGGGCTGGTCAATAATGATAAAATAACACAAGGAAGGGGGTGGGGCAAGTTTAAGTTTAAGGACAGGGTAAGATTAATTTCTCACGCTGAACCTACTGCAGGGGACGCAGTGTGGCAGAGTGGTACACATGTGAGAGGAGGGAAGTTTACCCTAGTGGCCCAGGAGGATAGCAACCTGGTGCTGTACTCGGAGAAGGGTGGAGAGAAGACACAGATCTGGGATTCTGGTACTAAGGGTAGGTGTTATTTTGGACCATAACACCCATAGGGAGTGTTGTTGGGATGATAACATCCATAGGGAGTGTTGTTGGGATGATAACACCAACGGAAAAGGTTGTGGCAGAAAATACACTTTTGAACATACTTTGGTTTTGTGAAGAGATTAAAGATTGGAACACTTCCAAGGGATTCAAGGAAGTGGAGGGATAGTGATTGCATTAAAAGTTTTATTTTCTTCGCTCGACTAATCGTTGTTTCCTTTTTTGATCTCTTAAAAATGCTCTTATACAATAACAGCTATATTTAACCATTAACCAATCTAAAATCAGAAAAGTACAATCCAAAATAATTTGACAAACCAAGATACAAGTAGCACAAACAAAAGCGGAATTTTAAACAAATAAAGTGTTCACTATGTCGAACTTACAAACATCAGACTGTCATATGGTCAGATAGCCATGGTCAGATACGGTCAGAAGAGTTCAAATAAGGTCGGATATAGTCATATCATATAGTTATATAATAATGCCAGGAAAGGTCAGATAAGGTCGGATAAAGTCAGATAAGGTCGGATATAGTCATATCATATAGTTATATAATAAGGCCAGGAAAGGTCAGATAAGGTCGGATAAAGTCAGATAAGGTTGGATATAGTCATATCATATAGTCATATAATAAGGCCAGGAAAGGTCAGATAAGGTCGGATAAAGTCAGATAAGGTCGGATATAGTCATATCATATAGTCATATAATAAGGCCAGGAAAGGTCAGATAAGGTCGGATAAAGTCAGATAAGGTCGGATATAGTCATATCATATAGTCATATAATAAGGCCAGGAAAGGTCAGATAAGGTCGGATAAAGTCAGATAAGGTTGGATATAGTCATATCATATAGTCATATAATAAGGCCAGGAAAGGTCAGATAAGGTCGGATAAAGTCAGATAAGGTCGGATATAGTCATATCATATAGTCATATAATAAGGCCAGGAAAGGTCAGATAAGGTCGGATAAAGTCAGATAAGGTCGGATATAGTCATATCATATAGTTATATAATAAGGCCAGGAAAGGTCAGATAAGGTCGGATAAAGTCAGATAAGGTTGGATTGTCTCACCAGAGGTAGATATGTGGTAGGAGATTTGATGAGCTTGTCCGCCAACACCTCGTTAAAGCTAGAGAGATCTGATAAGGAAACTGTTAACTCGTACTTCCCCAGAATGTACTGCCTCTTCAAATCATCCCTGGAGAGATTAAGTGACGTCATGAGAAGTGACAGAAAGAAGTAACAATAGTGACCGAGAAGTTAAATTTGTAACGGAGTAGTTAGATTTGTGTCAGAGATGTTACACTTGTGACAGAAAACTGTGACAGAAAACATTGTGACGTCATGACGCGATTATGTTCCGTACATTCATGACATTTTCTAACTAATACACGACCATCAAAATGGGTGTTGAATGGAATCAGTACAGAGCCGAATAAATTTCATCAAATATTAAAGCACTCCTATATAAACTGATGAACTATCAGCCTTGTTAGTTGTTATCTATTGTTAACCTGTAATGATAAATATTGTTCACGTCATGGTACTCCCGTATAAAGTCTTTGAATAACCTCTGAATGTTCAACAAGTTTAACCCGTCATCCCCTGAAAATAATAAGATATAAAAAGGGCTTATCCAAAAGCTATCCATATTTGATTAAATTAATGAAATTTCGTTATATTCGATGATATTCAAGGATAGACAAAATTCTGGTGTTGGAAATTCCAATAATTGCAGATTGTTAAGGGGGGTCCCCAGGTAACAGATACCTGTAACCAGGTAACGGTTACCACGTAACAGATTGTTAACACTAACCGTTGATTGGAGCTCCCAGAGAATCGCTGTAGTAAACCGGAGCTTCGTCAAACCCTGTAGCTGCCATTGCTAGTATAATACGATACTTGTTAGAATAAGGTGGGGGTGAGATCGTTAGACTAGGGCTGATAGTGTTTAGACAAGTTCTGAAGAAAGATCGGTTCAATTAGTACCAGGAATTTTATATTACAAATATAATTTGATTTTTGATTACAAATTACCATATATACATATAATGATCGTTTGACAATGAATAATTTTGACGCAGTGAAGCTACTTTACTGGAACATAACACTGTCATTTGTCAATCAATCGAAAATTTTCTTACATGCTCAAATTCGTGTCAAACATTAAAAAAGCACTAACAAAAAATGAGCATTCCCCCAAGACAGCTGCTTAGGGTGTTAACTATATTCACAATAGAAAATTTAAAATTGAATAAAGATCGATCATATTAATTCAATCATAATTTTATTTTAAGAATAACAAAGCGAACTAATAAATATGCAACTTAATCTAATATCCTATGAATTAACTTATGGAATTATTACAGTACAAAATAATGCAGGCTATTGTAGTGGTAGCAGCAGTCTAACAATTGAAACGTTCTAAGTTGGTACTAGTATCCGACAACGGCTCGTGAAGTTGCTCAACAATGTTACTTTACCCTTCAAAACATAAATACCTGTCTATCACATTGGCGTTCAGGTTTCAGTTTCAAATTGCTCAGCTCGGCACAATTAAAAAAATACTTCTCGATGAAGGAAGCACAATTCTTTTCACGTTTTCTCACAAGGTCTTCATTCTTGGTCCTCTTTTAGATCCTTACTTTGAATTTGGTAAGAACAAATGTCTGTATCGTATACGTTATATCTATACATTCATCAACGCTTGTTCTCGCTGACTCTCAACTTCTTTTTCCCTATTTCTTCTTTTTCACTACTACTTCTTTTTCCCTCTTTGGACGGTTTTCGTTTGTTTTTTAACAGCTCGAAATCTGAATCCTCGCTAAAATTCCCAGTCATGTTTTCCTTTTCCGACTCAGCATCACTCTCCATAATTGAGTTTAGGTTCATCCTCGGAACCTCTAGGGATATCTCTAGATCAGGATCCTTTTTATCAGGCCGGTTCTTACATCTCTCCACATTGCATTTACACAGGTTCCCACACGGTCCGTCTAATTTAACACACCCACACTGCTTGGACCCACAGTTACCCTTGCACCCACACCCAGGTTTCTCCAGTTTGGACGTCCTCCGTTTCAGCACCTTTTTAACACTCCGCGGAGTTTTCAAACCGACATTCTCCAGTTCAACAACAATATCTTTGTTATCCTCATACCATGAGTCGTCTATATCAGCGTTACTTTCGGTGTCAGACATTTCACTCAGAGAGCCGAATGAATCGTTTCTGACGAATTGTCGTCGGAATACCTCCTTGGCTTTCACAGCTGCTGGCTGGTTAGTTCGCAGGGATTTCAGGCGTTTGTTTTGAACTTCTAGTGTTCTAACCGTCATCTGAAATAATACTCAATTAGAATTTAACTTGAATATAAAATACAACGTTTGAAAGGCTAGAGCTCTTTTTGAACAATAATAACGCTCCATACCAAGTGTGAGACTATGGCTACTTCTTCTGAGCTGCGTGAATAACCTATCAATATTTTGAAATCGCGGGAAATCATCCATTTGCGCGAAAATAGCTAGTCTTTAGATATTAAAAACGTTCCGCGCGTTACAGAAACCAAAACGCGCACACGGTACAAAAATAAAGACAGACAACAATTAATTTGTTCACACTGCATTAAAAATAACCTGAAATTCTTTTCTCATTTCCATCTCCTTCTCCTCGGCCTGCTTCTTAGCATCCTCGTAGTTCATCTCTATAGCAGCTATTTCCTCCTGTAACCGCGCTTTCTCAGAGTCCTCCATCTCCAGCTCCCGTTTCAATGTGTTCTCTCGGAGATGATTATCAACTGCTGCGCTGCACAACCATTTTAAACCTGCGGCGGGATGGAGAGAGATATAAAGATGCAAATGTTAAGATGTGTAGTGTTATTGACATAGTAGAATGAGGTTGAGAGTGGATTACAATGAACAATCCTGTAAATTTATATTTGCACATGTTCTTCGAAAAATTACAGAACGTGTCATCTAAAAATAGAATTACCAGTTTTACAGTCCCCAATATTACTAAGCTGCTTAAAGATATCATTTCTAGCAGCACTTTGATCAGATTTCATAACTTCGCTCTGTAGACTGGATATTTGTTGTGATTTGAATTTAATTTGACGGTCAACATCAGCTACGTCCTCAGCTACTGACTCTGAAATTATCAACATTATTTCCGGATGTCTGATGATAAGCAAGTTGAATATTTTAAGAAAGATAAACAGCTTTCAGGTGCAATGAATTGACCGCATAAATTTGAATACGGATCAAAACAAACAATTACATTTCTATTAAATGACAAATTAATTAACTAATAGTAACCAGATTTGGCTAATTCAATTAATAATTAATGACTAATTAATTAATTAATAGTAACCAGATTTGGGTAGCTTCTTAAGGGCCTGTAAACTGTCATGTAACTTCTTTCTCTGCTCAATAAACATATCAATAGCTTCACGTGCCATCTCCTTTGTAATTCTCATGTCAATGTGACCCTGATCATTAAATGTGATTTTAAATCCAAGTTTACATAAATAACTAATAATACAATAACATAATAACTAATATCGAAGCAGCTGGAAACTTCTAGAAATAGGCCGAATGAAATTCATCATAACCTCTATAAAGTATAAGAACAAGAAATTATGTACCTTTATAAGCCCCTTTACATCAAGAGATTTCCCAGGACCAACCCGTTTAGAAATAGCTTTCTGTTGTTTCTCCATAGTCTCTTTAAGTCTCTTGTTCATTGTCTGGGGGTGGTAACTGTTTTAAGATATGATTGATAATCAGGTCATTAATCAGCAGTTATAATTAGCTAATTATGTAATTATCTGATTAACTAAAGCTAACCTGCGCCTCCTCGTAGCGCCGTTTCATAACATTAGCTGATCTTTGTTGAGCTGCAGCTTGTTTATACAGGTCTGCTCTCTTTCTCTCTTCGAACCTAGGTGTATAATATGTTAATTATGTTCAGTTCATCCTGTACTACAGAGAGGAGACGGACTCCAGTTAATGAATGTTGCTTGATTAGAATCAGGAACAATTGAGTCCTCCGGATGCGTCCAACTCTCCAACACTTGTTGGAAAGACCCCAGGCAAGCGTGAAGTAAGTGAGAGAGATCTAACCTCTTGAGCTGTACTATTTCTTTATTCTTAGCGTTTTTAAACTGCTGGAACTTCTTGTTTTCAGCTCTCATGTTCTTCAGAAGATCAACTCTGTGTTTCTTCATTTCCTGGATCTCCTTTGCAAGCTTCTGCAATTCTGTGTCATTACCTACACAGGAGGCATGTTTAATTGCGTGCCAGGTTTCTTTGATTTATCAAAGAAGAGTATAATTAAAATCTAAAATTCATTTGTAATTCGTGATTGTATCCTAAAAGTGAAACCTCCAACACTAACATTTATCATTGATTCAGAATAACTTCCAAAAAATAACTTAAGTGCCAAAAAAAACCAACCAACAACACCATGGGCTTTCTACATTTTCTCCCGCGCTATTTTTACCTTTTTTGATCTTGAGAAGTCGTTCGTTCTCCCTGCACTTTGTCTGTAACTCGGATATCTGGTGTTGAAGTGCTGACAAGTTCTCACTCTTCTGTTGTATTAACTTCTTGTTACCTGACCCTGGGTGGGGGGAGGCGAGATGTTAATAAATAAATAATAAATAAAGTTACATTTATACAGCAATTTATCGATAAATATTTGTGTTACTCACCAAATCAATATCCTAATAACAATAATAATAAATTGAACAGCATTATATCATACCTTTTTCTAATTCTTTGATTTTGTTTTCAAGTTCCGTTTTCTGAGTGTTTAGATCGCTTATCTCTCCGTTAAGCGAGGCTACGTTGTTCTGATATTGCTCCTGTGTGAAACATTCATTTGCTCAAAATAGTTACTAATCTAACAATCACATGAGATTGAGTCAATTGCAAAACTCGATACTATTTAATGAGAAAATCAATAAACACCATGGTCAACAGGAAGAAACCCTAATCCTACAGTAAACCTCCCCTCTCACCCACCCTCAGAATAGAGAATGTTTCATCATTCCCCTGAAGTGACTTAGCATACAGTTCATGTGAGTATGGAATGTGGAATGGAAATCTATCGTCCGCCAAAACGAAACAACGGGCGCAATTCTTGTCGACTTAGAAAATTTTTGAAGTTAACAAAATTTTCGGGGAAAAAATGTTTTCCCAAAAATTTTGAGAAACCCCCGGCCCCACTTCCTACACCCCTGCGGCGGGCTCTCACTCACCCTCAGAATAGAGAAGGTCTCATCATTCCCCTGAAGCGACTTAGCATACAGTTCATGTGAGTTAAGCTGCTCTGAGAGAGCCTGCAACTTCTCCCCTATCTCCCGTCGCTTAGTGTCGGCTTTTAGCGCTTCGTCAGCGCTTACTTGCTCCCCACTTTCGTTGAGGGAGGCGCTCAGCGCACTCTCGTCCAGTGTTTCATCTTTTTGTAACTGTGGGATTTTAGTATTGGACTAGTCTGGTATTTTAATTGTATCTAAATTTACACTCAGTAAAATTATTTTACACGGTCACAACCTGAATTTTTAGCCTAAAAGCCAAAAGACAAGTCACCACTACACAGTGGGGCTCCATGTTGACATTTAGCCTAAAAACGAGTTTTCCTAATGTTTTAGATTGTTGTAAATTCTGATAGAGAATAAATAACCGGATTCAATGCTTTTTAAATTAGCTCAATATCTCGGTTGGGTCAAAATTTACAACCATTTGAAAAGCGCGCCTGAAAATAACCTGCCTGCACATGCCCAGAAACTCAATTTCACTGCCATTTTTGAGTCAGGCTGAGGTTCCTTTTGTTTTCAATGTTTTTCAACTTTTGATTGATTGAACATGGATATAAGCATTCTTAGTACTGTTTAAGAAGAAAAAACCATAATTTCGGTCAATTTTGGATTTTTGGTAGCTAAAATTAGAATATTTTTCAAAAATAGGCCTTAAAATTTCATTCGCTGACCACAAATGGGTGGTAAAGTTATAAATGGCCCCATATGGCCCGGGTTTCATTATGTTTTCTATGTTTTCCCATAATTTTTCTAGCAGAACCCAGAAGATTTGGCTTCGGAACGCTTCGGAAAAAAAATTATTACCCATTTTTGGTACGAGCCTGAGGTGAAAAATCGCGTCAAAATAGCGCGAAAAATGAAAACTGATAGATTAAAAACTGATTTTTTCATTTATTTCATAGCTTTTTGGTGCACACTTCGATATTTTATGCTAATACCAGCAAAGTTCAATTGGAATAAGCAATATTTGGATGGAAAAATAGTGCATATGAGCCAAAAATAGCCAAAATCTGGCAATTTGAGCTCGGAAAATCCAGGGGCAACTCTGATTTCATAGGATTTTTCTTATGTTTTTGTCATATTGCATAGTTTTTATGGTTCTCCTTTCTGAAATACCCTTAAACAATCACATCAGCATGATTGATGACCATTTCCATACGAAAAAACAGAAAAATGGGACAGAAACCGCTTAAAATTCGATGAAATCTTAAAACTGCTAGTCAAAAAAGATGCTTTTTGTGTGACAGAAAGTGCCAAATTTTCGAAAAAATTGATTTTTTGCCCAAAAAAGTAGTGAAAGTTGTCCAATTTCACTGAAATAAGTCATAATTGACGATTTTATCCAAATTGACACCACCAAGATGTGGCCAGAGGCATAAAAGGGCAAAAAACCAAATGTCATCATGCCCTTTACGCGAGCCCCACTGTGCACTAACCGGTATGCTAGGTATGTAATACACCACTAACCGGTATGACACCACTCTGTTGCAGTTCACTAAACTTGTCCCTCAAAGAATCTCGCTCTATTTGTGTAACACACAGCAGCTCAGCTAGCTGGGTCAGTTTCTCTGTAGTGCTGTGATCACTTCCCCTGTGTGTGACGTCATGGTTAGTGTGACGTCATGGTTGGTGTGACGTCATGGTTGGTGTGACGTCATGGTTGGTGTGACGTCATGGTTAGTGTGACGTCATGGTTAGTGTGACGTCATGGTTGGTGTGACGTCATGGTTGGTGTGACGTCATGGTTGGTGTGACGTCATGGTTGGTGTGACGTCATGGTTGGTGTGACGTCATGGTTGGTGTGACGTCATGGTTGGTGTGACGTCATGGTTGGTGTGACGTCATGGTTGGTGTGACGTCATGGTTGGTGTGACGTCATGGTTAATGTGACGTCATGGTTGGTGTGACGTCATGGTTGGTGTGACGTCATGGTTGGTGTGACGTCATGGTTGGTGTGACGTCATGGTTGGTGTGACGTCATGGTTGGTGTGACGTCATGGTTGGTGTGACGTTATGGTTGGTGTGACGTCATGGTTGGTGTGACGTCATGGTTTGTGTGACGTCATGGTTGGTGTGACGTCATGGTTGGTGTGACGTCATGGTTGGTGTGACGTCATGGTTGGTGTGACGTCATGGTTGGTGTGACGTCATGGTTGGTGTGACGTCATGGTTGGTGTGACGTCATGGTTGGTGCGACGTCATGGTTGGTGTGACGCCATGGTTGGTGTGACGTCATGGTTGGTGTGACGTCATGGTTGGTGTGACCTCATGGTTGGTGTGACGTCATGGTTGGTGTGACGTTATGGTTAGTGTGACGTCATGGTAAGTGTGACGTCATGGTTAGTGTCGCTATATTGTGGTTTAAAAGCACGTTTTCAGAGGACAGTGGAAGTTCTGCTATATTATCTGCAGTAATACAATTAAGTTTATTTCGTTAAGTGAAAATAGAGTCTAAAAATCTTTTTTCTCCAACTGTTTTTGATCAATCACCCCGAAACTTTTAAAACACGTCTTAAGTTTAATTTTGTCAAAAATGGTTAAATTGGAAGAAAGTCACACTTTATGCGGTACACCAGAAGGTGACCGGGAATCCCGGTACCGGGATTGGCAATTTTGAGCTATCCCGGTCCCGGTCCCGGTCCCGGTCAACCGGGTCAAGTCACATTTTTCATCCCGGTCGCGGTCGCGGTCCCGGTCAAATGCTGATTTATGATCCCGGTCCCGGTTAATTCAGGATTCTTGGTCCCGGTCAATCACTCAAATTTGCCGGGATTTTGACCGGGATCTTTTACATAATTTCATTCACTGTGATTTTAAGTTTTTACTTTCATTCATTGTGAAAATCATGTCCCGGTCACCTCCTGCGGTACACCCTGTATAGAACACATTTACAATTGGGATAGGGGATTTAACCCCCTCCCTATACCACCCTATACCACCCTATACCTATAACTCCACCCTATACCACCCTATACCTTATACCACCCTATACCACCCTATATCTATAACACCACCCTATACCTATAACACCTCCCTATACCACTCTATATCACCCTATACCTATAACACCACCCTATACCACTCTATATCACCCTATACCTATAACACCACCCTAAACACCCTATACCTATAACACCACCCTGAACACCCTATACCTATAACACCACCCTAAACACCCTATACCTATAACACCACCCTAAACACCCTATACCTATAACACCACCCTAAACACCCTATACCTATAACACCACCCTAAACACCCTATACCTATAACACCACCCTATATATCAGAAACTACCTGAGCTGAGACAGTAAAGCTTCATTTTCACTTTTCAACGTTTCAACTTGCTGGCGCAGTGTGTTCAACTCTGTTACATCAACATTACTTCCGTTGTTGATTAGATTAGCTTTCAACTCTGCGTTTTCTTTTCTCAGCATTAGCAGTTCTGCTATCTTGGGATCCCGGTTTACTATTGCTTTGTTCTTGATCTTCCTGGTATCAGGATAAACAATTAAAGAAAAGTTGAGTTAGTCGGCTTTGTTCCGGGCCGAATGTTGGCCATAATATGTAACCTAATCACACATCATCCCGTCGGAATCTTATAAAACCACTGATAATAATCCAAAAGAATTACACAATTAGGAAATCTATTTGTTATACAGGAATAATATCAATTATAAATTATAAAGTTACAAATATCTTGTTCCCCTCACAGTAGAACACTAACAGTCGATGAGAGGGAGAATTATAACAAAATTGAAAATAATTCCACTTGTTGGTTATTTGTCTGTTTGTTACTCAGTCTGTCTGTTAGTCTGCTTATTTACCTGGCTCTATCTGCGTATCTGAGTGTGTTGACTGTTTCCTCTAGGTTGCTATCAGCAGGGGAGCAACACGCTATCATCAGTGTCATACTGTTACCTCCTGAAAACATACACTGTTACCTCCTGAAAACATACACTGTTACCTCCTGAAAACATGCTGTTATCTCCTGAAAACATACTGTTACCTCCTGAAAACATACACTGTTACCTCCTGAAAACATACTGTTACCTCCTGAAAACATGCTGTTACCTCCTGAAAACATACACTGTTACCTCCTGAAAACATACACTGTTACCTCCTGAAAATATACTGTTACCTCCTGAAAACATGCTGTTACCTCCTGAAAACATACACTGTTACCTCCTGAAAACATACTGTTACCTCCTGAAAACATGCTGTTACCTCCTGAAAAAATACACTGTTACCTCCTGAAAACATACAGTTACCTCCTGAAAACATGCTGTTACCTCCTGAAAACATGCTGTTACCTCCTGAAAACATACACTGTTACCTCCTGAAAACATACACTGTTACCTCCTGAAAACATACTGTTACCTCCTGAAAACATGCTGTTACCTCCTGAAAACATGCTGTTACCTCCTGAAAACATACACTGTTAAGGCCACAGGGGGGGTCCGAGGTCGATTTTGAGATTTTGAGATATATGTTGTAGAGCTCGATCTAAATTTTCAAATGCTTTTGTCCTTACCGAAAACAAAGTTTCCTATTTGAAGATATCGTGTGTTGAATTTTGAGGTTTACCTGTAATTCTATTGTAAATGGAAACTTTAAATGAAATCGAGTTCAAAATCTATCTTCTTTTTCAGTTTATGACTTAGAACCTTGTAACTTGGCAACAATGTTCTTCAAGGTATTTTGAGTTTTTGTTATGTAACGATTTATGATATCTTGCTCCAAAGCTGAGATATGAGGTTAACCATGAGTGCGGGTTACAAAATTTAAAATGGTTAACCTCATAAAAAGAGTTAGGAGCAAAATTACAACAATCGTTACATAACAAACTTTTAAATTTATGTCAGGAACATAAGTTCCAAATTTGAGGTGAAATGGATAAAAACTCTAGGAGAAGATAGATTTTGAAGTCAAAAATTCGAGGTTTTCAGGAGAGGCAAAAAACTGTTTTTTATATTATGTGATTTTTGAGTATTTTGCCTTTATTTGTATATTTTTCAAAGTTTAACTGCTGAAATAACACAAAAACAATAAAAACAAAGCTTATCGTAGTTTTCAGTTGTAATGGCATCAATATTTCTGCCCTCCATTATCGATTTATCAAAAAAAATGAGGTTAAATGAGAATTGGTTAACCTCATTTATAAAAAAAAGTAAAATAGCTACAGACAAATGAGTGGTGGCAAAGTATCCACCACAAAAATATATATTGATTCAAAGCATAATATTTTTTTGCATTTTTTAAGCCTCGACCCCCCCCCCCCCCCTGTGGCCTTAATACCTCCTGAAAACATACTGTTACCTCCTGAAAACATACTGTTACCTCCTGAAAACATACAATTACCTCCTGAAAACATGCTGCTACCTCCACAAAACATACACTGTTACCTCCTGAAAACATATACTGTTACCTCCTGAAAACATACTGTTACCTCCTGAAAACATGCTGTTACCTCCTGAAAACATGCTGTTACCTCCTGAAAACATACACTGTTAATACCTCCTGAAAACATACTGTTACCTCCTGAAAACATACTGTTACCTCCTGAAAACATACAGTTACCTCCTGAAAACATGCTGTTACCTCCTCAAAAACATACACCAATAACAACAACAATTCAGCAAGAACCAACACAACACTGATACAAACTACTAACGTAATCTGGTGAATTCGTGAAAATTAAATTAATCACACAACTCCAAAACCCCTGCATCTATCAGTCCTCCCTCACACACCACCTAACCGGTGATTAATTACTAATTAATTATTTAATAACTAAATTAAATTACCAAGTGAATCCTGTAGGACTCTGGTAATCTTGCTGTCCCTGTAAGGTACATATCCCGTCTTTCTGTCAGTGTCCCCCAAAGCGCTGATAACGTTACCCAGCGCTAACAGTCCCTTGTTGATGTTTATACCTTCTCTTAGCCGCTCTCCTGAGGTAATTAATTAATTAATTAATTAAATAGGCAATGATTAATTCTCAAGGACATTAGATGAGACACATGTCATGACGAACTTTTTCATAATATTCTTAAAGAGATTATATTTTTATATTTTAATTTCACCAGCACATAACTAAACGCTGTCATAATGAATTCGAGGATATTTATGTCCTGAATAGTGAATATTCTGGATTAAGACCATTCGAAGATAAACAACTTCCATTAGCCACAGTAAAGTATATTGTTGTCTGAACATTGAATCAGTCTAATTGCATGAGTTAGAGTTGTTAGTGTCGTGTAAATCGTGTTACGTTTCAAAACCTGATAACCCTTATCGAATCACGCGATTCTTCAAAACTCATGCCGTTCGCGTTTGAAACTTAGTGATTTCTCGTGACATTTTAGGTCAGGAACATCAATTTGTTACTCACCGGAAGCTTTCGTTCGTTTAGCTCTTTCAGACCCCGCTAAATCCACCAGATTGAATTTACTGATCAGATAAGAATCCGAACTGGCTTCACCTTGTTGCTGTTCTAGGTTTAGTGCGAACACCTGTAAGTAAAGATAGTCATTAGTTAAAACTATTAATTAGCTGTTAACAGAATCCATGTGGGGCAACCATGTGGGGCAGCCACCAGCCACCTGGTCACAATATGTAACATTAGCTGGGTTCAGTTTATCCCAGCTGTTGGTCAGTAATCTGCTGAATTACCGACTATCCCCCAGAAAGCTTACTGTAGTTATGTTCAGATGGACATTTAAAGAATGTCTTTTTGTCATTTAGTTCTTGTCGATGTTTTGTCAAATTATTTTGATTAACGCAATTTGTTACAATTTTGTTGATAATATCCCTAATATATAAGATACATAATACTAATATTCCCTTATATTTAGTAAAATATTATGAACTACAAAGTTCCTCTAGCTCTCGTTCTTATCTCGGTCTCCCTCTACTACTTCCTCTCACCTGCCTCCCCGCTCTCAGACACACAACTCACAGAACATCTCAATGACAAGGTAGTCCTCATCTGTGGAGCTAGCAGTGGTATCGGAGAGGAACTTGCTTACCAGCTAGCTGCCCATGGAGCTAAACTTGTTCTAGTGGCACGAAGTCAAGATAAGTTGGACAAAGTAAGAGTGGAGTTACTCGACAGAGGGACTATTGCTGGAAATGTGATGACCATCTCTTTTGACTTCTCCGATGTGTCTGGAAGCAAGAAAGTGGTGGATCAGACCCTGGAGAAGTTTGGAGCGCTGGACTACTTGGTGTCCAACCATGCCACAATGGCTGCAGGTCCCATTTTAGCTTTACCCGATCTCCACACAACTGATTATATAGAGAACATATTCAGGGTAAACTTGTTCAGTCATATTGAACTTGCCATCCACGCTCTGCCCCATTTGGAAAAACGGAAGGGCCACATGTTCTTCACTTCTTCCATTCTCGGAGAGGTTCCCTGGTATATGGCTAGTATCTACACTTCAACTAAACACGCTATGAATGGATTCTTCTACAGTCTCCAACAAGAGCTCCTTGCAAGAGATTCCCCCGCTTCCTTGACTGTTGGTATATTCGGTCTCATTAGAACAAAGGAAGTAGATTCCCAGTTTCCAGATAAAACTCCGTTTTACGATTGGACAATTGGAAGTTTGGAGGGATGTGCGAGAGTAATGATGGAGGCGTTTGTTACACGGTCACAAACCGTGACATTTCATAAACTTGCTGGTGTCACTTATAGAGCGCTGTGGTATTTTGTGCCGCGTTTTTATCATGACGACATGATTGAAATGACGAAACCTTTTTTGTACAGTCCAGAAGAATGATGACCAGACTGTTATTTGAAACAACAGCAAAAATATCGTGCGTTATATCGAATATTTAACAGAGATTTTAAATGATTTTGAATGTACCAGCGGCTCGTTGTACACAACAAGATTTTAGAGCTAGCCAACGAATTTCAATAGGCTTGTCTGATTAATGTAATTCAATTTTTTTATTTAGTTGGATGGTGCAACATCGAATTTTTTTTCTTTTTCTGTTGTATTTAGTTAAATACGGCGCGATGGCCGTGAAGATGCCTACTTCTAAACCTATCAATAGGTTCAATAGGTAGGTATTCACTATTCAGATGTTAAATATTATTGCGCTTCGAATTTTTCTTGAAATTCTGTCTAAAGATTCTGGTCAAGGGCACAAAAATCGAGATTCACCAATCAAAATAAGTTTAAACACAGGAAATATACTAGTCTGGAAACGCGACAACACATTTTAAGGAGTGAAAATGAACCGTCGGACACGTATTCATGTTTTAAAAAGAACATTTAACCGCACATTTTTTGTGCCTATTTATCGAGTGTTACTTACCGCGTGAGACCTAGAAGACTTTATCAAGTGTTACTTACCGCGTGGGACCTAGAAGACTGCGCGTTAAGAGCATGCCCAGCAACAGCTCTGTTCTCAGATCCAGCTTGTAGACAGCTGTACAAGTCGTTCACTGTACTGAAGATAGTAATGAGCTGGTATAGTTTTAGTTTGTATAGTTTAGTGTTGTAATTATGGTTTTTCTCTTACAACCAATATTCAATGTTTTTTATCTACAGTGCTTAATTCCAAAAATGTTGCACATTATGAAATAACTGTACAGAATTCCCTATGTTCACTGTACTAAAGTAATTTGTTAACCAAATTGTTCACTGTAGTCTGTACTGAAGAACTAATTACAAATCACTTTGCTTATATTATATATAAGCAAAGTGATTTGTTAACTCATGTTAACCAGTTCATATATTATTAACACTCCGATCTCCTAATCTTATGAAAGCTCAACCGGCTCAACCAGCTCAACGATAATTTTTAACGTATTTTGACGGCAGTTCACAGTCGGACAATATTTGATAAGAATAACCCCTGCTTCAAGTCAATACCAGGAGGTTGTGAGACCAAGCTACCAAAGCCTAACCTGATAGGAGCCTCTTTGAGACCATGTATAACAATACTTCCATCATGGTTTTCTCTGATTGCGTTATGACAAATGTTCCCTGTCAGCAGATCTTTTACCTCTTCGTTCAGGATCTGAGAGGTTAATTAGAATTATTAGAATATAATTAATTAAATTTACACAGCAATACAATAAGAATAAAATAATTTAAAGAAGCTTCAAACTGCTGTGCAGGACATTCAAGTCAGTTAGAAACTGTTAGAATAATAATAGTACCCTTCTAAGGACATTTATAATCTCACCTCTAAGTAAGTAGCCTTAAGCCGGTATGTGATATCAGGTCTATCAGATATCCTACCGAACAGCTCATGTATAATCCGAGGGATAACACCTGATTTGTCGTGTTCCGTACTAGGACTGGTGTCTGCTGTACCCATCGTATGTGTCTTACCTGGGTGTGCACAGATCAGTTAGTTGTCAATGACAAACATGTGCACGAACTAGACCATATGGCATGCAAATATTAGGCCATAAACACTTTGAAAAGGAGCATAAAAACCTATTTTTAATAGACTAATAATCCTGACACTTAATCAGTGATCTCTTCACTCAATCAACCGTCTGATCAGTTCGAGATTGCTTATAGGGCAGCAACCCAGTTCAATTCTTCAGCTCACCTGCACCTGTTTGCCCATATGCCAGAATAGTACAGTTATACCCTGCAAAGAACTTGTCAAGGAGTGGAGTCACACAGTTATCAAAGATAGGTGACTGCCCAGTTTCGCTGTCAAACACGTAGTCGTATGTGAACTCTTTTCCTCCTGCTACAACTTGTGGCTCCCCTGGTACCTGCAAACAGTTACAATATAACAGATCAACAAATAATTTATCATAATTATATATAAATATAACAATATATTAATAGTCTAATTGGGAAACCTTGAGTGGAAGTTTAGTTATAAAATAAATGCAACCATCAATAACTCACCACTGATATACATGGCTGGCAAGCAATGGATGTTTCATGAGACAGCATGGGTCTGATACGCAAGGCAACGCGCACCGACAGGGGATCATCCTTTGTCATGGCCTTATAATAGGATAAACTTTAGAGAAATTTAATATTGATAATTAAAATTGTGATGAGCTGAGTTTGGAGAACGAATAATGATAAAATAATTGATGGTCTGACACATCTTATTTCATTTTTATGATAACAATGAGAAAAAACGGTGTTACAACACAAGGGTTCTTGAAGTGGTAAAGATATTCAGATGCTGTGGGATATATAAGAAAGCGCCTTCATTTCGAAATCCTAAGAACAACAGTGATTTCTCTCCGGGGAGACAGAGGTGCGAGAAGGAACTTTGTTAATATAGATAGTCGAGTCTAGATTTGAACTTGGAGCCACAAGGCCAAGGGTGATTTTCAAATGTTTCTATAAAAAGGGTTTATCTTTGTGAACATCATTATTAAATATTATATCGAAGAATATACACAAATAAATTCAGCAATGGTACGGGTATATGGCCCCCAGAATATAGGTGGCCCCCAAAATATAGGTCATGTTAGTGGATACAGTTCTAACCAAGATAAGCGATACTAATGGGATCTGTTACTGCTAGGTTGGAGTAAAACATGTAACTTATGTTTCTGGATAAAAATTGTGGACCTACATGAGGTATTTTGGTATATTTGGTCATGACAGCGAAAGATTTAAACGATGTTGTCATTTTCTAGAGGGGTAAATATGGTGAAAAATTGTCATGACAAAAATCTGTCCAACACATGCCATTAAGACTACTGGTATGAGTATAAGTATTATTTTAAGCTATCTTTTCATCGAGACATCTGCAAACTGACAATTTGGAAAAAAGTTATGGCCACCACAATTTTACGGGCCCCCAGAATATAGGTCTATACGACCCCCAGAATATAGGTTGGTCAAAAACCCTGAACATGCCCAAAACCATGCTTTGGGATGCTCTACTTGTAGCTACTAGTCTCCTGAACCCACATATCAAGTTTTATCAAAATTGGATAAAAATTGGCCGAGTTATGGGATAAAAACAAAAACCATATGCCCATATTTGGGCATACGCACCAAATTTGATCGATTTTGGTCCATAAATTGGTCAAATATCAATATTTTTGAATGAAACCAACTTTATATGGAAGGTAAGCATATATTACACATTCTCTATGATTATCAGCTCAATATCTACCTAACTGTGGATTCTGTGTTCAAATAATCGCAAAAAATGAACAAAATCGCCCATATCTCAAACTGACTTCGCTCAAAACAATAGAACTCAATAGGGTTTCAATATTTTCACATGAAATTTTCAGAATCAACGTAGAATTGTCTCATGACCTTAAGTTTTGGGACAGAATTTTGAGTTAGGCCTTTAAAAAAATTTGGCGGCCAAAAATGTCTGATTTACAGTCATTGAGGTGCACATTGTATTGATACAGATAAAAACAGCCCCCCTCAATCATATCTAGGGACACTCCTTCAATCTTATTTAAGTATTTAGTTACTAGATCCCTACTAAATGAGTGCATGAAAGCTTTTTAACAAGTAAAATTAAAGATTTTACTCATTACGGGTATATGGCCCCCAGAATATAGGTTTTTTTTTTTAAATAGCGACCAAGATTCTGCATTTTCTCTGTCACCCTGAGCATTAAGGAATGTGGGGTAGTGATAAGAAACAGTTAAAGAACATATGCTGAAGAGATGGCATCATCAAAATGTATGAAGGTGGAGTATTTGAGGACGATTTTTGCATACCTATATTCTGGGGGCCGTAGTTTTTGATTTTTTGCTATTAAGTATACTCTAAACCATTTCAATTTAGTATCTGGAGCCATTGGCATCATCAATACAGTCTCAGCAACATATTCTGACTGCATATAACTGTCTGTGACAATTTTAGAACAACTTAGGAACAGATGTTTGGACCTATATTCTGGGGGCCCTGTTAAAAAATGGTATTTTTACAGGTGAAAAAAAATTACACTTAAAAACCTAATAATTATTTTCAACTACCCAAGAAACATTTAAAGGGTTATTATGTACATATTTACAGCCCTAAACATGCTTAGAAGTAGTTTTAACACCTGTTTCTAAGTGCTCAAAAAACGACCTATATTCTGGGGGCCATATACCCGTAATTGTCTAACTATAACCCCCCAGTTCCATGGCCGGAGATAATGCCAAATTATTAGACGGAGATCCATTTCCCGTAGATCATCTCCGGAGATGATTCTCCGTCTACTGTATTAGACGGAGATAACTCTCCGGGAATTTCTCGGAGATTAATTCATACAGAATCATACAGAATCAACAAAATTACCGTAGATGGTCTCCAGTCGTGGAACTGCAAACCGGAGAAATATCCGGAGAAACATCAGTAGACGATCTCCGTCTAATAATTTGGCATAATATCCGGCCATGGAACTGGGGGGTTACATTAGACACTTAAAAGTAAACTTCAAATGTCATTAAATTTATAAATAAAAAAGGTGTAAATTTCAAAAACCAGGGCAGAAAATAAAGCCCTTTGTGACTTATAAAATGGTCAACTAAAAAAATAATGTCCATAAATTTACATCACAACAACATGCCGTTCAGGCCCTTGCCCATCAAACACTCCCAGACCTTTTAGGATCTAGGAGTGATGATCAGATTGAGGTCCAAATTACTTATTGCAGTGGATGGATTTATTACATACTTCTTTATAGTGTGGTGACTTGGGGTCCATAAATATAACAATACAAGCTGATAAACCAAAAAGAACAACTGGGGTAGGTAGGTAGCCCTGGTGGGTGCATAAACTTTACGGTCTGCTCTCTCCAAGATCAGCCTGCTTCTCCATTTTAATTTTTAAGAAATAGATTATTCAAACAATATACACATAATATAACAATTACCCTATATAAAAAGTCAATAGAAATTCAATAGAAAACTAAATAAACACCCTTTAAGTAGTATAAGTAAGCAAGTTTAAAGAACTGGCTCCAAATTTATATCTAATTCTGCTATTTTTACTGCACTACTACTTTTTAACCCTCTCTCTCCTCTAAGAGCTATGACTGTTGTTCTCAAAAGGTCAAATCTTACTCTCTTCCTAATAAATGTCATTGCCTCACTATATCGTTGGCCTGATTTCCTAGAAAGTTTATCCGCTAATTTCTTGAAGAACTTATTAGCTTCCCTTCCCATACCCCCAGTGGTTGATAGGACTATCGGTGTAAACGTCCCATGTTCCACTTCTACAATCCTTTTATTGTATAAATTCTTTTTCTGTCTCTCGTGGCTATTGTACATAGTGGTTGGAGATCCAAGAGCCTTATCTCCATTTTAATTTGAAGCCTAATTTCTAGTTTTTATAAATACAATGCAAGCGCATGTTTACTAATCTTAATCTACCTAACAACTCAATAGCCCAAGTCACCATATCCGTAGTTTATTCCTTAGTAATAGAAGAACTTTAAAGTTTTTCAAATTGTTGCTATAATTGATTTAAATAAAAATTTGTTGTTTTCTTGAAAAATTTGTTGTTTTCTTGATGGAGTTCTGGCACCTCTGTAACCCCTATACTAATTAAAATTATACAATTTCTGAGTAAATCGAAGCGCAATCTGTGTCTGACAAATGACATCACCTTTTCAGGAAGTATGTTACCTGGGGACCTCAGGCTATCATGTTCATAAACATAGATATTAGGCGGAATGACAGGCTGAGCGCGGCCCAGTAAGAATTTCACATAGCCATGTGCCTACGCGTACTGCGTGACGCGCTTGTTTCACAAGTAGATTCTTTTGCCGCGACGGCGGTCGCGCGCTACTGCAAGCGAGAGGGCTCTGGTTAGAGCAAAGTAAGAATTATGAAGCCTCAAATGCCCTTCCTCCTGTAGTACTGAACACCCAGTGGCGTGAAGGTGGCATTTTCCTCATTGAAAACTTTGTCATTGTACTCATGTTTTTTCAACATCATTATTTCTCTGTTATTTCTTGTAATATATAATATTAACAACGCATATGTTAATCATATCAAAATCCAACTAAGTTTTTGCCTATTTTTTGTCTTCTTAGTTTTTATTTGATTTGAAATCGGGTAGTGAGAAGGGCGCCGCCCAGTAATTAGTAACATGTAGCAAACTTTTAGTGCGATCATAAAGTGATTCAGAGTTTTTGTCTTTCTGACAGGCTGAGCGCCGCGGCGGCGCTCAGCCTGTCATTCCGCCGGTAAGTTACTAACTACTAATTGGTACATATCAGTATTTTTCGCCTTTTCTTAAACTGCTTTCGTCTCATTTTACTTATGTCTGATTTGGTAAAAAAGGGGTAGCGAGAAAACAAAAACTTGTAGCGCGATGCGTTACTGTGCCGGCGTGCCGCGCCGCACACACAATTATGCTTATAATCGCAACGATCGGCGAAATGCGCTACTGTGCCTTGCCGAGCTGCGATGAATTAACATTTTCAATTAAACAAAAACAGTTGACGGATGTTACTCGTCTAAATTTCTTCGAAGTAGCGCGCGCCGCTTTCTTCTCGAAATGGCCCGATGGCAAGTGCTACGAAGTAGCGCGCGCCGGGCCAGATCATTAACAATGGTCAACAAAAACAGGTGCCCACAAATTATTTATTGTATTAGATTAACTCTACGTTGTACGTATATCATTTGTGCCTATACTCCGGATAATTTTATCAACCTTATTGGGTGATACTCTGTACTCGTAAAATATTTGTTCCAAAATTAACAAGACCGTCGACGCGACGAGTCCAACTTTGTAGCGCAATGCATTACTGGGTCGCGCCGCGCATTAAATAATTCTTCTCGCAACCAGGCGCGAGTCCTGGTAGGTTATAAACCTACAATATCAACCCTCACGTCAGGATGAGCCGCTGCGTAACTTTCCAATTGTTTCTGAACCTTGTCCATTTTGATCCCACCTTCAGCAATATTTTCGACCTTTGCCTTTCTTTTGCCCAATAGACATATCTGTGATTGAGATAGAACAAGTTCATTTGCTTGGGCCACATATAAAGTCACGATGACTCTACCAAAGTATCGAGCAACCTTCACTCCTGGACGTTATATACTGGGCGGCGCTCAGCCTGTCATTCCGCCAAATGAACATAACAACTTGGGGTCCCCAGGTAATCCTGGACGTAGCTTCTAGTTCATTACCTGGCCTGGGGACCTCAGGCTATCATGTTCATTAACAGATTCGGCGGAATGACAGGCTGAGCGCGGCCCAGTAACTAGTTCAATTGATTGACGATGTCAATCCGTCGAGATCGTTGCTCTGCGTTAACGGGTGATACTCGTAAAATATATGTTCCATATATTGGGACCGTTCCATATACAGGACCGTTCCATATACAGGATCACCGTCGACGAGTCCAACTCGGCGCGCGTCCTGGTAGGTTGTAAACCTACAATGCTCTGCGAAGCAGAGCAACGATCGACGACGAAGCAACGATCGACGACGAAGCAAGAATGCTAGTTCGCGCGGCGCGTCGAAGTCCTCCAAATTCAATTGTCAATGTTTGAGAGAAATACTTGACGGATGTTACTCGTCTAAATTTCTTCGAAGTAGCGCGCGCCGCTTTCTTCTCGAAATTGGCCCGATGGCAAGTGCTAAGAAGTAGCGCGCGCCGGGCCATATCATTAACAATGGTCAAGAGAAATACGTATGAATAAGTGGAGTTTCCAATCTCTAAGCCCGAAACAAATCAAATTTTGTCCGGAATACGTATAAAATTTGTCCGAAATTAACGTTAACGGGTGATACTCGTAAAATATCTGTTCCATATATACAGGACCGTCGACGAGTCTTGACGGATGTTAAATTCGTCTAAATTTCTTCGAAGTAGCGCGCGCCGCTTTCTTCTCGAAATGTTGTCTGGCCCGATGGCAAGTGCTACGAAGTAGCGCGCGCCGGGCCAGATCATTAACATAGGTCAACGACGAGTCGAACTCGGCGCGCGTCCTGGTAAGTTGTAAACCTACAAAATTAACGCCGCGCATTTTGAATTCGTTGAATTTCCTGAGCGGTAAAAATAAAATCGTTCCTAATCCAGTGGAAATCGGAATACGCGAATTTTCGGCGACAAATACATTTGCTTGAAACGCTACGTACTTAACAGCATTGACAAAAGATAGTGGAGTTATGATCCAAAAACCATGTGCCCATATTATGTGTGCGCTCGATTTCCCAGGCCATAAATTTCCAATGATACTATCTTTACATGTAAAGTTATCCTAATCGGGCCCATATATGGGGCATCGCTCAGCCCTCTTTTCTTTAATCTGATTAGAATTTGTAATTTTATTTGAGGATTAATCATTAGCCCTGCAGCATACGCAATAAAAAATCGATTATTTAAAAGTTAATTATTGGATACGAAATCCCATCCTTGCATTTCACACGAGATCATGTAAATTACAGGAAAATATAAGAAATATAAATGAAATTACTTCTACAGAAACTCTTCTCGAATTGTTGAAACCATTTCAGAGGGACTTAAAAGCTAGGCATAATCTGAATCTCCCGAATCTCCTTTTTGGGATAGAAAACACTCCCGCACTCCGTAAGGAAACACTCCGTACTTAAACTCTATTTGTTTGCCTTGAACTGACCCGCATGACTGTTCCTTAAAACAGGTAATACCGGTATCAAACAATCGGCTAGTAAGTATTCCAAATTAGTCCACTGACAACTTTCCTTTGTACTAATGGGTTAACTTTAAGCACCATTTAGTGCATCAGTGCACAATTCTCGAGTCAGCCATCATAGTACGGAACAAACTGAGCGGGATATCTCAAAATCTCCTAAAACTGGTGTCCAGTGTAGCGTTTCCAAGATCACTTGACAAGGTCGGGAGTAGATGGGAGGAAGGAGGAGAGGGAGGAGAAGGTCGGTTGAAGGAGAGGTGTTTCTGAGAGGGACCCTTCCTCAGCCAGGGGAGTGTAGCCCCGAGCATCCTTCAGTGGATCCCTGGGAATATCAGACATTTAGTTCTTTGACAAGCCAGCGAAGAGTTTTCAGACAAAACGTTTTAAATCAAACAATGGATGTCAGAATAGAATGATAAAAGGGAAATATCGGCAGTTTATTGTAACTTTAGTTAAGGGGAGACTGGGGAGTGAGCAGACCCCTGATTGTACCTGTAATTAGCACATCTCTCAAAGTATGGTGTTGTTTGGAGTTCAGCGAAAGGAAGCTCAGGCTCCGACTTTAAGCTAGCACTTCTCTGACTGATGAGTGTGCTTCCAGAGGACTCCGTTGGAGGCGGGGCAGGGTACTCTGCTCTGAGGGAGGAGAAATTAGAAACCTAGAACAAGACTGAGCAGAGACAAAAAGTGAGCACCATAGATACATGTACTAAGTACTAATCTCTACAAACTGCTGATGTCAGTAACTAAACATTGGTAGATTGTGTCAACAATTTTAATTCTAATAGAATCATTTCTTTACCGTAGGCCAGGCATAATAATAATAAGAATTACGATCGATGATTGAAGGTGAAGAATTAAATTTTTACAAGAAAAAGATATGGGGAGAAAGAGTAACGATGATTTATCGTCAGTGATATTTGATCCATATCTAAAATCTAACTTATAATTGGGAAACTCGCTTGAAGAGGATGGATGCTGCCCATGTCATAAACCTGTGATTTGCAAGACTGATAGACTGTACAGTGAAGGGTTCTCTGAGTTTAGCACCCCTGGACCTGCTCTCACTTTTGCAGGGTACGGACCATGTTGCACAGCCAGATGAGCTCCTCAGTTTTGATGATCTGATTATCTGTTTCCGACCAGAAGTTCTTATAGGCGGTGCAGTGGTCGCTCGCTCAGTAACTGTCGTCCTGAGAAGCAAGCAAACATAAAGTTTGTGATGCAATGATTTGGAAACATGCGCTGATGTGATTTTATTTCGTCATGTCAGCTTGCCATGGATGTTAGAAGAAGATTCTAGCATGTGAAATTTAAAGACGCGCGTTTTGCCGCGGCGCGCGCTTTGGGTGCTGAAAAAGAACTCATGAATTCTGTCAAAATATCGTTACGGTAGACCGTTTTGATTTTCAACAAACATGCGTTTAGAATGTCACATCTCTGCCATCAAAGAGAATTCTGGATGGATGATAATGAAGATCTTCTGCGCGATGTACGAATTGCTAGTAACGGACAATCGCTTTCACTGAGCCAAACAGTGCTTCACTTTATCTGTGAAAAGGGGCAATAATTTCAAACCTGCTATCGATAGTAAGCATAGAAGGTAAAGGCGAAGGTCTGGCCATTCCACACGGCGCAGTGGGTGGTTTGGGGTGGTTCAGCATGTTGTTACCATCTGCGAAAGTGAACAATAAAAACTGGTTACTGGATTATAATGATTAAACAGATAATCTAAGTAAGAACTGAAATCAATGACGTGAAACGAAAAGCTCAATATTTGCCGGACAACCTCCCGACCTACCATTAGCGTAATCAGAACAATGTTGCAGGAGGAGCAGTCTTGCTCGGTTCACAAGCATTCGTTCCCCCACAGTACCGACCATGTCGAATAGGTCGGAGGGGGTTATTTTCTGTTCCCCAGATCCAGGGGGTGCCTCTTCTGATCTGAGATACGTTGAGATAAGTCGCAAACTTGTTAACTTGTTTACTGCAGTTAAATTGAGATAAGTCGCAAACAGCAACTAATTAACTTGTTGCAGTTAACTTTCCATTAGATACCGTTGTATTTACATTAAGATTATTGTTTGACTACATACTTTATTTTTTACTACATACTTCGTACACCCTTATTGGTTCCAAGCTTAACGAAAATGACGTATATATCTCATAGCTGTCGTCTCTGTAAAACCGCGAGTACTTAACGAACTTAAATTTTGAATTCAAAGTGCCCAACTGTAATTCTAACAGGCAACAAGTATAACACTGTAAAAAGTGCAACACTGTAACAATGTAACAGTAAGTGTAACAGTAAGTGTAACACTTACATGATAAGTTGAGATAGCACTTTGTCCACGCTTGCAGTGTTATTACTTATAGTACTTGTAGTGTCTGTGTTGGTCCCTAAAATAATAAACATCAACCACACTAAATAATTTAGTATAATTTAGTGAAAATATAATTAGTAAAACATAATTAATACCAGTTCTCAAAAGAATTGTCGAGTGAAAGGTTACAAGGGTTCTGGACGACAGCCGTGAAAAGCTTGCCTGAGTTCCTTTCTATTTGGTTAGTTGATTGATCACTGATTGGTAAGTAAACTATTAACCTATGAGTTTGAGTTGTCTCCTAGATAAGACATCTGCGCTAGGTACAGGCGGTGTAACTGGACGAGGGTAACTTGTGTAGCTCTGATCCAGGTCTTTTAACACTAGTTCTGAACCTGAACCACAAATATCAATATTATTATATAAGTTTTCTCGCATTTTCGGGATAAAAAAGTCGTTTAAGATTTAAGAATCGATTTTTACAGTTTTTCAAAACGATCGCGGTGACCCAGAAAAGTATTCTACCATTTTAGTGCTGTAACTTACAGTTTAAGCTATCGAAACCAAAACGGGGCATTATAGCGTTTTTGGTTGACAAACTATATTAATCCAATCAAAAGTAACAGATGAAGAGGTCAACACTACCAATTTGACATAGTAAATTATGTTAAATCTCTTGGGAGACCTCCTTTGTATACAGCCCACACAACGTGGGGGGGGGGGGGGGGGGGGGGGTGACTTGTGGATCGCCCTGTATGCTACTGATCTGTTTATTGAGCTGTGTTCTGAGCTAGTTAATACTGGTAATTAGTGATAATTAGTGATAATTAGTGTAAACCTTGATCTAAAACAGCATCTGCGTCTACAATAGTAGCGTCTGCGTCAAACTCTCCGTTTATCTCGTAACTGTGTAACTTCTTCTGAAGTAGTTACAGTTACAAGTCTTGTTACAGTTACATGGTGACGGAAATATGTCACAATCCTAAATGTATTATCTTTTTCAAAATCTTAAATATATTATCCTTTTCGATACTTGCATTTTTTCAGAGAGTAAAATAATGATTTTTTTGAAGTACCGTATGTTCAATGATAATATTAACACTATTACTACTACTACTACTACTACTACTATACTAACCTTAGATTGAGAGGATATGGTAGGAAGTAAGCCGGATCCTGTACTGTTAGGTCTGCTGCTAGAGTCTCGTGACAATACTACTCTTCTGAATGTACAGTTAATTAGTTAACTAATTGATTAATTAGTTAATTAACTAATTGGTTAATTAAATAGTTAATTAACTGATCGATTAATTAGTTATATGGAAAATAATAAGGGCAGTCCTAAAAATTGTAAGCTTTTATGCCAGATAATTAATCATGTAAATCAGAGGCAGCTCGTAGGTAGGGTGCAGGTGTTTTAGCGAAAGTGGGTTTATCTTCCTGGGACTGACTCAGACGGTTTGGGGCTATTCAGTTGGTGTATTAATTAAAACAATTGCCGGATTTTAAATTTTAAAATTTCTCAATGAGCTGAGTTACGTGGGTGCACAAGCCTTGTTAATATCGAATAATAATTATGCAGGAAATCAGATCATGCGCTATTTTTACTCACAATGGTTCCACAATTTCTGAAAACACACGCTAAACTCAATAAAACCCGTACTTTTTGAATTCCCTAAATTCTTGGACCTTGAAAAAGGATTTACCTGCCATTTGCTGAAATAAGGGGAGCGGTTGCGCTGCGTCGCGTTCCTAACGCTCTGTTCTTAGCCTGTCTTGGAGAATTCACCTGTTCAGGACTAGACGGGAACTGAAGACAAAATGTTATTAGCAGTCGATTAAGTTTTAATTAGCGGGTGATTAACAACTGTGAGGAGGGAAATGGTGATTCTAAATGGTGATTCTATGGTGATAATCAAGCGAAATATGAATTGAGAGTGGTAATTAGCAACTCATTATTGGTAATGATTAATTAGCAACTAATTATGACCTGATTCTGAGAGACAGTGAGCTCCTGCAAGAGAGCATCACTTGGTTTGTTGGAGGAGTTAAGTCGGAGCGAGGAAGTCAGGGAATCAGTGATACTGACGTTGGAACCTAGCAACAGTGCTGGGAAGTTAATCATTAGCTAATTGGTTAATTTACTAATTAGTGATTGCAGTGGTTCTTGAACTTGATTAAAACTATGCTGAGAAATAAACCGTCATTGGATTTTGGAAACTTGGTAAGCACGAATATATACACCCAAAATAGTGCGTTAAAATTATAATCGTAACATAACACTTCTGACCGCGCCCCTTTGAGGGTTACCAGGATAATTATATAATTAACTAATTGATATCACCCTCCCTCAACCAATCATTCTTGCCCATTCTTCAAAATGTTTAGCAAGGTATATCCTACTCTGCAAGTATAGTACTATGTTTACAGTACACTACACAACTTATTATTCTTCATTATTTAACATACTGTTGCCCAACTGTTTTAAATAATTATTTAACTAATTATTTAAACTAATTACTAATTATTTAACTAACTCACCGAGATACTTGGCAGGATCTATCCTACTCCTCAACCCCTGATCCTCAGCGCACAGCAGATCTCCCTTTAATTTAGTTTTAGTTGTCATCCTGATCTTTGCCACCGGACCCTTGCGGGTCTTCCGTGGATAATCCGGCATCGGGGGCGCCTGGGAGATCAAACAAGTATGGGAACCTGCTACTGTTAGATAGTTTAGGCCAGAGGGTTAGTTACTTAGCTAGTCTCCAGTGCAGCAGTTCTATCACATATTATGTTAAAATTAGAAAAATTATATTTACCTCCCCCACTTGCTTTAACCCAAGGTGTAATTAGAGTGTTAAAATTTCGGATGAAATGCTTTTTATAAGACAGAAAAGTACATAGGATACTAGTTGATTAATTAATCATTAGCATGAAGACTTTTAAAACCTTCAATGATCAACAGATAGCAAGTTTAGAAGAATCCATGAAAGTTAAAACTACCGACTTTATGACTCAGTATTGGAGTAATGCGTAATTTAAACTAAAAAAACCTTAAAGGATGAGGGGACCTTAGAAAAAGTTTTTTTCTCGTGCAAATCCTTTTATTACATTAATCGTATAAACCACTTTAGTGAAATCCGCAAAGTTGTATTTCATTCGCGCGCCGAGATATCCAGCCAAAACAATTTGAACCTGTGACGTCAATTATGTGAGTTGCTCTGATCCGCGCATATAGAAATACAGGTAAAATGAGCGTGCGGGCCGACTAAATTAATAATTAAGAATACATGAACAATTTACGATACTAACGAGCCTATAACCAATGGAGAGGAGACTTTTTATGACCGGTTGAAAAAAGAATTATCACCCTACGATAACCATGAGCCGAGATACACCTGAAATAAGATTGAAGTCACACAGAAAGGCATGTAAATTATGTATATTTATAGCTCCCAACGTAACACCTAGCAACTCCCTGTATCGTACCACAGTTGATATATCAATATGTCATATCAACACAACACGGTCCTAATAAAAATGGATCGGGTAGGTATGAAATGCATGTCTTCATTCCAGTTGGACAAGCAACAAGCACCAAGCTTTTAAGTTCTAACTCACTATGTGACACTACTTATAACGTAAGCAAGATTTGCAACTATCACACCAAGCAATATTATACCAAGCATAGCAGACGAACACATCCACATTCGTTACGCTTTACACTCAAGTCACAGCAAACTAAAACGGTAAATTATAAATGAGTGTACAACTAAAGGCCGGTACACGCCGCATTGTCAAACCGCACGTGCGCACTCAGATAGGACTAGAGGCGCCAAGGGCCAGCTAGTAAAATGTCTTCTACTACATCATACATTCAACCGATTTTTAGATCTGTATTCTTGTATGAAGAAATATGCCGATTTTTAATTGTGTCCATATCGGGTTTCAAACAAGTCAAAACAAAATAGCAGTTTGTGGTTTAGTTAGCGGATGCTACTTATCTTAGCTATTTATAAATAGAAATACCTACTACAACTACAAGAAAGCCTTTCTGAGTTACATTTAACTATTAAGGAGAATTATTCGTAACTTAGATCTTGACTAGTTCAGTGCAAACAAAGATACCGCTCTCGCAAACGCCAAAGGTAACACGACGTAATTGAAACAGCACAGAAGAAAATGCTGACACAAGCGAAGGGTGCGCGCGCACGTTGGTCTTAACACATAATTGACGTCACAGCCCAAAATTGCTATCAGCCAATAGGAGCGCGGCGTGATATTGCACGAATTATCGATTTCACAGTCCGGCGTATTTTTTGATTCTACACACTTTCACAGGACTTAAACGCGAATATTTGGAAGTAAATTCTAAGGTCCCCTCATCCTTTAATTTGAAAGGAATTGAAGCAAAACGTGAGAAATCTTTAATAACTAACAAAATCAAAGTGTTGAAGCAACCTACCTAGGATAAGTCCCAAAAATAGATATTATATGCAAGAATTATGCGCACTATATCTATAAAATCAGATTAAATGCAGAAATGAGAAATCAATTTATTAAATTAAATAGCGGAGCAAGACGATTTACAAGAGAACACCAACAAGCACAATTTAAATGGATAATAAACGTTCCATCGACATTTTCTCTTTCAAGGTAACCGACAGATACGACAGAATATTTTAAGGGAATTTTTAAACATATATTCTCATTGCATTAGAATTAGAGCATTACTCGTGTGATGGTATACTTGGGTATACTTACAGTATACTTACAATTACAAAGATGTAATTCAACTAATCAGGTAAGTTCACGGTTATCATAACATGATAATGAGTATTGGGATTTAAGGTAAAGAGACAACACGATCATGTGTTCAGTTTAATTTAATGATTATCCACAAAGTAGTCATGATAACAGGTAATTGTTTTATGGTATGTTTGTTCCGATTCATGATAGTTGTAATCAAACATAAGTTATCGTTAAGAGACCTGAGCATTCGCGTCTAAAATGTTGAAAATGAAAGCAGAAAGACAATTTGATAGGAGAATGGAGGTGATATAGAATGCCCTCATCTATTTAGACGTTATTGGGTATCAATCTGAAGTCGGATCCATTAAAACATTCGATGACAGGCAATGTAAGCACTATGCCAGTATTATATATTATATAAGCAGAGTTTTCCGCCCTACAACCTCCAAGACTTGTACATGAATCACGATTCAAATCACATAACAATCACGTGACAAATCCTGACCAGACACGTGACCAGACACGCGACAGACACGTGACAGACTACCTCGAATAAGTACGAGAACTGAGTGGGGATCATGATTGTACCAGCTTTAGTGTGTACTGTCTGCATTATAGCTGCTGCTTGAAGTGGGGTGTGTTATCAAATAGGTGTTTGCCAAATTGAAAACGGACATTTATTATATTAAACCCAGAAACCACTTCTAACAATAAATATTTCGTAAAAATCAAGTGAACAATTCAAAAATGAGATACAGAGAACGGGGTGAGATCTAGCGCCCCAAAATATCTGAAACCTGAAACCGAGTGTAAGATCACGCACCTCGGTCCGAGGGCTACGTCATCAGCACTACCAATATATCTTATTCAATATTCATCGGGGGAAGAATTACAAATTCAGTTTTCAATCTCAGCAGACCAACAGAAATAAGGTGGTAATACAATTTATTCATTAACTAGTGATAGAATGTATCTGAATTGTTGAAGATATTCACCTCCTCCTTCATGCACACAGTCGCAGTCTGCCAAACACGTGCAAGTGCAAGTAAACACGTACAAGTACTTTCACTTTCGAGATAAGTAAGAAGTATAAAGTTTCCGGGGAACGCACGCTACTAATACATCTAGCAAGGAGCAAAAAGATGCTGGGGAATAAGCACGATGTACCGAGTGACATATCAAATTAATATGATATAAATGTTGGAGGAAACTTTCGTGGCCCCTTTCTTCCAGCCAATGAGGATTGGGTTTTTGAACACGTGATTTGTGCTGGCTAATAAGATCGGAGGATTTTAACATGTGGTCAGTGTCATGGTGATTCATGAAATGAGTTAAGAGGTATACTAAGGTAATAAGTAGCAATATAAGTACAGTGAAACCCAGATTTACCGCGAAGTTTTGGAGAAAGGAAACAGCCGCTGTAAATCGGGGTTTTGTTTAATGTTTTTACACGATCTAATCTGTATGTTAAACCTTATTTGGTGGAGGAAATAACGGTGTTATAATCTATGTGAGTTAAGAAATGAACATCTATTTAAACTTGCATTACAAATTTCTGGGCACCTAACATAATGTAATCGTGATTGAAATTAACGATGATTCGAACAAAGGTGCTGAATTAAAATTGAACGGAAGAACACACTCTCTGTAAATACTACCTTTAACATGTTGAAACTAGCAAGTAAGTTGAACAATAACAGATAGAATACATCCGGTACTGATATTTACAAAACCTGAAGTAGATGCAGCATCTCCCACTAAATCACGTGACACCAACTAGCCAATCAGGAGACAGGATGAGATTCACAGCAACCAATAAAAACGCAGGATTTAATATCAAGTTTTTACACGAAACTGCCAGACTAAAATCTATTACTGAAAACCTCAAGATAAGAAAAGCGAGAAAGCGGTGTCGGTCACGTGTCCAGATACCGCTCTCCTATTGGCTAACGAGAGTCAAGTCAACATCACGTGATCCCAGAGTCAGATTTACATTGGTAGTTGCGGTCAGTGCTGTAAAAAGCGGCATGCATGAGAATTCGCTTTTACAGCACAGAATTAAAAAAAACGTGAAGAGGAGAAGAAGTAAAAGCGAGCTTATCAGCCGTTATAGATAACACATATTATATTATGATTTATGCAAATTTAAACAACAACTTAACCGAACTTTAACATATCTAGATATCACCGCTTACCTCGGAGCATTCACTCCCCATCTTGAGCATCTCCTCGAAATCAGCCTCAGAGAGGGGCGTCAGAGGCGTCATATCCCACACCCACAAACACCGTATTTTACCACAATTTAAACAAGCGCGTTTACAGTGGTTTTATAATTTGTGTGGATTCCCGTTTAAAATGTGACCGCTGTAAAAACAATAGTGGTGACCAAGTACGATGTTAGAAACTAAACGACGGAAGCGGCTAAAAAACGTGACACCACCGCACTGCTGAGAAATTAGCGTCCATAATTAAAGTTAATAGTTGAATACTTATTTGTGTAAAATGGACGAAACGAGTCAAAGAAACAGAGTGAGATGAGACCAGTGTATTAAAACACGGTCCGGACGGAAAGAAGATCAGTGCGAATATATGCGTGAGGTTCAGAGCTAGATAACACGTGACATGTTAAGCGGTCACGTGGTCATGCCACGTGCTACCTCTAATTTGGATTGTGGATTGAATACCGATCATCACTCACGCTAGTCCTGTGCATATCTGAATTTGTATAATACTATCGTAGATCATAAGTGGATCCGTTCATGATGATATATTAAACACTGGCTTGATTAAATTCGAATCTTATGAAATGTTCGAGTCTTGCACGTAATAATTACGTTTTAAAAGGAGGAGTATAAATAGTGCTATCTGTTGAAAAATGCGCAAAAGACCGACCTCATCACGTGCTACGAGGTTTTAAAACCAAACAATGTTGCAACTAAATTTCACGTTGAATAACCTAACGATTGTTCTTTAACAGATAAATTGTTGTCTCACTTAGTTACAATTCAACAATTCGTAGTTGCGAAATAAGTTTATTTAGTAGTGCAATTTTTTGAGAGGGAAATTAACCGATTAACATTAAAATTAGAATTTAAATAGTAAAAGTGACGTGTTGATAATAAGTGAAACCTTTGAAACCTGGATTGAATTTCAAAAATCTTTAAAAATGATACTTGTATTGTCTATTGTCTATGACATTAAAGTTGTTAATTTAAAGTACATATTTAATACTAGAACTATGCTACTACTACTACTACACTTAGTACTACACCTAGTAGCAGTAGCCTTAACTTACCTTTACAAATTCAGATTTGTTTATCAGAGATACTATCTGCTGGTTACCCAAGGAGATACTATCTGTTTACCCAAGGAGCTCTGTAAGGTATCTGTAATTGTGTGTCCTCGAACTACATCATTCTACACCATTTCAACCTGAGATACTTAACAATGGTTTTCACCTTGAGAGTTTAATCTATTTACCATGGTTACTACATGATACAATTATTTACTTCAGATTGAATCGAGTCAAGGAAGAATTCTTACGTTTTCAGCAAGCAGAAATTTTTGCTTCATCGAAATCCCGATGCTTTTAATACAATATAAATATTAAATAGCTTTAAACTTTTGGATATTCATGATTAATTTGAGGCAAAACAGAATCTTTACCGCACAAGCTTAAGTTAATATTCTTTGGATCAACCCAACAAATTCAAACGAGAGGAATGGCGGAAAAAACCGATAAATAATTTTACAAATATACAACAAAACTCTCAAATAGTATCAAAACTATAAAAGTCAGAAGTTCTGCTGCCTTTCAACATCTGCACTATATATCGGGAACGATGGCAACAAAAATCCTACGAAAATAGCACCCCTCTTAAACTCGAGATGATAAAAAGTGACGAGTTAAAAATAAAGTGAAAGAGAGAAAATGTATGAGCACAAGAAGTTGTTATCTATTCTTCAGGGCCTTCCTGAGGATTGGCTGCTTGGAATTTTCCCGCCATTTTTTCTGCATCAATGTCGGACTGCTTCTTCACTCCGCTGACTATATCGTCGATACGAAGCAGTAATATGGCTGTTTCGATTGCAGTCTTAAACACTTGGGATTTCACCTGAGGAGGAGATTATTGAGGAACAAGTTGAAGCTTTGTTGAAGTAACTTAGAACTTCACCGAAACCTGTTAAACAACTAACTAATCAATTACTCAACCAATTAACAGATCAACGTTTCAATTAATCATGGTATTTCTCTCACCTGAAGAGTATCCCACACGCCAAACTCCTCCATATCTACGATATTACCGGTCTCTCCGTCCACGCCCCAGGTAGACCCGGTGGTGGCGTGTTTAGCTGTCAAGTTGGTCATTGTTCTGATGGTGTTTACTCCGCAGTTCTGAGGGAGGAGCACACGTGGTTAGTTGTGCGGAAACAGAGAGGTTAGAGGTTAGTTGTGCGGAGACAGAGAGGTTAGTGGTTAGTTGTGCGGAGACAGAGAGGTTAGAGGTTAGTTGTGCGGAGACAGAGAGGTTAGAGGTTAGTTTTGCGGAGACAGAGAGGTTAGAGGTTAGTTGTGCGGAGACAGAATGGTTAGAGGTTAGTTGTGCGGAGACAGAGAGGTTAGAGGTTAGTTGTGCGGAGACAAAGAGGTTAGAGGTTAGTTGTGCGGAGACAGAGAGGTTAGAGGTTAGTTGTACGGAGACAGAGAGGTTAGTGGTTAGTTGTGCGGAGACAGAGTGGTTAGTGGTTAGTTGTGCGGAGACAGAGAGGTTAGAGGTTAGTTGTACGGAGACAGAGAGGTTAGAGGTTAGTTGTGCGGAGACAGAGAGGTTAGAGGTTAGTTGTGCGGAGACAGAGAGGTTAGAGGTTAGTTGTGCGGAGACAGAGAGGTTAGAGGTTAGTTGTGCGGAGACAGAGAGGTTAGAGGTTAGTCGTGCGGAGACATAGCGGTTAGAGGTTAGTTGTGCGGAGACAGAGAGGTTAGTGGTTAGTTGTGCGGAGACAGGGTGGTTAGTGGTTAGTTGTGCGGAGACAGAGAGGTTAGAGGTTAGTTGTGCGGAGACAAAGAGGTCAGAGGTTAGTTGTGCAGAGACAAAGAGGTTAGAGGTTAGTTGTACGGAGACAGAGAGGTTAGTGGTTAGTTGTGCGGAGACAGAGAGGTTAGAGGTTAGTTGTGCAGAGACAGAGAGGTCATAGGTTAGTTGTGCAGAGACAGAGAGGTCATAGGTTAGTTGTGCGGAGACAGAGAGGTTAGAGGTTAGTTGTACGGAGACAGAGAGGTTAGTGGTTAGTTGTGCGGAGACAGAGAGGTTAGAGGTTAGTTGTGCAGAGACAGAGAGGTCATAGGTTAGTTGTGCAGAGACAGAGAGGTCATAGGTTAGTTGTGCGGAGACAGAGAGGTTAGAGGTTAGTTGTGCGGAGACAAAGAGGTCAGAGGTTAGTTGTGCAGAGACAAAGAGGTCATAGGTTAGTTGTGCGGAGACAGAGAGGTTAGTGGTTAGTTGTGCGGAGACAGAGAGGTTAGAGGTTAGTTGTGCAGAGACAGAGAGGTCATAGGTTAGTTGTGCAGAGACAGAGAGGTCATAGGTTAGTTGTGCAGAGACAGAGAGGTCATAGGTTAGTTGTACGGAGACAGAGGTTAGTGGTTAGTTGTGCGGAGACAGAGAGGTCATAGGTTAGTTGTGCAGAGACAGAGAGGTCATAGGTTAGTTGTACGGAGACAGAGGTTAGTGGTTAGTTGTGCGGAGACAGAGAGGTTAGTGGTTAGTTGTGCGGAGACAGGGTGGTTAGTGGTTAGTTGTGCGGAGACAGAGAGGTTAGTGGTTAGTTGTGCGGAGACAGAGAGGTTAGAGGTTAGTTGTGCAGAGACAGAGAGGTTAGAGGTTAGTTGTGCGGAGACAGAGAGGTTAGTGGTTAGTTGTGCGGAGACAGAGAGGTTAGTGGTTAGTTGTGCGGAGACAGAGAGGTTAGAGGTTAGTTGTGCAGAGACAGAGAGGTCATAGGTTAGTTGTGCGGAGACAGAGAGGTTAGAGGTGAGTTGTACGGAGACAGAGTGGTCAGAGGTTAGTTGTGCGAGACAGAGAGGTTAGAGATTAGTTGTGCGGAGACAGAGAGGTCAGAGGTTAGTTGTGCAGAGACAGAGAGGTTAGAGGTTAGTTGTGCGGAGACAGAGAGGTTAGAGGTTAGTTGTGCGGAGACAGAGAGGTTAGAGGTTAGTTGTGCGGAGACAGAGAGGTTAGAGGTATAAACTAGGCTGTATAGAGGTAAAAACTAGTCTGTATATAGAGGTATAAACTAGTCTGTATAGACTATAAAGGTTAGGAGTATTCAGGTTGAAGGTTGAGGAGGTGGAAATGAGGATCAGCATTTGTTGACAACTTTGAGACAACAAAAGCTAACAACAAGCTTTAAGTTAATGTTTAATGCGAGTATAGACTAAGTAAATCATAGTGCTAGTTTCAAGATGTCAAACTCCAACGAAACAGCAATCATACAGCGGTGAGAAGCTTAAGAGGGGACGAATGCTAGTACTAACAAATATTATCATTGAATTATGACCAGTTGCTATAGCAACGACACATCAAAGTAGGCATTATAAGTTACGTGCTAGTTATGTAGTGATAACATTATCATCCCGTGGAAAAAAATTAAAAATAATTTAGCACGGATCTTGATTGTCTTGCCCCCTTGTTTTATTAGAATGCAGGTCACATAATGTCTTGTCAGAGATATACAGAGTTGTGCAGAAAATAAGCATATTTTGGCAACTTCTGAATTGCTAGAAGTGAGTTGTACCTGCATAAGAGTCTTGGGGATGATTCGGAGTGCCTCAGCGAGGGCTCTGTAAGGCCACTGTCCTACACCCTGGATTTCTTTAGACTTCTCTATAAGTCTGTGAGCTACAGCTGCTTCCACTGCTCCGCCTCCGGGAACCTGTAATTAGGTGATTATTTAATTAATTAGGTGATTATTTAATTAATTAGGTTACAAGCTTGTTTGTGATGAGTTTTTGGTGACCTAATAACTGCTGTCGTTTAATGGTTGACTTGGAGATCTGGATCTTTATTTAAAACTTACCAAGAAAGGATCGATCATGACATTTCTGGCAACATTCATAGCATCTAGGAGATTCCTCTCGACCTCCATTAAGACATCCTTACTGGCTCCTCTGAGCAGGATGGTGCAGGCTTTGGGGTTCTTGCATTTTGTGAGGAATGTGAAGTATTCGTCTCCGAACTTCTTGACCTGAAAAAAGAAACCTATTAAACATGGATACTTATTAATGATGGATTTGTCGGATATTCAGAAATCGAGTACTTATGACAGACCACAACGTGCTACTTTCAAATTCCGTTGAAAATAAAACCATAAACTAACCTCGAAAAGTCCGCACTCAGTTCCAACATCAGAATCCTTCAGTTCCTCAGTCCTATGGACAATCTGTCCTCCGACTGCACGTGCAACACGGTTCATGTCACTCTTACGCAGACGTCTGACAGCTGTGATTCCTGCTTTTAGGAGGAAGTGCTGGGCGAGATCTGACACACCTTTCTCTGGAAAACAAAGGGGTTAATTTATTAAATAAATATTATAATGTATAATTATAAAATGATATAACCTGGCTGCATGACTAAAAACCATTGACACAATCGAAATAAGTGAGCCCACTAATTTTGATTTTTTCTAACAGGACGAAGAACAAACCTGTAAGAACAAGGTCGGGTTTGAGAGCGATGATATCATCACAAATATCCTTGATATAATTCTCTTCTAGTTGGAGGATCTTCCTGAAATCTGTCTCCTGCATGAACTCCATGTTGGTCTGACTCTCTCCTTTCTTGTACTCCAGATTACAATCCAACATTACAATCCTGAAGTGGTGGGTTTTAAAAAAGGTGCCACACTCAACCTGAGTTCAAAGACAACAAAAAAAATGCGACCGCTTTTTTGGGGCAAGTTCGCAGACTTTTTACAAACCTGGGGTTTTCAATGCGTCTCTTCATCCCGGTATGAGTGACATCTTTGTTGAACATAACTCCGTCGAGGATCTCTGACATTTCAATACTACCTCCGGGAACCTGCGGGCAAGACATTTAAAAATCAAATTGTGAAAAGATTTGCTTAAGAAATCTACATCAAAAATGATCGACGGTCATTTAAGTTTCCCTGCCTTTTAATTTGCACGCTACGAAAATCAAATTGAAAGAATCAAGTTAATAGCTTCAAATAAAAACACAAAGTAAATTATAATTAAATAAAACTTTCTCATTAATTAATTAAACTGGTTTTAAACTAATTTGTTACCTTCTCGACTTTAGCGTATCTTTTGATATCAATCTCATTATAACCACCTGCACTTTGATCGTTAATACGGACACACTTCACAGCATCCAGTGCTATTCCGCATGCCAAATCATTCCAGCCCTTCATGAATTTGGTTCCAAGACTGAAATATGAAAGTAAAGATAAAGTAAAGATAAATATCATGAAATACCTGAATTAGAACTTTAGAGATAATTCATCCTCTATAAACAGTGTATACAATATTCATGTAGCAAAAAAAGTGTTATTGAAAATCAACAGACCATGTGCTACTGATCCTGATCTGACGTCTGTAAAGCTTAAGTAGCTGCAGAATAGCTTGATTTAAAAATATAATATTCTAAAGCACTGCCCTTACCTTGATTTAATAATTTTAACCATCTCCTCTCTGTTATCAGTATCAACAGGTTTAGCGACTTCATTCCTCATCATGCTCACTGCATCCTCCAAGGCTTGTCTGTACGCAGCAATGATAACTGTGGGATGCATGTTGTCCACTAGGAATGGTTCTGCCACCTTCAGCAGCTCTCCAGCCAGGATGATCACACTGGTGGTTCCGTCACCAACTTCTTCGTCTTGGGTACGACTGATCTCAATCATACTTTTGGCTGCTGGGTGCTGAACTTGGATTTCTCTGAGGATGGCGTTGCCGTCGTTTGTCATGACGATTCCTCCCATTGGGTCCATGAGCATCTTCAACATAGCTTTGGGTCCAAGACATGTTCGAATCTGAAGTTTTGTAATGTTGGTTCTGTAGTGGTAGTATCACTAATTTGTGACTCAATTCACTGCGATACTTCCGAATCCAATTACTGTAAATCCAATTGGAAAACATTGTAATTGCATATTTATTGCTACTTCATTATGACAGAGTTTATAATATCTAATGCTTGGTTGAAAAAGTTTTAAAAAACTCACGATGTCACTGATGGTCTTAGCTGCTTTGATGTTGCTCAATTGAACCTTGCGACCACTCTCCCTCTTGGTGTTGTTCTTCAAAACTAACATAGGCTGCTGCATCTTGAAGGCCTCTAAGCAGTGTTAAATACTGTTATTTTATTATTTATCACCAATTCATTACACAATCAATCAATGAATATATATCCGAATTTAAATAATACCAAACTAAATTGTAGCGCTAGATGGTAACATCCAAGATACAATAATTATTAATATACTTGATCTGAGTGCAAAGTTTTTTTTTAAAAGAGAGGCTGGGCCAAGATAGCCCACGAGAGGATAGCATTGAGATGCTCTGCCTACCTCTGGGGTGTGGCAACCTTGGGGAAGGTTGCCGGTGAAATCAGAGTGATTGGTGGAGGATGGTGTAAGATGATATATGAGTCAAAATGATACGCTTAAATGCCAGCTGGGTTTGGAAAAGTAAAACGAGACGAGACAGCATATGAGCTAATACTTTAAGTCACCCCGGTCTGATCCAGCTCTTCCGGCACAATTAAGCGGTTGGTGCGGTTTGCGAAATTGACAATTGTGGTGATGTGTTGGTTGTCGAATATGTCATTGACAGAGAGGTAGTAGTCCTGGAAATATTGACCTCTAATTTGGGCAATAGCTGGACACTGTCCAAGGAAGTGTGAGACAGTTTCCTCTCTGTCGCCGCACATAGGACAAGCACTGGTGTTTGATTTGCAAATGGTGTGAAGGTGTTTGTTTAAGCCGCAGTGACCCGTGATGAGGTGAACTGCAGTTCTGTAATCTTGTCTGTTTTTGCTGAGTGTAGTGTTGAGGTTTTTGATGATTTTGGCATGCTTGTGGCCGAGTGTCAGTTTGGTGTGTCTGGGACCGTCAGTTAACCAAGTTTCCTGATTCAGTCTGTTGACTTTGTTGTCGATTTGACGCTTGATGTAGGATTGTGGAATTGGACACTTCAAAGTGGATTCACTGGTTGGGGGGGGGGGGGGGGTCAACCTCATTTTACCTCATTTTACCTCATCCCAATTTTGCCTTTTTTGGCTGGCCTCATGAGGTAAAATGAGGTAAATCTCGGCAAAAATTTTTAACAGGTAAAATTCTCTAAATCGTCAATTTAGTCACGAAGGAGTATGGAAGGAGTTCTAAATGTGTGCTCCTCTAATATAAACAGTAGGAAATGGTTAACTTTAGTCGAGGTCTCAGGTCTCTACAATGTCGGGAAGTTCCTGCAGGAATTTGCGCATTGCGCTTGAAGCGCAAGATTCACAGCGCCAAAAGCGAAGGTCGTAGAGACATGAGACCTTGACTAAAGTTAACCATTTCATACCATTGCTATAAGAGTATGCCACTTTCAGAGTCCTAAACACACTCCCATATCTCTTAATCGTCAATTGTATGAATTTTACCTGTTAAAATATATCATCTTTTACTGATATCAATTTAGTTTAACACTGTTAGTTTTAAAAAAGAAAATAATACTTCACACCAAACTCACACACAATATGAGAATATAAAGAGGAAGGTTTTCTTGGAGACCTGGAGCATCAAAATAGTGTACATTGCTGCTGTCATTGTCAAGACTCCAGAATAAGAGGGTCTAGTTGTGGGATTATGCTGGATAACAGATATGATAAGTGGTAACATCCTACAAAAGAATTTTAGCTTACTAAGGAATTTTCCTCTTACCGAATTATACAAGAAGTTAACTAAGTTCCTCCTAGTCCTAAGCATTATCTTGTTTCAGAGGGAATGAGTGATTTAAAAAGATGAGGCCAAAGAGTTAGTTGTGAAGAAGGCATTTGTACTCTGTAATTTCTAAGCTAATTTTTTTCGATATTTATAGCTATTTACTGATCTTGTTTTGACGTATCAGCAAGAGATCACTTGACCTCGTTAGTTGTTAGTCATGTTATGCTGAGTGGAGTTGGGTTAAAAACATATAAGAGATACGATGATTTAACTTGTAGAAGCTTTCAATAAACATGTGTTAATCGTCGTCAGCTGAATGTGATGTGGTGGACAATGCTTATATGTGATTGAGTGGTGTCAGGGATGGAGGGTGGGGGAGGTGTGGGTGGGAAAGTGAAAATTACAGTACAATGTCAATAAAAATTTAGTCTTCTGTTGAGGTTTAGAAGGAAATGCCAGATGGTCTGGACTTTAAGGATTTGGCAATTTTAGGAAGAATGGGGTCCCAGAGGGGACTACATTTGGGTGCGCGATCTGTTCTGTTCATAGCTGGTTGTCGTATTTGTATAGCTGCGTGTTCTGTGAGGTCAAGTTGGGAGCGTGAGGTGAGGGATTTGAGGACTTCGATGTTGTTCCAGGAGATGGTGTGGCCGGTGGTCAGGGCATGATGTGCAGGGGCTGATTTGATTCTGTCTGTGGATTCGTCGATGGCGTTGTTGAGTCTGTAACATCGTTCGTGTTCTTTCATGCGGTGGACCAAGGGTCTGTAGGTCTGTCCGGCGTATTTGGAGGGGCACTGTGAGCAGGAAATTTCGTAGATGGTGTTGGGAGTGAGGTGAGTAGGGGGTGTGGTCTTCGTTTTGGTGAGGAGGTTGCGGAGGGAGGTAGCAGAGGAGTGGGTGACTTTGATGTCGTGTTGTCCGAGTATCTTGGAGATGGGTTTGGATAGGGAGGGATGGAAAGGAAGAGAAACACTAAGGGCATGTTCACGGGTCTGTCGGTTGAATGAGGCTAGGGATTGGTGGCGAGAGGGGTTGGTGAATTTCCGTTGTACTTCGTCCATGATGGTGGTGATGCGGTGAGGAGGGAAGCCGTTCTGGAGGCAAACGTGTCGTACTGTCTGGAGTTCGTCGTCAAGGTGTTGGGGTGAGCAGATGTTGTGGGCTCTTCTGGTCAGTGATCGGATGCTGCGTTCTTAGATGAGTTGGTGGTGCAGGAGGAGTACTTGGTGTAGAGGTTGGTGTGGGTGGGTTTTCTGTAGACTGATGTGGATTTGTCAGGGTGGATGAGAACGTCAAGGAAGGGTATAGTTCCGTCTGTAGAGGGATGTTCTTGGGTAAAGTTGAGGTCTTCAGTAAGGGAGTTAAGGAATGTAAGGAAGGATTCTGCGTGGTTTCTGTCTCTGAAAGATCCAAGGCCGTCGTCAACGAAATGGGAGTAAGTGTTTGGAGGGTCAGGACATGAGGATAAAGCTAAGGTCTCGATTTCAGCAAGGCGGATTTCAGCTAGTTCAACAATGAGGGGGGATCCCATTGTACCACCTTCGTCTTGGGAGTAGAAGGAGCCGTTGAATTCAAGGTATGAGTTGTCAAGGCAAAAGTTGATAAGGGAGCCTATGGTGGTGGTGGTGACATTGGAGGGAAGACGAGAGGGGTTCTGTTCAAAGGAGGAGATGACAGTTTTGAGGGCTAGGCGCATGCTCGCATGTCACAGGAGGTGTACAAGGATTGGACGTCTAAGGAGGCGTGGTAGTGGAAGGAGGGATTGAGAGAGGAGTCGAAGCGATGTTTGAAGTCGGAAGAATCTTTGAGGCGTAAGGGGTTCTGGGCTAGGGGTTTGAGGAAAGATGCGAGGACTTTGTGGAGGGCTTGGAGGGGGGTGTTGTAGAAGCTGACTACGGGACGGATAGGTGCGCCGGGTTTGTGTATCTTAGGTTGTCCGTAAAGTTGAGGCCATCTAGGATGTAGGTTGCGCATCTTGTGGTATAGGTCGGTCGTGATCTTCTTGTCGGTGTGTAGTTTCTTGAGGACTTTCTGTAGTTTAGTGGTAACGGATTGAGTGGGGTCTTTCGTTAAGAGGGTGTAACTACCTGAGGATAAGTGGTCGGTAACTTTGGCTATGTATTGATCGTGAGTCAGTACAACAGTGGCGTTGCCCTTATCAGCAGGAAGAAATTTCAATTCAGATTTCTTAGATTTTAAAGATTTAAGAGCGGTACGTTGTTGTGGAGTGTTATGCTGATCCAGTTAGTGACGAGCTATGAAGTAATCATTCGACCTCATTTAATAGTGATCCTATCTATGACGAGCTATGAAGTAATCAGTGGATCTCGTCAATGCTCATCCTGTCCGGACTGTCAGTGACGAGTTATGAAGAAATAAATGAAGACCTCATTAATTCCTTGTTCCAAGAAGATATTCCTCTGGTAACAACCCCTTCTGGCCTGCTTCTGAACATAATATGAAGATTCGAAAACCTAGTCTACCTAAATTGGAACTTGCTGACTGCATTGGAAAATGGAGAACAATCGAGAAGTGATAATCAGTGCCAGGATATAATCAAAGTTGAATTCGGAATCCAAGGAAAACCTTCCTTTTTTATATTATCATATTGTCCGTTAGTTTGGTGTGAAGTAATATGTTCTTTTTAAAAACTAACAGTGTTTTAAACTAAATTGATATCAGTTAAAGATGATATATTTTAACAGGTAAAATTCATATAATTGACGATTAAGAGCTGTAGGAGTGTGTTCAGGACTCTGAAAGTGGCATACTCTGATAGCAATGGTATGAAATGGTTAACTTTAGTCAAGGTCTCATGTCTCTACGACCTTCGCTTTTGGCGCAGTGAATCTTGCGCTTCAGCGCAATGCGCAAATTCCTGCAGGAACTTCCCGACATTGTAGAGACCTGAAACCTCGACTAAAGTTAACCATTTCCTACTGTTTATATTAGAGGAGCACACATTTAGAACTCCTTCCAAACTCCTTCGTGACTAAATTGACGATTTAGATAATTTTACCTGTTAAAAATTGGTGAAAAATATGGGCGTGGCCCAAGTCAGTATTATACGAAACCGTAGACACAAAAAATTGTTTGGTTGTTCCTGATCCTATAGAGCAACTAATTAGAGGTGATATCTAATTATATGAACGAAAAGTGGTTTTGTGAACCGCCCTTTATTCTACAGCGAATCATGAACATTGAAAATGTACATGATAAGAACTTAGAATTGTATGATCAGTATGAAGTATGAGTTTATATGAGTAATTTATTATGAAATGACCTTTCACTATCTCACTATGCAATTTCGACTAAATTCATGTAGATATCCAATCCAGTTCCATGCACAACTGTTGTTTACATTTGGTCTAGTTAGACACAATTTGTTTCAGAGTG